GCCCCCCCAGCCTAAACGGCCCCCCTTCGATTTCTTTCCTATCGACGTGCGGTTTTTTTTGTACGGGGCGACCGCCCCCATCGAGGGCGTCCCGTAGATGCCCTCAGGTCGTCGGTCGGGGCCGTATCGCGTCGGGAACGGGCCCAAGCGCACCATGGTGCATTATGCCCGTCGCAGACTGTTAGGGAGAGGCGGTGGTGGTGTTCGGCACCTTGAGTGTGTCGGAGAAGTTGAAAGCGCTGAAGGTGTAGACATGCGGGATATGATGAGAGCTGTGGACTGCATGCGGAAGGTAATGCGGGGTGAGGGAACCACAGAAGAGGCTTTCATGTTCGACGGTTGAGAAGGAAGTGAATGAGTAGGTCGTCGTGGAAGCCAAGAAACTGTTATCGCCGTAGGCTTCACCCCAAAACTAGACAACACTGCATCAACCAGTGTGTACACGCTGGCGAGGATGTGGCAGAGGACATACCTTGATCCAAAGCTTCTCGGTAACACCCAGCAACTGTGCCAGAACGATTAGCGACGCCAACCCAATCCAAGTCCAATACGACCTACGTAGCCACGGATCAGCATTCTCGTCACTCCCCTAATACCATTAATAAAACTCACGAAGCCTTCAAATAAGTCCTATATATCGGCCACTTCACCCCACCCGTCAGCCTTTGCTCATCCTTGACCAACTTCCTCGGTTTCTTCCCTCCCTTACCCTTGGCCTTCTTCACTGCTTCTCCTTCTCCTACTCCCCCGTCGTTGTCATCACCTTCAACAGCCCCCTCCATCGCTTCCTCCTCCGCAGTCTTCTCCCCGATCCCCATCTCCTCCGCCACAACCTTCTCCTCCTGCACGACCTGCACCTCGCTCTCCTGCTCGATTGCCTCCAGAATACCTTGTTCGCGAAGGGCGGCTACCGTTCCGTGTGTGTCGATGCGGCCATCGAGCATGCGGATGAGGTAGTGTGTCCCAGGTAGGACGAGTTCGACGTGATGGGTTACGAGGATCTGTCGTGGAGGGGTTAGTTGGGGGAAGATATGCAGCAGAGGGTAAGTGGAGTAGGAAGAGTAAACGTACAACCGTGCGATTGGCTAGTAATGGGCCCTTGAGGAGTTTCTCGAACAGGACACGAGCGGTGTGGCTGTCCTGTATATTCGTTGTGTATCAGCGTTGATCGGCAGACTGGCTAGGCGAAGGGAGGGTATCAAACATGGAACATACGTACCACAGCGCTCAACGGATCGTCCAAAAGCACATACTTCGTTGGCGCATACACTGCTCTCGCAAGCGCCACCCTGGCCTTCTGTCCCCCCGAAAGGCTCACTCCCCTACGGAAACATCATAAAAAGACATCAGTTAGCACTCATCGTTTGGCCCATCTCGTCAGACAGCGTCAGAAAAAGAACGCACCTCGCACCAATCTCTGTCTCGTCTCCATCCTCCAATATCTTCAAATCAGGACCCAACGCACAGTTCTCGACGACTTCTTCATACCTCTTCTCATCGTACGGATACCCGAACAGGATGTTTTCTTTGATCGACTGATGACGCAGCCATGGCGATTGCGCGGCGTAGGAGATCGTGTGGGTGAGGTGGGTGACAGGGTCGACTGTGTGGGGGTCCTGAGGGAGAGGGCAGGGATGGCATGAGCGAAGTAACAGAGAGGGGATTGGAAGGAGAGGGCGAACTTTATGCATGATTAGCTTCCCGGGCGGATTTGTCGGTAGCATCGTCATCTCGCCCAACAGCGCCATCTACATCAACCCGCTAGTCAGCACCGCCGCACATTCACCCTCGCCCAGTGAAAATGAAAGAAGAAGGAAAACGCACCAACAGTGCAGTCTTCCCACTCGCCGTCGGCCCTGTAACCACCGTCAACTCCCCCTCCGGGAACACGACACTCAAATCCCTCAGCTCAAATCGATGTTCGTTTCCACTTCCTGTTATACTTCCAGATAAACTCTCCCTATCCGCTCCTTCCTCCTCGTTCGTACCGTTGTTAATGTCGGCAGTACTAGTAGGAAGCGTAAGAGTAGCATCCGTCTCCTCCGAGCCTCGTTGCGTGCCGTTTGTCCCATTGCCATGTCCATTTGTCTTCGCCCCCTTATCCTTAGTATCATCCTTTTTCTTCTCTTCGACCTCATTCCACTTGAACGACGCGTTTTTGAAACCTAAACCTTCTTTATCCGTGTCTTCACCATCCGCAGAAGACGATGAAGGGGCTCCAGATTGAGTCCGTTTAAGCGACGAAACTTGCTCGTCTACTTCGTCTTCGTTGAGATAGACGGAAATACGGTTGAGGGCTACGCCGGTCTAGGTCGTCGCCACGCCACACCACGCCACATTATAAAACAAAAGGAAACAAAACGGGAAAATGATCGGGAGTAGGTCAGCTTCAGTTCGACTGACGACAGTACGTAGAAGGATGGGGGCGGAAAGAGATGGTGTAGTCAGGAGGGCAAGAGGGAGGGAAGGAGATTGCGTGTAAATTTGGGGCGAAACCCAAAGCACATACCTGTAATACTGTACCTCCCAGACGTTAGGCGACGTCCGGTGTCCCAAGGGGCCCATCGCCCCCGCCAATTTTGCGCGGATCTCCCGCCAAAGGGGGGTTCCCACGTTATGTAAGCGTCGTCTAACTGCTGGGACGTACAGTATCTGCACGATCCACGCCGGGATGACGTTGAGGGGCGCACGTAGCATGTTGAAAAGCGCGATGGCCTGTAGAAACACAAACGAATACCGATGGGTTCCAGCATCAGCAAAAACGGACGGGCTTGAATTGAAGGAGTAAGGGTTCTGGGACTCGAAAGTGGGCGAAAGGAAAACGGGCCGGCAAGGAAAAGTACTACGCACCGTAAACGCAACGCTAACCGTCAGCTCGTTCCCCCGCATCACATACACCCAGAACGAGATGATCGAGACCAAAATCGGCGCCGTCGTCCATAATGCGGAGAACAGGACGGAGTTCACGCGGGCTGTACGACGAACGAAGACAATGATAGCAGTTAGTGTTGATACACGCGATTCGAGAACGACGGAGGAGGTTTGTCGTGCAAGGAGCGAGGAGCGAGGTTCAAAGGAAGTGGGTTTGGACAGAAGGGGAGAGAACTGACCTTTGATCATCCACTTCATCTCGGCATCCCTCGCATCGAGCGCACGCTCGATCCACCGATCCTCCCATGCGAAAAACTTGATAAACTTGACCTAAAAGCGCAAAATCAGCATATGTATCATCCAAGTCCCTACCATTCCCCTCCTCTTCAGCGCCGTAATCGCGTATAAACTCGTACTCCATAACGACGATGCATATATTTCCACGTTTCGCCACCGCAAAAATAAAAGTCCAACTTACCGCGCCAATCAACTCATTCAACACCCCCATCCTCCTATCCCTCGCCGCCATCACGCCCTTCTGGATCCTTATGCTCCTTCTCGCAATGAACGAATTAAGCGGCCAACCGAGGAGGAGGACGATGAAGCCCGCGAAGGCCGAGATGCCTAGTAGTCTGTATTGGGAGTGGGAGCGCGAAACTTGTCAGTTTCGCGCATTAAATGAACGGGGGACGGGCAGAGAATTGAAGTTGGGGAGGTGAGAGGATATAGAGTCGATAAAGGACGGAGGTGGTAGACCATGTGGTAGGATTCAGTCGCTTTTAACGCTGAACGTCGACAGAAATATCAAAGAGACGGAGACAGTGTAGAATAAGGAGAAAGAAAAGGAAAGTATCGAGAAACGCACTGGTACAAAAACACACTCGCGATGATGATCTCGAACGGTGCTACAAAGACCCCGTCCAGTCAGTAATCCACGTATACTGACCTCCCCGCCCACACCCTTCCCTTCGAGATGAAGGAAATGCAGACGTACCTCCATAGATGAAATATATTCCCGAAATCATCATCGCGCACTATAAACGAATCCACCAAAAGTGTCAGCGATCGTGGAGACCAGTAATCACGACATAAAAGCTGATGAACGGAACAGTAAACCGAAAACGAGCGGTTGCTCAATGCACGAAGGGAGTGGGACTTATACCAAAGGACCGATGTTAGAACATTCAGAACGAACGGATTCCCAGGAGCGATCGTCACTATCGAACGAGCACATCGGCGCTCGTACATACTCGCACTTCTCTTTCCATCTGACCGTAAACCTTTTTTTTTTTTGCAAGATCCCACGAACACCCAAACCGACCACACACCAGCACAAACACATATTCCACCCCACTCGAGATCTCCCCAACCTCCTGCGCCACAATCCAGGCACACCACCCAAAACCAAAACCAAAACCAAAACCAAAACATGAAGTAAAGAAATCACTTACCCGATTCGCGTCCCCCGCCATCAAATTCACAATCTTCCCCACGTCCGCGCCCGCTTTAGACTCATCCCTCTTATCCTCCGCCTTCTTCCTCTCCTCCTTGCTCATCTTCTTCCCTTCTCCCCTCCCTGCTCCTCCACCACTCCCCGCCCCTCCCACATTCGCACCACCAGTAGCACTCGAAGCGGGATTGGAGTTGGATGAAGAACGGAGTACACGGGCATCATCCGCCGCCAACGCCTTACTCGCCAACGCATCCTGATCCACGATCCCGGAGAAATCTTTCCGTTTGAGGGCTTTGTCGTAGATGCTCGCCATGAGCTCGGTGCGGATGTGGGTGCAGGCGCGACGGCCGTACCAGAGGTGTTGGACGTCTACTTGAGCCTGGTGAAATGCGGGAGCAGATGGGTGAGTGCGTGAGTGAGAAGTGCGGACAGAGAGAAGAGGAAAGGACGAGTAACGACGGTGGGGATTCAGTTTCGTCGGGGGAGTGCGGAGAGGAGGCGAAGGCGCGATACGAGTTTAGGGTGGGTGTGAAGCGTGGGATGGGGATGATGGCGATATCATGTATGCAGGGACGCTTGTGACCGTATACGCATAGACGACTCAACTTACCTTCGCAACAGTACACAAAAACGCGAGGGCCGCATACACATACGCCTGGCTCCGCTTCTGCTTTTCCAGCTCGGTATGGTCGTCGATGGCCTCGAGGATGCGGCGGAGGAAGAAGGGGGAGGCGTAGTTGAAGACGACGGAGATGAAGGTGAGGGTGAAGTCGAGACTGTGGGGGTCGAGGTCGGAGGGTTGAGGGATGGGAGGAAGAGGCGGAAGGAATGGGGGAGGGAGGGATGTATGTATGCGTTATTCCGGTTTGATGGGAGAGGGGGGAGGAGAATGTATGCGTTGATTCGAGGGTCGATGTATGCGTTAGCCGAAGTTAAAGTGAGAAGAGGGAAGTGGATGTATGCGTTAATACGAAGTCAGTTGTCATGTGAGGAAAGAGAGAAAGACCGAGAGCGTACATAAGATCGAGCGAGTTAGCGGCCCAAAGACGGCGGAGGAGTGTATTCCGCCTATTCGACCAATGTGAGATCAATGACTGCATATATGCCAGAGAAATGAACTCACTTGGTAGCACTGAACTTCCTGAAAACCGGTCGGGACTGCATCGTCGGGCTAAGGTTCCACACGTCTGTTTCGTTCAGCGTGTCATTCGTTCCCTACACCCGCAGCCACGCAAGCGCATCAGACAAGGTGCAAAAAGAAAGAGAGGAGGACGTACGCGTTTGATGAGAGGGTAAATCCAGAAGAATGTCGTCCAACCGCCCAATGTCGTATAATCCTCCGGCGAGACCGACTTGCCCTACACACACAACCCATCAGCACTCCTCCCATCAGCCCCTATCCAAACAAAGCAATCACAATCTCGCTCTTATCCACCCTCTCACTCGGAATCCCCAACGGAGTCCACCAAAGCACACCCAGCAACACCCCCAATGCCACCGCATCCGCTCCCCACCCCAATACCACCAACCCATTCGGTCCCCCAATGCCCAGCACATTCACATCATACACCGCGCCTCCGACCTTCAACACCAGCACCACAAAGTGTACGACATACAGCGCGAGGAGATCGATCGGGAGTGTGGCGGAGGGTATGGCGATAGGCCGGATCGTGGCGTAGAGCCATGACAGAGATGTGAGGAGCGCGAGGAGTGCGAAGAGGTTGGGAGGGGCGGCGGAGGGGTGTGTGGACGGGGGGATGGTGTGGGAGGCGGAGAGGAAGGAGGAGAAGGCTGCGATGGAGAGCCAGACGAGTGTTTCGGCGAGTGCGAGCCAGACGAGGACGATCGTGCGCCATAGCGGAATTCCTGTAGTCGTAGTTGCAGTCGTGGTCGTGTGAGTTGCGCTGTCTTCGTCCTTGTCGACGCTGGCGTCGAGAGCTTCGGCCTCTTCGAGGGTGAGGAACGGCGTGAGTGGTGATGTAACGAAGCCTAGGGCTTTGCTAATTGGACTGGGTAGAGGGACGCGGTAGAGCGTGAAGAGGACGACGAGCACGGCGGGGAGCACCGTCGACCAGAACGACCGGACGCAGTCGGAGGATAAGTCCAGCGGACTGCTTCCCTTGCACACAAACCCCATTTTGAAGAACCTTTTATCTAGCTATCCAGTAGTATGCCCAGAGACGAAGAAGATGATGATCTGAGAGAGAGCTGCTCGTTGTCGTCGTCGTCGTCGTTGAACACGACTTGAACGCGCTTATTTCGCCAACGCTCACGCGAAATTACGCTTTCCGCGCTCAGGGCCGCCACGCAGGGCCTAGTATACTTAGGAAGGTCTATCGAGCGCTGCTTTCATGGCCAGTACGCTCCTATTCTCCAGCTTTCCTAGTGGTGCCTTGGGCTTACATTCGTCGAGCAAGAGGGACAGTTTGCTGCTCGCTGGGTGTGAGCGCGAGATGTGACGCGCCTCGCCGGTTGGATCGACGTGTCGTCGTCATGCAGTTTGTTGCGTGTCCGTTCGGGCTTCGTGCCCAGTAGGTCATTGTGATGTTATGGAGCGTTAGAAGCTGCGACTGGCAGGATACTGAGGTCGTTGAGAAGAACGAGGGCTAATCTGGGCTAATCAACGATGTCCTCATTACTCGCCCATCTAATCTTATCTCAGCCGTTCAGAATTGAGCTCGAGCTGATAAGATTAGCGCTCTGTTGGTATCCTCACCGATCACCGCGCTCCCTTATCCCGTCCCTTCGTTCTCGTTCTCTACGTACTTACTCCTAGTTCTGAATCTCTACCAGCTTATTCACTATCTCTATCTTCTAGCTTTCTTCTTGAGCAACTGACCTGTTCCTTCTGTATCGCAACTTCGGTTCGTCCTGATCTACGCGGCTTGTAGTATTCGACGAATGAGAGGCTCGGATTCATTTCGTGACTTACGCCTATGTCTGGCAAACTGTACAATTCACTAGACGGCGTTATCCTATCGAATCTATGGGTTTCTGCCTCTCGTTTGCTCTGGTTTCGAACGGGGAGACACCCACTTCACCGTACTTGCGCTGCACAGTTACAGCCTATTGGAGGACTTCGCGAGCTCGCATATAGCCAGACAATACAATACGAGTGTGAACTCGCCGGCAGTACAGTTCGTCTGGGACATCCGGCACCATGGAATTCTGACCCTGGTGCGACAGTTTATGAGACGTCACTTATCATCGACACCCTCGCCATGATCCCTTTCAGATATGCTCTCCTTCTTTTCGTTCCTCGTGCGGTACTAGTTATTAGCGCATTGCTCACTAGATAGGATTCTGGGTTTGTTTTACGGGTCGGAACCACGTTTCTTGACCTTTCGTGTTCACCTTCGCTCCGCCAGGGTACATGACAAACGAGCGCCGATCCCCTATCTTCTCCAAATCTTCTCTCAACGCCACCCTTTTTTTCCCTCGGACAAAAATAGCGGGCCTGATCTCCCTCTGGTATCAAAAACGGGCGGGAGCTTAGAAGTGGAGCGCTCGGCGTCCAGGGAAGAAAGCTGGAGGATGCGATAGTGGGTTGGATTTACGACCTCTCGTCGTGTGCGTAAGTTATGTTGATGAGAAAGATGGGAGATACGGAAGTGGGTTCGGATATGGAAGAATGACGGGAGGAGGAGTCGATTCAGTGACCAAGGAGAAAAAAAGGCAGGGAATGGTTCACGGATTTCATGAGGAAGGCAAGGCGAACAGTTCTTGCGCACCAGGATAGCCTCGAGGAGACGAATGAGACGACAAAGTATACGTCTGCGGAAAAGGATGACGGCAGCGACGTAACGTCGACGAGGTGATATCGTCGTACTGACGAGGATCGCGGCATCAGCAGTGAGGCAAGACGAGAAGGCGGGTCAGAGGCGAAAAGGGGTGGATATAGAAGTGTAGAGATGTGCTCGTGTTTCGATAGTGGGCTTTATTTAGTTCTCATCTCTATCTCACCCTTCTTCCACAGTTACCCTAGCATCGCTCACTGCTAATATCTCCAAATGTTTTAGACTCTTAGAAGCTAATATCATCCATTTGATTCCACTCGATTTCATGAACAAACCTCGGTCAATCCTACCACGCCATTCGCTCCCTCCGTTTGTCCGAGCTGGAGGCTCTACTAGGACACACGCAGTAAATGCTCCGATGTCGTTGCATGCCGAAATTAGCTGTGCTTTCGATAGATCTCAAGAACGCGTACTCGGAATAAAATGGGGAGAAGGTGCAGGCTTCGAACTCTGAGTGGCTCGACTGGAGTGGAAGGACGGCGTGGGAGGGTGTTGGCGGGGTGGTGGACGCCGGCGAGGTGATGCCGATGACTGGCTGTTTAGGATTAGGGATGCGTGAGTACGTTGAGAATAACCGAGGTTAGTCGTACGGCCTCTGACATCTATCCAACCTCTATACCCTCCATGCTTGCACCACATTTATTTTTTCCCTCTTTCACATCGTTCCTGTTTCGCAGATATTGGCTCGCGTTCGCTCCATTTTGGTCCGTCGATTTGGATTGCGACAGGCTCACACACGTTATTAGCGATACTGTTCGGCACCACTCAGGGTTAGATGCGAATCGACCGGATGATCATATTAGTGAGAGCTGGACGATCACACCGGTGAGTGATTTATACAAGTGCCCCCTTTGGGAATATGGCTCTCATTCATTCAATTGTCGTCCGTCCTTTCTTGTGGTATCTCTATTGTTATCGCACAGATGCAGACTGGGTTCGATCCGCGTGCATTTCCTTCTCTCGGTGGTTGTTTTCAAGTTTGGATGAGTATTGACGGAAGTCTTTGCCTATGCTACCCCCCATGTCAATTGTCCCCGGAGCAAGAAGCCACATAAATGGACGGTTTATGGAAATGTTTTCGGAGTAAGTGGAAAGTTAGTACATGGTCCATATCACTCTCTCAACCTCTGCGTATTCGTTTTCCTCCGGCTTTCAGCCTTTGCATAGCAAAGAAGACCAGTCACGATCCACTAGTCTCTATTCTTCACAACGGCACTCATTGAATGTTTCAATGAGCTCCATCACGGAGCTTGTGTTCGATGTTCGTTGCTATCAAGGTCTTGTCAGTGCAACCCGTCTTTAGGGTCGATATGAATGCTCACACCTTCTTCCAATGATTTTGTGTCTCTGTGGAATCCTCATCCAACACCCTCTTCCTAGAATTGACCGGAGACTTGACAGTGAACTAAAGCAAATGTACGATGCGGTGAACAAGAAACGTCTCACTAGCCGTATAATCAAACGCAAAGAGACTACTCACCAATTTTTCGTGCTGACTATGCAGATGAAGGTTCTCCTTCTCTAGGTCTGCCAACCTCCTGATCAGTACCGTAATTGTGCTCTTCATCTCGTCATTTGTCTTCGCCACATCGCCATGATTGACCACGAGCTCGTCGCCTTCCCTCGCTATAACCCTTGCCTCTTTCATCTCAGGCTGGCTATCACTCTCGTCACCCGACGTCGCAATGGTATCTACCCATTCCTTTTGCCCTTCACCCATTATTTTTATGCATCCCATGTCGTCAGCTTTCCGCCGCAATGACTTCTTTTCAGTCACCTTGTCGAGTCGTATCGTTGACTCTTTGACATCGCGTTTCAAGGTCTGCTCGACCTGGCCCGCCCGTGCTTGGACCAAAGCTTCGTACTTGTGCTCCGCACAGTCAGCCCGCTCCACCAGGCGCTCGTTCTCCGCCTTCAACCTCTGACTCTCCACCATCAGCGACTCATTTTTACACTCGTTCTTCTCTGCGCACTCTCTGAACCAACGGGAATCGTCTTGCGCTTCCTCAAGCTCCCATTCCAACTCATAACTTTCTTCCCTGTATCGCTTGACGTCTTTTTCGAGGAGCTTGTTGGTCTTCTTCACTGCGAAGTATCGCTTCTTCCATACTTCCGCGCTCAGTTCCGCGTCATCATCGCATTCACTACCATTCTCTCCATCCCTCTCGTCCACCGTCTCGTCCCCTTCGTCGTCCTTTTCCTTCTCGTGACTATGGTCTGACGACTCATCTGCGACCGATCCGTTCATCTCTTTGTCTGCATCCCCTGTCACCGGCTTCTTCCCTTCCTCTAACCCTCTATGCTCATCACATCTGCCAACTACCACTCCACCGGCTCCCCTCCCCTCATCTTTTACCGGAATATGGTCCATTAGACTGTCCTCATCTCCCTCAACCTCTATGTCACCGGCTCCTAAATCCTGGACGGGTTCTAACGGGTGGCGCAGTGCGATGTTTGGGGAGGTCGTGCAAGGGGCGCACGGCTGGGTGGCGAAGGACGCAGTGCTCGTGGTTGCCCCGGAAGACATCTTGATGTCGAGGGTGGACATTGTAAGTTGATTAATAGTGTGAAGATTTTGATATGCGATGAAGATGGGATGGTAGTGGTCGAATATGAGAAGAGATCAAACGAGGTTTGAGGTCGAGCGTGAGCGCGCAGCGTGGTGTTCCATCAGTTGGGTGGCGTATCCGAACGCTTGTGGGCGCATGTAGGCGCTGATAGAACCCAGTGCAATGATGTACATCATTATCGATGAGTCTTCTTGACTCGTGGCCACGCCGTTGAGTATGACATACGGTCTGCAGTTCGCAGCACCGCTTTATTAGCCCGAGTCCCGTATCGTTGAGCAGGAGAAGCTCCCTACTCAAAACTTATCAACACGCCAGGGGTGTATCAAACTCTACTCGAAACAGCTGCTGAATTGCTGGTGAAGACCGATAGATGGATAGATCGCCAGTCATGACGGATGCACTGCGCCACACAAATCGCGATGCGTACCGCTCGCCATCCCATGGCTACTCAGGCCATAGCATCTATACTCGCTATTATACCTGATGTGCGAGAATCAAGGAAGGTGGCCAATCCTCATACTAACTGCGATATTAATGTCCGATCTTTAGACTTGAAGATGCTTCGCAGGCGGATGCGCACTCAGGTGCAACTTAGGTCAGACTACTTACTGACGAGCGTTCATTTCATACTGTTTCAAGGATCCCGCAATCCCATCGCTGCAGAACACGAAACCAGTGTCACGAATTGCACTTCTTCTGTAGTGAAGATGCTCCAGCGGCCGCTTCATTGGATCAGTATTTCTGTTCGTCAATCGCGACGTTGGGCCACACGACTTGACGGTGGCGGAATCTTAGTCAACAGATTAGATAAGATCTTGAGACCCGACCTCCTTTCCCTGCGAACGACTCTCGCATCTCTTTCTTCACCCATTCCCCTATCGCCCCACATCTACTACTCTGTTCGTCCTCAGGCTCATTCTTGCTTTTTACCTGCGATACCGCCCTTCTTTTCCGTCTATCCATCTAGGCGAACACACTATCTCTCATCGCACACTCACACGGCGACGACGACCACCCACACCGACGAATCTATAGCATGTCGAACGAAGACCACTTCCACGCCGTCTACGAGGCCGAGAAACAACTCCGCGCCAAATACGAAGCATGGAATGAAGAACTGCTAGCCGCGAACGCCACTCTACAGAAGAAACTCGAAGTCGAGAAGGCGGAATCGGAGAAGATGAAGGCGGAGTTGGAGACAGCGAGGGAGGGTACGCCGACGACGGAAGCGGGGCGAAACTCGGAAGAGAGGACGAAGAGGGAAGGGAAGAAGAGGATGAGAGCGGTAGTGGAGATCCCGGTGAAGGCTGCGAAAGTGAGTGGTGAGATGACGGCGGGGTCGCGGATGGAAGCGAAGAGAAGGGCGGCGGATGAGAGCGAACTGGTGAAGTTGAGAGTGCAGGAGAGGATTGAGTTGGACAATCAGGTGAAAGACTTAGAGTGCGAGGTGGAGAGACTGAAGGGGCAGGTGGAAGTGATGGTCGAGGAGAGGAGTGCGTTCGTGAAAGAGATGGATAGGTTGTGTACCGAGATGGAGTTGCTGAAGGAGAAGAGAGACGAGTCAGCGAAGGAGAAGGATCGGTTGCAGAACTTCAAGGAGGCTTTGGATGGGGAGAACTACGCGCTGCGGGTAGCGAAGGAACAGGTCATCGAGGAGAGGGACAGGTTAAGGGCGGGGATGGATGAGTTGAAAGTGAATAGAGATGAGCTGCTGAAGGAGAGGGATACGGCGATGGCGCAGGAGAAGCAGTCGCTCTCGAAGGTAAACGGCCATATTCTGGAGATGGGAATATTGAAGGCCGAACGCGACAAGCTTGCAGCCGAAGTGGATCGTTGGAGGCGGGAGGGGGAGGACCAGAGGCAGAGAGAGGCGGAATTGGAGAAGAGGGCGTTGGAGGCGAGGAGTCAGGTAGCGGCGCTGAGGAAGGACGTGCGTGCGTTGACAGACGAGCGCAACGGGTTGAGGCAACGGATAGGTGGCGACGTGAAGGCCGAAGACGTCGACGTCGGCCAATTAACGATGGTTTTGCAGGAGAGTCAGATGCGGTGCGACGAGCTCAGCAAGAAGCTCATGGACGCGGAGAAGACCATTGCGGATCTGCAGAACCCACAGATAACTCTCAAGACGAAGAGGGAACTGGAGCTGGAGCAGGCGATCAGTGCGTTGAGAAAGGAGCTTCAGACCACTAAACTGAGTCTGGACGTTAGCATGGTCGATGGGATGACTCTCCGGCAGAACGATAGGGCTAAGGACGAGCGGCTGCGCGAGTATGAGGCTCGGTTGACCTCCGCGTACGAGCAGGGAAAACATCTTAGCCAGCAGATAGACCGGTTGGAGGCCCAGAATGAAGAGCTCGTCGACCGGTACAGCGGAGAAGGGTCAAAGCGACGGCGTTTTTATACGCCAGAGCACTCGGAATATGGTTATGTGAGTGGTTCTTATGGCTTCGTCTTACGCAGACTAAACCTCATTTTTCGCATCCACAGCATCCTAGGGACAGATAGCGACATGCTCGCGAACTTGTCGTCAAGAACGCAAGGGCGCATCCGTTTTAGGTCAGAATTTATGCCCTGTTCGATATTACCTGTCACCAATCACCTTCCTCCCTTCCTCCCTTCCTTCCTTCCTTCCTCATCCCGCGTTATAGACCCGTCACCTCCGATCGTTTTGGCCAACAGGCAACGCCCATCGTCGCTCGAAAATCGTTGTATCGGTTCACGCCTAGAGGTGATATGCCGTTTATACTTACTTTTGGCTCAGATGCGTTTCTCGCTCGCTGTTTTCCTCGCATGCCCTACTTATTCTGTCCAGATGCCCTCCGCATCGTTCACGGAACTCCCTATATAGTATAGGCCATCAATCTCTGTACAATAAGGGGACACTTTCAAGCAGTTGAATCCAGATTAATTATGTTCCGAATGCACCTCTTGACGATCTGCGTGGACTCTGTCCCCTTGTGGCATAAATCAACCCATCCATCAATAACTTTAGTAGACTGTGTAGGATGTGGCCATCCTGCGCACTGTCGTATGGCACCTTCTCAGGGTTATTGATCTCATGATGGGTGTACCTGAATGGCAACGCCATGCACTGATTAAAACCATAGCGCTTGCATGGGTATATATACCCCATCATCCATGCTGGTCGTCGCGACCTACCGTGGTCAGTCATGATATTTATCATAATATCGTCGCTGTTGATCTTTCTTTTACCTGTAACTTCTCATGCTGCTCCGTCACACAACCTTCTTCCCCGTGCACCACGACCGATCTCCGTGGCTTCAGTAACTGAACTTGGGTCCATCACTCAGAACAGCTATGTGACAGGTGCGTCTGTGCCTTCAGTTTTTTGTTCGCAACGTTCTCAATGGGTTTCAGCCCGCGACAACGGTCAAAGTGCCTACATCAACGGCCTGTCTTACTGGTTCTTCGACGACACCGAGCTCACGAACAACTTGTACGCATTTATCTCATATTATCATATCCAAATACTTTGCCCACAATAGCTTTGCACCACATTCAGCCTGTCGAACACGGCGGCCGTAACGAGCGATCTCGACGCCTCGGACAACATCGTTCTTCAAAGCGCAGACTGGACGACTACGACCAACACCGGAAGTGTCCCGAGCCTTACCATCCCTGCAACCGACTCGGAGACAGCTTTTCAAAACGCTCACTCATCCTCGACGAGCGGATGCACTGGGACAACCGACGCCTTCTGCAACATGCAATACGCGCACTGGCCCAGTGCCGTCTTCGCGGATCCCGATAGCAATAGGATCCTCATCGGCTATAGCAAACTCTGTCGCGCGTCGGAGGGGTCTTCGTGTGCTAGTACTGCGCTGGCGGGAGAGACGCTGGGATGGGGTTTCTATGAGGCTGACTTGTCGTACGGGCTTGGACAGAGGGTGATGCCGAGTACAGGAGGGTTGACGGATGCGACGGGCGTGCAGGATCCGAGTTTATTTGGAGGAGCGGATGATGTGAGTTTTACGACAGGCGCGATGGTTTCTGATGGGTATGCGTATCTGTACGGAGGAGGGGATATTTTGCAAGGTTCTTTCTTGGCGAAGGTGTGTTGATTAGTCTACTATCTGCTTTTGCGCATGGGGATTGACGTGGATTTCGATTGACGTCTAGGCACCAATCGACGATTTCAGCAATCTTTCTGCCTGGACATATTGGGACGGGAGCTCGTACCAGTCGGATGTCAGTAATGTGAAGGGGACAATGTGAGTGCAACCTAATCGAATCACTGATTCTTTCAATGATCTTGGCTTCTATATATCAGAACGCCTGGTGCCGCAGGGAACACTGTCTTCTACAGCTCCGCGCTCGGCGGTTTCTATAACGTCTTCATGCCCTACGGGTCCAATACTGCCTACATGCAATCCGCATCCGCCCCAGAAGGTCCTTGGTCCTGTAAGTCTCCCCAGTTCCTCCGCCAGAATTCATTTTTTCGATCGATGCACTTACGGCTGTACGTCTGTCATGCATAGCGGACGTCGAGCTCTTCACATCCGTGACTGCCAACGGCGATACGAACTATGCATGTTATGCACACCCTGAGTACGCCTCTACGGACGGGTTGACGCAGTATATCTCGTATTATCAGCCGGGTTCGGGTGCTCAGCGGTTGGTCAAGGTCGTACTTCAATGACCATTCTTATTTTGGCTTTGTAATTCGTTTGCATCGCGAAGAAATGTGCGTGGAGGAGTCCGATGTTACCTGTTCGCCGTAGTTTAGATGTCATTAGACGGATGGATGAAGTATACAACGTCGCCACATGAAAGCTGTTTTATTGGAAAAATATCGACGGAAACTCCTGCTCTACTTCATCGTTGAACAATACAGGGTGTTGAGTTGGTGTTGAGCAAAGTGCCACATTTAATTGGGTGGCACAAAGGAGCCCTAACCCCGCTTCATGGTTTCTCATCGCCGCGTCGTTGAAATTTGAACAGAACGCGTCGTTATTATCGTCTGTCGCGTTCTGCTCTTACTCTTTCTCTGACTCCTTCTGTTCTGCTTGTCTACTCTCTAACATCTCTGCTTATAAAGATGCTTCAAGTTTGGCGATGTACTGAAGCTGTTTGCGCGACTTGAGCAGCGAGCCTGAGGACCCTCTACTTTCGCCCACTTCGGAATGCTCACATCGTGCAAGGTACTGCCTAAAAACATCCCCTGACCTCTGTAGAGTTGAAGATACGGTTTGTGTTTGTGGGCGGAGAGGAAACTGGTGCGTAGTTTCTGGCTTACTTCTCTCACATATCCAAACAAGAGGTGTAGACTACGGTGGATCGAGCTTCAGGCACGGTGTCTCGTCCTGACGTGACGAGGATTAGTTGTCGATTGTGGTTGCTGTTATGCTCACGAAGAGAGTTGGCATCGCATTCGTGCATGTTCTTTGTCTGCTGTATCGTGAAATACTGTCGCTCCGATTGGCTGTCATGCAGAGGGAACTGGTGCGTGGCCCTCTGGCTTACTTCCCTCACATATCCAAGCAAGGCTTCTGTGGATCGAGCTACAGGCACACTTTCGTCCTGACGTGACGATAATTAGTGGTAGATCGTGGGCGATGTTTGTTCACAACGAGAATTGGCGCATTCAGGGTTCGTGCAGGTCGTTTGTCTGCTGCATCACGAAATTTCGATCAGCTCTCGTCATTGCGATGCCTTCACTGGTAGCAGATCGAATTCACAGATCATTTCGAGATCTCAGAGATTTCGTCGTCGTCGTTCGCGACTGTCCGATCACGATATCTTGTCATAGGGATTTGACTGCGCCAAGGGCTTCCACCGGAGCAATCCGTGGCTACGTCCTAGCGAGTTATACCTCTTTGAATTGTCCGTGATCGTGAGCATGGGCGACTTAGGTCGCGACTTCGTCTAGCGGGCTCAAGCAGGGGTTCAGCACATATTCCCTTTCGTGCTGACCCCAAGCGATACAAGGTGTCATAGATTCATTCTTGGGACCAGGTGTGTGCACGGAATTTTCGATTTTGTTCCGAGGTTGATGAGGTACATATGTACGAGCAAGTTACGGGGATCTGCGCTCGGGAAGCACCACGGAAAGCCACCGCTTGGTGCAGTGGCTTCCCTCCTTGTATTTTCGGCCGAAATTCTTCGAGATCGCTGACGTCGTCCGTTTGACTGTGCAATCTTCTCAATCTGGTGTAGCGTCTTCTGAACGTGATTGCTTTTATGTGGCACCGTACACTACGCAAATTATATTGCGTTGTCTACTCTCACTGTATAGAACGCGGGGTATAAATTGGTGCTTCTATTGTCCTGGCCCCGCAGACCACATATTATACCCCGTGTCTTCGTACCATTCCAACGCCTTGATCACCAGCCTATCGTTGCGACTAGACATGTCCCAGAGCCTCAATGCATACTCTAAATCCGTCATCGACCGGGATGAGGCACCTATCACAACTACCAACTCCTCCATCTTCGTTCCCGAGGGTGCCCATGTTCCTATCGCATCTATAAACTCCTCCATCTTCGTCTCCGAGGGTACTCAGGCACCTGCCACATCTACAAACTCCTCCATCTTCGTTTCCGAGGATATCCTTACCACCATTACTTGCGCGGAGAAGGACAGATTGATCGTCCAACTCATACGCGCCAACCAGGAGCTTCGGACAGCTCTTGCCAAAATCAACACGGAGAACGTGGAGTTGGCGGAGCGGGGTCGGACATTGGCGGCGAGGGTTGGCGAGCTGCAAGCGATGTTGAGGCGAGAGTCTGAAGGGTTGGAGTTGGTTCAGAATACTGGATGGGACTTTTCACCAGTGGATTGGAATGAATGACCGTTGATCTGGAGAGGTTGGAGAAGTTGGTCGGGTTGATTGATGGACAACGCACGGGTGCATTAACGATCGCATCGGTTTTCCATTATTGTAACGACGTGGAGTTGGAGGTGTTGTGTGCGAGGACGTTGCTGTGTGGCTCAGAGCGGATGGGTACGCTCGATACCAGTGTATACACCTCCGAAACGGACCAGGACGAGTTTTTGATGTTCTTACAGTTCTACTTGTTTGTGATCTTTGTTATACAGTTCGTCACGCATCTTCAACCATCGTGTTACGAGAATTGAAGACCTTTTGGGACAAGGCTTTATGTGTGATTGTACGTCTCAGAGAATGCGACAGTCGATTGCTCTATTTCCTGTCACCACTTACAAAACTTCTCTCACTTCACGACAACTCTGCGTTCATATTTACTGATGAGTCTGTCTGCGTATGTATTCTCTTATTGAACAATCGTTGACAATGGCTGGTCAAAACGGAGGGCCTAGTCGCCTAAGAGGAGTCGGCACGTTTTTGGAATATAATGCTTGAGACCGGATCTGCACCCATGCAGTCGCCGTCGTTTCATGCGACGTGCGAGTTGTTGGGCCGTGTAGAGGATATGGATGCGACATCACCGGAGGATCATCTAGCCGCTTACTCTGCTGTGTACGGGCAAATATCAGGTATGCAACCCGTCGTCGTCTGCTAGACGACTACAGTGACTGGTCTATGCAGCCTCTTGTATTGGACATCACGACCACGGACGAACATTTCTGGGTATCTGAGCCTTCCACTATATGTCCGGCCAGCGAAGCAGCGTTTCGTACCCATATGTGTGCATCGTAACCTTCTCTGTTTGTTGAGCATTGCTTTATTCATTGATCCTCACTTATCGCGTGCATTGTCTGTGCGTCTCCAGTGAAACTAACCAGTACTTACGTCTGCGCATAGATTTACCACCACTACCGGGAGCATGCCTGCGAAGGCGCACCTTTGCAAACCTTCGAGCATGACGGGATGGCCAATATAGCTTTTGTATAAGTGAGCTCTCGAGCTGTGAGGTGCGACCATTCTGTTCAAAGATCAGTGGAATGACACTCCCCCCGTTTGCGCTTTCGAGATGCATCAAGATATTCTGACCGATGTCCTTCGGACCCTTCAATCTTATCATTATCCTTCTAAAACATTCCACGAAAATTCAAAAGGAATGAGACACTTCATCGACGTGCTCGAATCGCGGAAAAGGTAAGTAAAAGCAAGAGAACATGGGAGAAGGAACGGGAATGATCGCGCGCAACCCAGGTGCGACATCCTCCACTCTGCTCAACATTCCACCCTTAACCTAGACAATTGATACGGCTCAGCGGGGGTCCACCGTAGGACCCAGAGTAGGCGCTGGCACCTTCCCACAAAAGTTGACTACTAGATACGGCAACCGGTCCAACCCAGCTCATCACCATCGGCGGTCCAGTCTATCTCTTCGTCCGCCGGTGTAGCCGCGCCTGCGTCTGCGACTGTATCCACCCACGACGAAATACTGCCGGTCATCGTAGGAGAGTGTTGTAGACCGCCGTCTCCCAACACTGCGGATCCTTCGTCCAAAGAGTCTAAATGATGGCTGTGCTTGGAGTCCGAGCCGGGATCAGTGTCGGTACTTGTGTCCGTGTCATCGCCCACGTGGGAGGAGGCTACCAGATGGTTGATTTGAAGGTGAAGCGTAGGACCAGTGCCAGGAGTCGGGGAGAATGTGGAGGAGTTGTTCAAAGGGGAGAAGGAGCTAGGTGTAGATGAATGGTCGATCGTGATACTGTGATTAGGAATAATAGGAGGGAAGGTAGGCTCCGTTGTTGAAGACATATCAAAATGCCATAGCGGTACTATAGCAGGGCGGCGAGGGTCTGCATCGCTTGGTGTCCATTGCCATAGATCTGTCAGGTATATCGCCAGGTCCATGGCATCACCGGTCTTTCTCGTGCGTGGATAAAGGTTTGTTAGGCGGGAGAGACTTGCGTATACAACATTTGGGATTCCAGCGAGGAGGAAGAGGACAGGGAACGCGCCATTGCTTATGATGGTGACGCCATCGTTGTCCAGGCGAGGGACGTATTCCTTGGCTGAATCCGACCAATGAACGTCGAAAGGATTCACAGCCTGTTTAGGCGGACAGCTGAGTAGCCTGAAGAGTTGACGGTAAGGGAGTCAACTCACCCGAAACACGCGATGATTTGGGCGACCGATGTCGAGGCCGTCGCTTGCGATTCTACACTTTCGATAAGCAATCCATTCCTCCTCAGCATAGATCCATTCATGAAGGACGTCTAGAGTCGGGAAGAACGTCCAGTGACGATTATCGAATTGTTCGTGGAGAGATTTGTCAACTATCCGCGCCGCGCCCACCAGGTCAGCCAAGGTTAGCGATGGTAGTACAGCGAGGCTCAAACTAGTACTGACGGGGAACGATGTTCTCATACGAAGTTATCGTCATGTCGGGACGACACAGTTTCAGGGTTAGCAACCTCTTCAACTGCATATGAACAGACAACATTAATACAAATAGATAAAAATAGTTGAGCAAGAAGCCAACAGACGGTAAGTATCATTTCAAAATGCAAGACTAACCTGTGAGCCTCTTGCTGCGTGGGCATGAGGTATAATATGTGCCCACTCTACACTTCCTCGCTCGCCGTCTATTTCTCTCGTGAGGATGCATCTCTTGCCATCATGGTGGCGCCCCAGCTTAACCTCATCGTTGCGGGCGATATAACGGCTGTCGGTACTCGCTACTGATGAGTTGGAGGTAACCGTTGACGATGCGCTGGAGGTCAATCGCCTCCGGTGGTGAGCCATTGGAAAGGGGAATACTTAGCGGTACAGACAAGAGAAGGGGAAAATTGTGGCGCCGGCTGTTCAGGAGCCGTTGTGTCTTGTTTGGATATGACGCGCGTACGCTTCAATTATGTAATCTTGGCAACGCGCTTCATATCTCTTGCTTTCTCTCTTCGTCCCTCTGCCGGCACAAGCATACTCGATACCTTACCCTTACTGTTACTGGGAGTCAAATAAGTCTCATAGAAATGTCGGAAGCAACACCTACAGAATCACAGTCGGAGATTCAGATCAACGTCAAAGGTCAGCTCGGTCCTCCATCTCTACCTCCCAGCTCGCTCGTGATATCATACCTGGTCGACTCTGTCCAGTGAGAGTGAGACCTGTGTACTGACCAAGTTGCGTTGTATTGGTCGTGTACCAGGTCCGAGCGAGCTGAAGCTGCAGATATCCATCACCAGGGACAAGACGGTGCGGGAGCTGAAGCAGGCGATCGCCGATAAGTCGGACGTAGAGGCGGATAGGCAGAGGTTGATCTACTCTGGTCTGTCTCGCTGCTCTGCTTACTCTTGGTCCAATGCTTATGAGCGGAATGTGGCCAATATGGTAAAATAGGACGAGTGCTGAAGGTACGCGCGTTCGTGCTATCGTCCCCATTATTTGTTGCCACACATTTTCTGACCGTTTGATCGACCCGTCACCTCATCGTCGTTCCTTCCGCCATATCCATCTCACGTCACATCTACCTCTGCTTCCTCTCCTCTCCTCCACTCGCCCTTCACACACACAAACAGGACGACGATGCTCTCTCAATTTACAAAATACAATCTTCCCACACCATTCACATGGTCAAAGGCGCCGCGCGATCCGCCAATCCATCATCCTCCACTTCTTCTACCGCAACACCGCAACAGCTACCTACAATGCAGGCCGGCCAGAACGTTCACGACCCGTTGACGCAACTCAATAGTCATTTGGGGTATGGGGCTATGGCGGGGCTGAACCCGTTTGCGGATATGGGCGTGAACCCCAATGACCCAAATATGGTGCGTTTTTGTCTCGTTATTCTTGGATTTTTCCTCCATCGTCCGTACTCGAAATCGTGTAGCTACACTCGGTTTCGTCCTCCTCATTTTCTATCACTTATTTAATGTCCGCATGCTGATCTGACCACAATACTATCATCCGCTTTGATAGCTTCAAGGGATGATGAACTCTCCGGAATTTCTCCAACAGATGTCCGCCGTCATGTCCAACCCAGCAATCCTGGACCAAATCATCGCCTCGAACCCACAACTAGGCGCGATGGGTCCTCAGGCCCGTGAGATGCTCCAGAGCGAGCGGTTCAGGCAGATGATGTACGTCTTTTTCCCTGGCCCATTCCACATCCCTTTCCGAGATCTATCACATTCGTTCTCGTCTCACTTCTTATCTTTGCGCACTCACTCGCTGTTTAATGACTTTCCTTTCCGAAATCCTGTACACTGTCCGCAAACGAATACAACGCCACCCATCGCACGCATCCACTCTCTTTCGATTTCGGCCGAACTGCCAACAGGTCGAACCCTGAGACCCTTCGCTCTATGCTCCAAATGTCCACCATGCTCCGCGAAGCAGGTCTCGGCCCAGCTGGAATGGGAGGCATGGGCGGTGGCATGTTCGGTGGCGGCGCAGGCTCGTTCCCCGCCCCTGGCGATCCCAACGCACCTCCCGCTTCTTCTACCCCCGCGACTGGCACGGCCGGTGCGACACCGACAAGCCCGGGTGGGGCAGGACTGGGTGGGGCAGGTGGAATGTTCGGCGGTATGGATCCGAATGCGTTGATGTCATTATTGACATTGTCGGGCGGGGCCCCTGGTGTTGCGGGCCCTGGGGCGGGAGGCGCTGGAGCGGGTTTTAACCCGTTCATGGGGACGGGTGGGGGATGGGGAGCTCCGGGTGGTGGTGCGTTTGGAGGTGCGGGAGGATTTGGGGCAGGAGGAGCGGGGAGTCCGACGACGCCGAGCGATACGAGGCCGCCGGAGGAGAGGTTTCAGGTTCAGCTGCAGGTGCGTTTGTTACTTTTACTTTCTTTCTCATTGTGTATGTCTCATGCGAATGCGATCTGGTGTAGCAATTGCAAGATATGGGCTTCTCGAACGCGGCGCAGAACGTAAGGGCGTTGTTGGCGACGGGTGGGAACGTGCATTCGGCGATCGAGTATATCCTCGGCGGGGGAGGGTTGTAGGTCTGCGAGTCTTCGTGTCCACGTCTTGACGTGCGTGGAGGGGGGTCGTACGATCACAGGAGCGTGTTTGGAGTGGAGATGGGGTCCTCTTACTAGAGCCTATTCGGACGAGTCAGCTCCGAGAAGAAGTCCAGAAAGCAATGTACTCGAGATAACGAGGAGAGGACATTTGAGCGGGTGATACTGAATGTACAAAGATTCGAGAAGACGAGACATTATGTGTGTGGATCACTTTCTGAACGTTCACGGTCTTGCTGTTATGTACGTATTTTTGTGTTTGTAGGCTACCACTGAAGATGAACCAAGAAGTCGTCGAGCGTGTATTCTGATACGAATGTTTCATCGAGAGCGGTAGACGTATGCGAACGATGTTAGACAAGGTCACATAGCGAGTGAGTTACTTTTTGCTATGTAATTCTTTCTCCCTCTGCGTTTCAAACCTCCAATTGCGCTGGATGTCATAATCGTGAGTCGTGATATAGGAAAACACAGATCGCAACGTCCCCATGCAACCTGTCCATCCACTCTGTAACACAAAATCCAACCATACCATGAGCCATTCGTGTAAGTAAATCCACTCGTCATGAAAGCTTCGTAACGGTCATTTATTTAACGGTCCTATCCTGGAACCGAGTCAGAGGAAGTAGGCGAACAGAGCCTCAGCCGGCCACATCTCGTAGGTATTCGTCAGCAGCGTCCAGTCCAAGAACGTACACATCATATCCTCCGCTGATTATGACTTCCCAAGGCTCGATCGAATGATATTCTGGAGGGTGTATCCATCGTCCTGTTCAACACGCGTATAGCTTGTTAGCACACAGAATGGAACTGAAAAGAGGAAAGCAGCAAGAACGTACCTGATCCATCGACCACGTGAAACAGCCTGGAAAATAACAGTGAAGGTTCAATCTTATTGGAAACCGGAGAAATGAGGTCGAGGCCTATACTCACCAGCCATCGACTGTGACTTGGCATAGGCGGCTTTATCGCCAAGTGAATACGTATCTATAAACGCAAATACATCCTCAGAATGAACTCCCAAGCATGCAAGACGAGAACGTACCATCGTACGTGACCACCGTGCTCTCCGACGTGTCATATAAGAACTATACGTCCGAATGCGCAAATCAGTATTTCGACCACCTGCAATGGGACCAGTCGCGACTCACCGGCGTATCGCTACAGTCATCCCAGGCTATCGACGTATCTCGTCAGCACACGTTGTAAGACCTCGTCCCGGACCTGAGAGACGAAGAACATAGGAGAAGCAAACGCACCCATAGTGAACCCGCCACCCTGTCCATACACCCCGTCCGAGCCGAGGACCAGAGCGCCCGAACTGACGATATTGGCGAACGGGATCTGCTGTCCGTACCAGCTCGTCAGATCCACATCCTGTGCTTTCACCTTCCCATCCACTCCCTTCGCCCCGGTCGACCCATTGACGCCACTAGTTGGATGGCTCGGCCTCGCATTCCTCCCTCTCGGCGCCACCTTCGCATCCCCATTCCCTTGAGCAGCAGAAGAGGACGAAGGAGGCAACAAGGACCCGGTCAGACCTGTCTTCGTGCTGTCGCTCACGTATCCGTATAAAGGTAGCCCAAGGAGAAGTTTGGACGCGGGCATGCCAGCAGAGGTCCATTGGGAGAACGCAGCTTCGGCGGAGTAATTCGGGAGGGAGGATGTTCCGCATAGGTCGCCTGTGAGCGTGAACAGGGTAAATTGGAGCGTATCAGCTCAGTTGAAAGAGTAAGGAGATGAAGATTGAAAGGAAGGCGCACCGAGGGGCGCGTTTGGGCCTGGTGTGCTCGACGATTGGAAGATGTCGTAGTTCCTGTAGATACCGCACCAAGTTTAATTAGTACCTAGCGCTTCCATCACACACAAACAAATCGTCCAAGAAGTGTAGATTTGACGGTAGGGATTGTTTCGAAAGGGTTGACATAGCCATGGGTAGAGATGCGAAGAGACGTACATTATGTTCACATAAGTCATCTGCGCCGCGTAACTCGAGACGTCCGTCAACGGGTTTCCGTCCGAGCCCAACCAAGGCAGATCCGTCACTGCTGCTGAAATGATCGCCGAAGAACCTATCCATGTCGTTTTTCGTCAGTCCAAAAGGGCGCGAGTCAAAGAGATGACGGTAAAGGTGCGGGATGGGTACGAGGAGGGAAAATATCGGTGTAATACGTGGAAAGCATAAAGTGGATGTAAAGAGCAACGTAGGTGCACGCACCGAGTTTGGAACGAAGAGAAGTGAAGAAGGAAAGAAGGTTGGCGGAGTCGGACGACGAGAAGGGGTTGCCTGCGCCGGTTGAGTTGGGGTATTCCTAGTAGATTCGCGGGGAAAATCAGTCGGGCTGTCCAGGTTTCATTCTCTGCGGCGGAGAGGTATTACCCAGTCGATGTCGATGCCTAAAAGTCAGATAGATAGATGCGTCATCAGTTCTCTGAAGGCGTAAGGGGAAAATACGCGGTAGGTTATGTATGTGGCATGGGTGAAGTCATATGGCAAAAAGATGGAGAGGTGCATGTCATGGGAGTAGTATAAAAGGGTACGATGAGATTAAATGGAGATGTATAGGCATATAAGTACCGGAAAGCCCATAAGTGCTCACAGCGCTCGACAGCGCATTGATGAACGTCGTACGGTTCGCGGAGGATGACATCGCCTGGCTGTATGCACAACGCACACGCATATATCGTGGGCCACGGTGAGGTTGTGAATGCCAATAATGAAAAAGGAACGCTCTCGGCAACGAACCTGAACCAATACGACCCACTCCACCCTAAACACAAACAAATCATCAGCCGACTTCTCCAATACGCACAAACACAATCAGGAAACCGTAGTGCAAGACGTACCTCCGACCGAAAGAACGATCTTCGTCCCAGCCCCACTGCTATTCGCAGAGCTCACGAGCCGTTGAAGGAGAGCCTGAGAACCGGAGTCCCAGGTAAGGGTCGAAGACGAGTTGGGCGTGGCAAAGGCTGTTATGAAGTAATGCAGTTGAGACGATAAGTCTATGCTCGAGAGATGTAAAACAAGAGGTGAAGCAGCGCACCATATAAGAGGATATCGAACTTCGAATAGTCAATATTCTCTGGGGCGATCGTATCTTCGGCCCAATCTAACAAAAGCACAGAGCATCAGTGTGATCTTTTACAGGCTTTGGAGCATGGATTAAGTAACTTACCAGGATAATAAGAGGCGGCGATGAACGTTGCCTCCGTCTTCGCTTCTCCCTCTCCGGTCTTAGCCGCACCATTCGCATCTACCTTCAACAACTCTGCCTTCAACTCCAGTGCCTTCCTCCTCGTCATCGTACTTGGCAACGCATCCTCCAAATCGAACCTCTCGTCTTGGCTTTCCCCCTCTATGCCCTGACCGTCACCAACAGCGAGGAACTTTCGAAGGGAAGACGAATCCCGGTATTCGGGGGAGGAGACGAGGTAAGAGAGATATGACGAGAGACCAGCTTTCCGTTCTGCGATGAGGGAGTCATCGACCCAAGCGGAGGGAATGAAGGTCGTGGTGAGGATCCGCTTTGGAGGGAGCGAGATCGGTGGTTGGGTGGCGAAGGAGGAGTGTAAGGCCAGAAACTAGTTGTATGAAAGAGTCAAACCAGTCAGTTCGTCACGTGTCGTTTCATTTCGATGATGCAGGATTTTATTGGGATGTGGAGAGGGGGTCGACGGTGGTGAAGGACAGGAGGGAGATATGAGGAATGGAAAACGTACATCAGAATAGCGCTTCTGCACCACCCTTAGTTCGGTACCGTCTCCTTCGACTTCCACCGAATAAAGCACATGCGGCCTCGGCGACGACGCAGTCGTATGACTCTTGATGGATACGGTGGACAGAGACATCGTCGGTGGACTGTGAGGTTAACGTCTATCACTGGGATGCGCGGTGGAGCCTAAGGACGAGAATGGGTGTCGAAAGGCCAAGTACAGAGGATAGAAGCCAGTAGACAGCCTTTTATACGCATCAGTCGCATCTCAGGGAGAAGGGTCAGGAACTCGTACGAAGATATGTATGTCGCGTGGTGGGCGTTGTACTTATTCGAACCTAGCGATGCAGAAGACGAGGCGTAACCACCTGCTTGCAGCCTCGTACGACCTCGTACGACGCGTCATGGCTATACCATGAAAATGGAACTCAACTACCTCCCCTAAGAACGACGAATCCGTTCTTCTGCGGTATACGGTTCGTCATGAGAGTTTTGGACCTGGGAAACGAGGCGGAAGGGACGAGAAGCATGGGCGGATACACGTGAATGTATCTGGCGATAACGACAACTGTTTTCTGGTCAAGTAGAGAAACGGGAGGTCGGAACGAATGCAGACAGGTATAGCGAGTGCTAAGTGCACCGATGAGGACCGTCGAGTTGGAAAGTCGCAGTGAGATGAGACGAGTTCGTCCACATCACAGTCGAAGAGAAGTGGCGAGAACGCCGAGGTGTGGCGTTGCGCACCCTAACCTTGCATTATGGTTTGGGTCCGCCCTCTGCAACGTTGTCTCCATGTCTTGACTCGTTCTTTGCAGTACCTATGACCTTCAACACCCCCGTCGCAATACCGAAGCTCACACCTCATCTGGGGCTTCGTAGATATAGCCCGCCCCTAGAATTCTCAAGGACTTGGGTACTACGAAACTGTATAGGCGATGTTGGGTAGGCCAGCTTCCGGTGCGCTGTGATCCCCATCTTCGAGTGTATTCCAACTGCTCACAGATGTATAAATGTATCTTTGTTGTCCCTGTGTCAAATCTATGAAGGGTTACTCATGATCAACCCGGCGTAAAGTGATGGGTCTAGTGGTAGGTACAATGTAAACGACTCTCCGAACATCCTTCATTGCGGATCTCGGGCTAACACGATGCGATGGCAGTCACCCATGAGTTTTCTTAACGAGCGTCGTTGAAAGTCCCACCTTATTTGGGTTATTCATGGACAGTGTTGGTGATGTATTTCACCTTTCGTCATGACTCTATTCACATCGTCATGCGAGCAGAACAGATTGGGCTCTGTCTTCACTAGCCTGTGACCCACGTCTCGACGCTTTCACTAAAAGCTGTACGCCAAGCTAATCACCATGTGGAGGAGTGGCTGCTGTTTCCCCCACAGACGGCAAAGCTCCGGCGACGAATGTTGACGCTGTTATTCGTCCTCTGAAAGTGTGCTTACAACTAGGATGAAACTGTACGTTCTCTTCTGTTACCTTCGGCTTCGGTTACTTTCACGAGCGGGATATTATGTTCACAGCCAGGGGTCTTACGATTTGTAAGTCATTTTGTGCTGTTTCGCCGGGCCTAGCAGTGCAAGGCTATTCTTCTATGAGCGACTGTGGCCCTAGCGCCCAGGACAGACGCTCTTTGTTCTATTTGAAGCATACTGCCCACACGTCTTCCCGTCCCGCCCCCGGGGTCTCGAGCACACACACACACACAGTCTTACGATCTGCATTTGTCGTACGTGTCTGTTGCATAAACCGAGTGAACTACAACTTCTGATGCAAACAGTGCGCTAACGTTGTGAGAGACTGAAGAACTCGTCATTTTTGACTAGTAAAGGCGTCGCAACTCCCCGTCTTACTATTCTTCCCATGAACGGAACAAACTGGCATAGTCATCGTATCACTTATATAGGGCTACACGTCACTACTGTTCTGGACATCCGTGTCCTGTGTCAGTGGCAACTCGGGTTCAGGCCGGCAATCATCGGTTTTGTTTTTCGGAAGGCAGTTTACTGGAAGCATGCTGTGTCTCGTGGCGTGAGTGTTTTCCGTTCTAGATCCCACTCATGGCGGGTCCGCAGTAAGCGACAGGACCCGCTGTGGCATCCGATTGAGCAAAGATATCCTTCAGTCGACTTCGGCCACATCATGTACCCGGTACCCCATCTAAAATTTTAAGATACGCCGTCACCGCACTTGGTATTGGGTGTATAAGATACATGGACTTTGTTTGAATGAACTGGACGCCGGAAGTTCTCCTTCAGATCAACATAGGCGCACCATAGAGCTATGGTAACATCACTATCGGACCAAGTCTTCATTGCAGACACAATTCGGTTCGTCTCTCACACAGTTCGCATGTATTGCTAAACTAATCAGCGAAACGTCCCAGTCTTATCAATAATTACGGCGTTGTCTCCTCTACTGGTCTGTATCTTTACCTACCCCGTGTTGACCTCTTTCGTTCCTAACCTCCCTGATCATCATAGTGCTTTGGTTGGCGGACTTCCTCGCTACATTCCCGATCGAAGTTGCCACTATATGGTCACGCAAGCCAACTTTCCACACCATCGTCTTTCTTGTGAATCGGTATATGCTTCTATTGTACCTGATAACCAACGGTATGTTCTATTTTCTGAAAGACGTAGAGGACAATGCGTAAGTACTGGCAATTATCTTCTTCAAAGTTTGCCTTTCTAATTTTAATTCGACAGGTGCAGCACTCTCGGATATCTAGCACAGGCATATCTCATGGTCTGCACTATAGCATCCGGAAGTAAGTTAATATTAGTCGCAGAAAAGCGTGGATCGCTCATGATTCTGCGCCAGTCCTATTGACGCACCGAGTATCCGCACTTGGGACACGGAAGAAGGCCGTCATATCATTATCGGGAACCCTCCTTTCAGTCCGACTAGGATTGTTGATATATGTTCGTGATATTGCTTTTCTAAATAGTCGCACTCTGATTCTTCGATTGTAGACTGGATTCATCCTGCGAATCCCTTCGCCAATAGCAGAATATCGCCATCCGAGCTATCTCAGGTGTAGATTTCGCGCACATAATCCGACACTACTTGCATTGTGAGTCTCTACAGCGTCATCCTTGTGTACCCCACTTATATATCCATCACGGTCAGCTGTACGTATGATGAATCTCTTGAGAGCCAATAACAGTCCTCAAGTTCAAATTATATAGGCACGCAGATACTAACACCAGCAGTGGACTCCGTATTCGATGTCTTTACCATCGTTCTCACTCTCCGAAGATGCTATCACCATGCAGTAGAAATGCGTCGGCTGCGTAAAATTAGCGTGGCACAGATACTTCTTTGTGACGGTGAGCACAAGCGCTTTGTATACTGTACACGTACGTCTAACTGATTCTTGGTTGTTAGGGATAAGATACTTCGTGTGAGCAAAACGTTGCTGTGGAACACAGAGTTGCTACTGATTCTTCTGTATCTATCCCGGATCCAGCATTAGTTTTCTCCTTGAGGCTGCCTCTCTGTCAATTGGGATAGTGCGTTAATTGTTTGTGTCACATCTCTCGTGTCTTACACTTTTTCTTTCTCATCGTCAGATATCCCCATTATCCAGAGGTGATGTACGTTTCCGGTCTGTCAAGTGGTATGCTCTCAATTTCTGATCTGAATACCACCATCAGTTGTCTCCGCAACGCTCCGCCCTTTTCGAAATAGCATCTCCTTTTTCGGTTGTGTGCGTAATTTTTGCCTCTCATGCGCGCATCTTCCACTGTACTGGACATGGATGCCGAATTGAATGATTTATCCTTCCCTTAATCTGTACTGATCCGTCTTGACCACAAAGGATACCGAACCTTCTCGTCAATCGCCTAGTGCTAAACCTTCGAACATGCACATCAACCCAAATCCGTACAAACGCCCTCACCCCTCACCCGACAATAAGTTTTACTAGCCGTGAGATCAGATCGACGCCGACCAGAAACGGTACAGATGCTGTTCAGCATTCTAACTCAAGGGAGGGTGGGATGAATGAAGTGATCGTTTCGGAGAAGCGTGCGTGCTGAGATGACCGGTAAGCAAACATGCAACCGTACGAAATTTACGACTGACATTATTCACCTCTTGCTCGGTTTCCTACTTGGACAGAACACCGTAGTGCGTATCACTGATACCCGGGGTTATCTTCGTGGACTCGGACTTGTTATGGACATCGCGATCGATGTATTATGTACGGACTTTGTTAAGGACTTTATGCCTTGCCACTCACGACCGCAGTCATGTACGCTCATGAAATCCCGTTATTTATACCTTATGGACCTCCTAACATATGACACACGACTACATTGATGTCACGGACAGCTTATCATTATACTTGATGTACAGTTACATGATTCTCAGACCCTTGATCCGGACATTCAACCGTGGATTGTTGTACTTCTACTATTCAATATTCAGCTTGTTCTAGTTGCGCAGCACGTCCTTGACGGCCTAGCTATCCGTGAGGCACATCGATATGCTGCCTAATCAACATCGAACCGTTGTTTCGCAAATGCGATCAATTCTCCGTCCTCGTCCTTTCTTTTTCTGGTTTCGGGCCACCTTCCTACTTGTGTATAGATTCCCACGAGCTAATCGTTCTTTATCCTGGATGAGTTTATCGATCAATCGCAGCCGCATGCCCCACATGTATTGCTGTGCTCAACGCTTTTCTTCACAACAACGCAGTGTAGGTTCACTGATATCCGCGCTATTGCATCGCCTTGACCACATAATTTAGTGCTGAATATCGGATGCGGAGTGTCTATCCGAAGTCCAGCTATCTCCTTGTGGATGAAACTTCCCGCAAGAGCGCTCTTCCGACTCGTCAAGCGAGAAAAGGAGACATAAATGTGTCATATGTGCGGGTTGATATCTTGAGACATCTTGTCCAAAGTGTTCATCCTCGCGTTGTTGGTGGTACCTGGGGCCCCGATACACGAATTCTGTATATATACGTTGTTGGACGTGAGATCCTGTTCCTCGCACGTACGCCATTCCACATAGCGTGAGTATCGAACATGATTATCTCCCCACAGGACTTATTCGCTCTCCAGCTTTGGTACGTACATCGGCAACGCTCTTGTCCCTGTGATTTATAAACCATTCATTCTAGGTTGGTTAACGATTATGCTGTATTGTCAGCGAACGGTAAATGTTGCACTTATATATAAGATACATATCCACTGTCTGATGCGAGTGGTGCAGTTCTCTGGGTTGCCGACCTCATTGCGACACTACCGACGGAAATCCAGGTTGTTTGGTTCAATAGGCCGACAATTTGCTCTCTCATATTTATGCTCAACCGATATATGTACCTTCTACATCTCATATTCGAGGCTATGACGACGTTTCCCAGTGGGAGTCCGTTGAGCGACGGGTACAATTCGTTCTGAGATCTATTTCCTTTCGTTGTCTAACAGACTCTGTTCACCAGAACTTGCGCTATGCTGGGCTACATAGAGGAGATGACTGTCATCATTTCAATCGCTACGACTGGAAGTAAGCCCAAAACGTCCGCTTCTATGGAGGTATGTCTTTTTTTACTAACAAACACATCTAGTCCTAATCACCATCCGGGTCTACGCGATATGCGGACGTAAGAAGTCAGTCGTTTGGATATCGGGCATATGTATCGCACTAAGATTTGGGCTTGATGTTTTCGTTTGTCTTCCCTTCCCCATTCAGCCTTACTATTTGATGCTAAATCTTTTATGATTAGGTCGGTGTCATTCAACAAAAATCTGTTTCCACTGCTGGCACTTTGTATTATGTTTTATCCCGCTGTACATTCGTGAACGAGGATCCAGCATGGTTCGCAGCGTGGGTCACCTACCCAGCCATTGTCTCCAAATGTGCTAACATCACTTTCAATTATATTTGATAGATGTGAGGCCTTCAGCTTTCACGTCCATATTCATACCTGGACTCACCAGAAGTTATACATCCGTTTCAGGCCTACAGCTAGTTGTTCCAGCTGTTGCGATTGCATTCGACATTTTCATTGTCACGCTTACACTCATGAAATGTGTTCGACACTTTCTTGAGATGCGCACAGTCGGTCAATTTAGTTTGACACGATTGCTACTTCGCGACGGTACGTGTCATGACATATGTTCAAGGCAAGACTCGCTCTGAAATGTGTCAAGGCGTTATGTATTTCCTGTCAGTCTGGAGTATGACCTGGATGTTGCGCCGTTCTGCTCACGTTATTTTGCCTAACAGAATCATGTTGACGATCGGAGCTGTCTCAGTTGGGACTGGTATCGTGAGTTTGGATAGTCGTCATCTCACTATACCTCAGAGCTCACTCAGAGCATGTTGTTCTCTTAGATATCGCTAGTTGTGGGTGGTAATGCATGTGCTCATCCTTTTCCCCCCATTACTCTCTCGCCATTACTGATTACAAATCGTCGTTGGCATTAAATCAGCTATCACCCGGGCAATCAGCATTTTTTCACATCACAGTGCCATTCTTCAACGTGTAAGTTAGTTCCATACACACTCCGATTCTCATATGGAAGTTCAATATTTACAATCTTGACACACGCACTCTTAATGGGACATGGTCAGGCTCCCCAATATTCTCATCTCTCGGCTGATCCTGAATTTGAGGGCCTGCTCTTGCTCTCGAGAGCGGGGTCATACTACAAAGAGCCATGCACTCCCAGACCTTGAAGTTGCCGAACGGTTCTCATTAGATTACTTGGATACAGATACCTAGATATCGCCGACGTGCGCTCTTCAGTCGGACTTGGTCACAATTAGTAAGCGATGCCCTTTTCCAGTAAGTATAAGTACCCAAGAGAACTCACAGACCGCATATCACAGGACGGAAATTCCGATGAGAAGGAATCAAAAGCAAACATGGATGTATTATCTGTCACACTTTATGAAGCCATAATCACCAATAACTAGATTGCTTCTCGAATTGCGAGGCCACTCTCTCAGACTTGCCATGCAGACAGTAGATGCTAAGCGGAAACATAGAGCGGTCTCTTGGAAGAACAAGGTAGCATCCGACTATCCTTATTGGATTCAAAAACAAACACAACACATGATGCAACAGGTATAGGTAGGTCATAGCTACTGGAGCGCGTTGGAAAATTAGGGCGCGTTCGGCTGCCATCAACGTTGCAGCGTTGCCCCGCCAAAACACGAGAGAAGCGCTGCAGTCCCTAAGCTTCCCGACGGCTCACGGGTACAGTGTTTCTCAGCTGTTTGGCAGAGCAACGCTGCATCGTTTCTGGTTGCCGAACGCGCCCTTAGAAGTCGATATCATGGTTACTTGGCGCAAGTATCTATCGTTAACCTCATGTTCAGGTTCAATTTCCTTCTTTCCTCATCACCATTCTACGCTGCCCAGTTCATGTCTATATTTTTACTCACGTCATCCATTGTCGCTGTGCATTCTCTGCTATTGCGTTTTAATGTGGATTCTTGCTACACCACAAAAGCAGATAATGGAGTGATGTGGCGTACTGGCCGGCAACTTGCGATGCCTACTCCGAGTCACTCCCAATCGTTCAGTTCTTCGCATATAATATTTTATGTTCCTCCATTTACCAATATTCATGTGGAATTCCCGTATAGAGATGGTTCAATCTTGCGGTCAACGAATAGGTATTGCGTCATGGTGACCTTTGCCGCCGATGACAGGAACCTGGGTGGCGCAGGCTTTGTAACGTCCCGACTATTCTTAGCTGGAGGCGCCTGAGAAACGCCTGAGACAAAAGTCTTAAATCAGCATGCATACGCTGGCGCATCTCTCTCCTTCATCCTTTCCCTAACATCTTTTGGCCACCCGATAACTCTGGACGATGTCGCCTGCCAATGATCCCGAAATGAGCCTGCTTCAAGCAGAGGGTTCACTCTCACCAGACCAAAATGCAGCTGACCACAGCTTTCAAACGGCGCCAATACTCAGTGGTGACGCCGCGGAAATCCTGGGACCAGACATCGTGCCTCAGCTTGCTGTCTACGGGCGTATCCTCAGCCAACTCATCGATGGCGAGGAGCAGCTAGCAATCGTCCCGAAACTCTATATCAACAGTAATGCACCATTCAGTGCTGTGGTCTGCGGTTTGCAGGTGCGTTTTTTGTACCCTATGACGGATGGAAATTATGTTTGACGCGTTCTGGGCCAAGGGTTCCGGAAAGAGTCATTCCACTTCGGTGCTACTGGAGAGTTGTCTTATACAAGATGCGCGACTGGGCACGCTACCTATGCCGTTGAGTGCGGTCCTGTGAGTCTCTTCTCGTCTTTTTATGTGGATTCTCTCTCTCTCTAAATCAAGTGTGTAGGTTCCATTTTGACTCCGCGGCGGGTGGCGGGCAGGTGCAGCCATGTGAAGCTGCCTACCTGGCCTGTCTAAACCCAGTTCACGGTGCTGGTGCTGTTCCACCAGATATAACGGTGCTAGTCCTGTGCGTTTCAGGATCTCTCAGCCTCTTGAACTGGTTGTCTTCAACTCATTTCTGTTCGTGTAAAAGACCTAATAATATCAAGGCGATGAGGCATGTTTACTCTCCTCTCCCGAATGTTAAAGTCGAGGCTCTGCATTTCTCCACAAAAGATATCAGTGGTGAGCGTCTGCTTGCCATGATGAAAGTTGATGATAGTGGCCGTAAGTGTTCGATCCTTGTCTTCCTGGTCCCCGGTCTAACTGGATCTGACTCAGAGATGCCATTATACATGGAACTCATCATGTCTATCCTTCGAGACATGGACGAATTCGACTATGGGGCATTTCAGGAGGCTCTAACTCTGCATAAACTCAGCAAGCAGCAGAAAGCAATGCTCAACCTTCGACTTGCGTTATTGGACTCGTGCTTGAAGGGGGGAGATGAAACAAATAGCGTGTCTACGCACTTCTCCCAGGGAATGTTGACGATTGTGGAGTCAGTGGTCATATTGAGCGGACTGATCACCTTACCTGACATGCGTTCTCAGTCTGTCGTCGCCTTTTATGGACGCTTCATCCGCTTGTGGTTTCTTCGACATTATTCTTGGCCTATTCTTGGAGGTGGACGTTAAGACTGGGAAGCTGATTGGTATATTTTTCCTCATTTTCTCGAATTTATTTTCGTTGTTGATGATTTGTACAATTACGGCAGTTCTAGATGAAGCGCATAAGGTATAGTCGTGTGTCCTTCATTTACGCCGGCTTTGGCGTTCAAAGAGCTGACATCTGTGATGTAGTATCTAACAGATACAGGTAGTTCAACACGACTAACCGACTCTCTGCTTACCGTCATCCGTCAGCAACGCCATCTCAATACACGTGTCATTATCTCAACTCAAGAACCGACTGTTGTTCCATCTAAGTTCCTTGAACTTAGCTCGTTCGTCATTGCTCATCGCTTTTCCTCCCCACAATGGCTTCATCACCTATCCGCACATGTCTCGGCTGCACAAGTGATGAAAGATGAACTGTTCGCAAAGGTGAGTTCAGATCTCTCATATCTCCTCTGGCTTTGACATGACGTTATAATAATTCACCGCTGTAGATCGTTGGTCTGCAGACTGGGCAGGCGATCATGTTTGCTCCTTCTGGTCTCGGCGTCAAATCCGTAATTTCATCGTCTAAGGCTTGGACGACCACATCTTCCGCTAAGCTCACTACGAGCGGTGGTCTCGTCACCCCATATGGTCAAGGTTACCTACTCGTTCGGTCCCGACAGCGCATTACCCTTGACGGAGGCCATTCGCTTCTCGCTGTACCTAACAAAGCTGGGAATACTCGACCTGTGCTCAGAATTACTGCACAGACATCGGCTGAGGGTGTAACACAGGCGGAGGAGCACTCTGGCCTATTTTATACTATGAGGGAATTTGTGGAGTTGGCAGATAGTACAGGGATAGAGGAGATCAAATCAACTAGAGCCGAGTCCTCCATTTTCGAAACTTGTGCGGACGAGAATGGCTCGAACTATCAGCTTGAGGAGCAGACGGATATTGATGCCTTCAATATTGCGGTGCCAGATAATTGCAGCGATGAGGTTGCGACAAAACCAGGTCAGTCCTATAGTGTTATAGAATTGAATCAATGTATAAAATACCAACCTCTGACTCCAAAAAAGCCGAGGGAGCGTCAAAGGATGAGAACAGTCGACTACTCTTTGCAAAGCCCTCATCGTACGCTGCACCTATATCACCGACTTCGGACATGGTAAGACACCATCTTACTCCTGTCCCACTTGCATCGACTGTGGTATGTTTTTTCGTCTTATGAAAACTTATCATTGACCTCATTATCATTTGCAGTCTTTAAAAACTCGTATGTCTACCAACTTCGGCTTCCATTGCAACACCGGTTAGCTCATTTCCCCAGTAGTGCAGCCTCATCTATGTAATGAGTTTTACCTCCTTGGACATTGTACCGGAGACGTATGTCAATCCATATATCCCGATCTTTATAGTCATTAAGACTAATAGCGCTAACATAAATAATAGACCGACTGCCCGAACACTCACAATTACCTTCTGAGTCCTGCCCAACTTGTACAGCTGGCTTCATCGTCTAAGAATGTGCCGTGCAAATTCCTCAAGAAAGGTATTTAGTCCCTCCAGCCCTCGATCACACACTAATATGGGAATATGGTGTAGGAGAACCATGTCCGTTCGGTGCTGAAGAGTGCATGTACGGTCATTCATGCCCGTCAGGAGCGAAATGTACATGGGCTCAGAGGGGTCTCTGTCGTTTTCAACGATGTATGACAGCCTTGCCCTATGTATTCGAGACCAATGATTTATTTTGCATTCCATATAGACGGCATACATGGTCCAGAGACAACATCTTCACCAAATCTAACGGCCAACGTCCATTCCATCGGTTCAAGATCTACCGTATTGGGGACGTCACCACCAGTATATGCTCCATCATCACCTTCACCCTCATGCCAGAGCTTCGAGATGGGTTCCAGCTTTGTGGACTCTTTTTCACCGTCACGGCCCACAAGGACCACTGCCGAATATCCTGCCACTGCGACCACATCTCCGATAACTTTACCCCAACCTGAGAGACAAGCCTCACCGACTCATCCGGCCACGAAGCGCTCATCGGCACCTCTACCTATGACGCTGAATGTCGCAAGGTTCTACCCGCTTCTTCTCATTTTGTCAGAGGAGAAGACTGGTTATACGGCCAACCCTTGGCCCCGCGTGGAAGCCAAATTTCGGGAACGTGATCCGAAGGCTTTCACCGGAACTTTCAGAGCCTACTTAGTGGCGGCTAGGGATGCTGGATTAGTAGCTCTAGGTAACCTTTCTGAACCCGGTACTGAATGGGTTCGGCTGCTAGGCAAACCTTCAGTAAAACAATGCATCGACGAGGCAAAGAAATTCATGCCACTGGTGCAGGCTCTCAGAGAGGAGAAAGCCGCCGGAAGGGCACGCCCGATGTATTCTCAGGTTGCACCTCGTCTGAAACAAAGGCATCCGAATTCTTTCACGGGGAAGTTCGCAGATTATATTGAGGCTGCAAGGGCTTTGAATTTGGTTGTTTGTGGGACGACTTCAAAAGTCGGGCAGGAGTGGGTTCAATCTCGCCATTGAATGATGTGGTGCGATGATGGATACATTTTCCGATCCTGACGAGATCATTTCGTAGTCCCTTTCGGTACGGAATACTTAATATCACCTACATATAGTGCATCTGTCGTGTAGTATTTGAACGATAGTGATCTAGTACTGCTATGATGAATGTATTTTCCACCGCCCAAAATTTTCCGATACATGTCGACCATTTAGAACCATTCCCTCGTACTTCTGTTGGAGAAATTAGAGGTTGCACCTCCTCGAAACCGTCAAAAATATACTTGCTCATTATCGTGCCCGATGTTGACAATAACGTTCTACCTCTCAAAAATACTGCCAAGATCGCAGTGTATAGTTGCTATGTATACACACACTTGGATAAATAGATGATCATAATGATGCATCACAGATCTGCGCAAGTACCCTGCGGGCCAGCGGAGATGCATAATATCGATGGGCGGCGACGAATCACATAACCGAATCAGCTAGCTCTACAGTCTCCTGTCTGTTTGCTGTCCTCTCTCTCTTGAGCCCATTCGTCTGTTGACTTACTGCTTCCTTGCAGCGAACTGATATCGGGATTACGCGTTGACTTCCTCTTTCCGTCGCTGAACTGTGCATTTTGCCGGCCTCATGGCATTCCGCTGACGGGTTGGGAGCATCAAGCCGAATCCCATTTAGCCATCGACTTCCCCGGGAAGCATCCCTCATGAATCTCAATTCAGCAGTTACTAGTTATTCCTGGCTCTTCTGATACTACTCATGTATGCATTCCATGGTCGCCTAGGCGCAACTGATTGCATCATCTGTTCATCTCATGCGATGCTCTCGCGTTGGCAGCACGCCACAAAATAAAGAGAATCCCCGAACATGATCTTGTCTTCCCTCCCATTTTTCCTCGACCTTCCACCTGATCCCGTCCCGTCTCTCATTTGTTCTTCGTCGACTGTGATCTCTGTAACATGCAACTGTCCACCGGCTGGATATACCTCTCGTTCGATTTGATAAAGCTTTTTCTAACTGCTGTCTTGCTATGGCCAACTACAGCTCTGGCTGAACTTGAAAACACGACTTACGACGACGCAAGCGGCCTGTTTACTTGGACTGGTGAATGGAATGCTGCGTCACCGTCCTGGCCATGTCCAGACTGCCTTTGGCAACCTGATAGGTCCCAGTTGTACAACGCTACATGGCATGACGGAGGCTCAGATGGAGGTGCAAGTGGACGCATACAGTTCTCCGGTGCGTTTAAACTTACTACTGTGCCTTCAACTTTCTCTAATTGACCTTGTGACTCACTGAAAGGCTCTGCTGTCTATATCTACGGAATTGACATACCGAACGACGCACTGGCATGGTTCACCCTAGACAACTATGACGCGGTCAACCACAGCAGCTCCGCTGTAGGCGACGACCCGTGGAAATACGGAGCTCTATTCTATAGTGAAACAGGAATTTCGGAGGATATTAACCACACTCTCCAGTTCTCAGTTGGATCTACGGACTCTACCGGACCCGGTATCTCGTCCATAATACTCGACTATGCAGTGGTAACTTCAAATAAGCTGAACCATACGACTTTGTCGTCCTCTGCTCGAGAGTCGTCTACCATCCGATCAGCATCCACGTACGTTGGTTTCTTCTGTGATGCACACCGAAGAACAATATTTTCAGGACCATACACCATGAGTGGCTGACCATACACATTACAGAACATCCACTGCATCTATCACCGGATCACCGCAGCAACCTGGGCCGAGCTCAGAGGCAAAAAAGCACGCCCTCATCGGCGCTGTTCTCGGTGGTCTCGGGGGCGCAACAATCGCTGCAGCAGTGTTCTGGGCGCTGATACGTCGCCGTCGACAAATAATTTACTCCAAGGTTGTTGAGCCGGAACCGTACGAGTTGACGTCTCGTGAGTTTGCTCCTCCATTCTAATATTTGGAAAGTGCGTATACTGATATACAGTTGGCCACAGAAGAGCAACCGTCTTCTCGTCAGTCCTCAAAAGCACTCTATATGCATCGCTCAGAGTCGGATGTGCCGCTAGAAATTGGACACAGTCCGTTGTTCGGTCCGTTGTCACTGTTGCAACTCAGTTTATGAGCCTAATCCCTATGTATACAGCGTCAACATCTACTCGTAGGCAAGGTGATCAAGATAGAGAGTATTCCACCGAGGATAGGGTGAGAGAGTTGGAGGCCAGGGTGCAGCTATTATTGGAGGAGAGGGTCCATATTGAGTCTCCACCGGAGTATCAGAGGAGCATATGACCCTTTGAGGGTGTGGAATCATATAGCCATCAAATATTCTGCTTCAACGAAAGAACGCGCAATAGAAAGACAGAGTCGTAAAACGTCGTTGGTTGCATGATGCAGGAGACGTTTGAAAACCCGACCTTCAATCGGAGTACATCCCACCGTCGGCTGTAATATACATGTGAGGGGCGGTAAGTAGTGCTCTAGTGTCTGCCGAGTCATAGCCCAGAAAGTATATCACTGACCGTTTGACCTATTGCAGCCCCCCACACTGAGTGATTAATATACATGAAGCATCGAATAAATACGGGAGTAAATCTCACCTGTAATATAGCTCGAGTTTTCGAGGCCAAGAAAGATACGACATCCGCTATTTCTTCCATTTTTCCGGGTCTACTGAGGACAGACCGCGCAGTTTTCTGGACGAAAGCATCACATGTGAGATCCGTCTCGATTCAAGAAGTTGATCTAACGTACAGACTTGAGGAACGCATCTCCAATGACCAACCCAGCCGCAAGGGTTTTCACTGATCACAAAATAAGGGGCTTGTCTGGGAGAAGCATGAAACCGACCGATGTGGCGTACTCATATCGGTAGGGACAACTCCCCTGATGAAAATATCCATAGACATGATTAGCTGGATCTGTCAGGCCACGAGCGGGAAGGGACAGGAATATATGCTTACGGAGCGTAAGCATTCACGTTGATTCCGAACTGCCCTAGCTCGGTCGCTGTATAGGATGCATCTATCATATGTATTGAGAAGGGGTGAAGCTGACACGTCTGTTTATGGAGAAATACTGACCGACTGACTGGGTAAGACGACAGACTGCGAACTTGATGCTAGCATACGCGCTTATCATGGGAATGCCTACAATTTGGATAAAAGTTCTAAAAGCATCTCCGCGAAGCTGAGAAACATTGAGAGCAAACCTTGTTTCCCTGCGATCGAACACGCTCCAATGATCTTTCCCTCACGTCCTTGCTTGATCATTCGTCGAGCGGCTTATTGACAACCTATTAAATCAATGGTCGCAGGGCATGCCATTAATATAGACGAGTTACAGAGGTATACTCGCAAATTGGCGAATATGATTTGGGTAAGTTGCGCGACGGGTGCTTTTGCATCAACACGAGTAAGTCACCCGCAGAGAGCGTAATAAGAAGGTCGGTTGACAGAACAGGTTACTGACTAAGGATGAGAGAGGGCCGCTTATTCCGGCATTTGCGACCATCGTTGTGTGGGGAAGGTGAGCTCATGATTCGCTCAGTGAAAGGAGATATCGATGATCTTACCGTGTCCAGTCCGTTAAACGCACCCACTGCATCCTCAACCATTCGTCGCACATCATCTTCATTTGTGACATTCCAAGTCACAATGAGAATATCCTGCGCAGGATGTGTACGGTGGATCTCGTCTCTCGGAGAGCTGACCCGCCTTTGACGCGACGTCGTTTATCGCCAGAATGAGTCCATCCTTTGCGAGTTTGACCGCAATCGTCCGTCCAATACCTATGGGTTCGTAAGTGCCCGCTGAGAGATATAAATCACAAATTTAATTTTCTACCCTGCGCAGCACCAGTAACAACTGCAGAGAGTCGTCTTGGGTCCATATCGGGAAGAAGACGGAAGGCGCAATGGTTAGGGGGCTTGGTTAACGGTGGAGTGTGGAGTGCGTACTACATGCAGAGATGTATTATATCTAGGAGCAAAAAATAAGCTACTGGGATGGGAATCACCAAATCCTGGATGCGAAAGAGCACCCATCGAGGCATTCCACATGCTGCACCATGTTTGAACGGTTCAGTTCTTGAGCCGTCACTGATGTGAATGTAGTCCGTCCTGATTTATGCAGTTGCGCTGTCCGTCTTGTCAGCCAGAATTGGAGTTGACTTCTTTCGGTAGCGAAAGAGAACAACCCCCCCCGCAGCGCTGCTGGTCAATGATCATAGAATAGGATGATCACCTGCAGATTGCAACATATATTCATACATGGCCTCGATCGCAGCAGCCTCCACCGTCGACTATCTCCTTAGTGAGCGATAATAACAAGCCCGTAGGATACGTACTGTGGTACTCATATACTTGGAGATTGGTGACCGTTTACTCTGATGAATGTTAACAAAATAGCCGAGGTCAGCGACTTGACGAGATCGCCACAAGATCTCACAAGACAAGATATCATGTCACGAACTAGAGTTCTTCGAACCCAAAATGATAGAGTGTTGAGCTGATATGTCACACTTTATTTCCGCATTCATGCCCCACATTTCACACCATCTCTTGTTTACCACAATTCTTTTTAAATCATTCTGTCCAAGTGAATAAGTCGTCAAACTAGGAGAATCGTTTGTATTAACACGTGAGATGATATCCCACGCAAACGACAAAAGCTGGTGCTTACCGTCAATTCGCGGCCAGTGTCTTGATATCGAGTTGCTTGAAAGTAAGCCAGCCCTCTGGACTGTTGTACACCACAGTAAGGGCTGTGAACAAGGATCAGCTAGCGTACTACGACTCTCGAAAAGAACATAACACTCTGAATGAACTTGGGAACTTACCTTTACTCTTAGCATTGTACAGCGTAGCGATAGACGCTACAACGTCGATGTTAGCGCCTAGTCACAGTCAGAAATGAAGTGCACGTACTGCCACGAGCAGGAATCTGCAATCCGGTCGCAGCACTGGTGATGATCTCCTGGTACCTCACCCTATCGCCAGCCCGGATCGGAAGCGGAGCCTCCCAAAGCCGCGGCGGATCGTCCTCCAACTGAGCTACAACTCTGTACCGTCCGGAAGAGCTCAGAGGATAGAACCCATCATCGTTACACTCGCAGTGAACATCGGCATAGTAGATTGAGAATGGTCCATATATCTTACTGGTCTTGCAGTCGACTACACGCTCGAATCTGGGCTCGAGGGAGTTGGTACGCTTGCCAACGGGGCCTCGGAGCCGGCGCATTCTGTAAATGAGGATGCGATCCGAAGATTGGGTGAATGCAACGCAGAGGTTGTCCACCTTGATATCTGAGTTTGAGTCCGCCTCTTGGATAAAGGTGAGAATATCGTGCAAAAATATGTAACCATTGGGTACGTACCAGCCCAAGACAACGCAGCGACAGTGGTTTTACCATCAGCGGGGTCCTCTGTGACGAGTGCGGGAACACTCCATGCTCCATATGTTTGGCGCAAGACGAAATCTGTGGGTCAGAATAGTTGTGGATTATTCAGTGATTGCTCGGAGTAAACTAGGAGAACAGACGGACAGATGCGCTACGGCGGAATCACGGTTCATTTATTATTGTCAGTGAGATCGCAGGACGAAATGTTTGGGGCGTGGCTCACATTATCGCTGGCTTGATAGAACAGGATGTCGTTCTTCGAGCCCTCGCCAAACGTCGCCGAAGCAAGCGAGGACCCCAGGAAAGGCGCGTTTATTCCGGTGTAGGGCACGGTGTTGACGTGCACTGTTCCTGCCCCGATCCCTGCAGCCATAAAGAACGTCTCGTACAGGTACCCATTTGTATCTTGATAGAAGACGGCGACCAGGGGATTGTTCGGGTCTGCCAAGCGCTAGAGAAGTAATATGTAGTCAGAATTTTTACTACCTCTATGAAGCCAGAAAAGACAGCCTACCGTGTTGGCCGCCGTCTTTGAGTATCTGTATCCGCCGCTGATGACGGACGTCTTAACTGTATCGTCAAAGTCGGTCGACTTGGCGGGAGCTTCAAGAATAGTGACCGTAGGCGATACATCAGGATACTTGGTACTAGCGGAGTAGACGTCGAAGCCAGCGCCGTCGGGTAGCACAGCAATTGAGTTCCCAATAGGAGTGGAAGACATCACTAAAAGGTTGGATGGGATGGCTGATAATTTCGACGAAAGGTACGGTCTTATATACAAGACCTAGAAGATGCAGCCTATGCTACAGGCGTCGAGTAACAAGACGAATTAAAGTGCGATAGACGGCGCAAAGAAGCTATCGCAAATATAGCTATGAATGGTTCCATGTGTGTGAGACCGGTGTCGCAAACAAGGGCAGACTTCCAGGGACAGGTTCAAGTGACCGTAGAGGAAAGTCAGCAATGATCATACCAATCAGCCCGGATGATTTACGCGAGGCGCCGAGATGGAAGAGTTATCCCTCTTGAGCAATGTGTGGATAATCATCAGAGGATTGACTCGAAACGTCGCTAGACGGTGCGACGGAACATTCTTGCCCTGAGAGATTGCGGAATACAAACTTGTACTGAGGCTGTACAGATTTCACCGCTCGAGCATCCAATGGCCATCGACAGACCCCCTCGTGCGGATATTGAAGCAAGTGAAGACTAGACAGGTTCGCACAGTCAGCTTCGAGACTGCGACGCCCAATCATCGTTTAGTGACGAAGCTATGTCATGTGCGTCGCCTATGACAAGCTCCCTTCGAGACAGATTGTCCCGATGGATATATCACGAACCCTTTAGAGAAATAGCGAGCTATTCAACGTACACTGCTATCATTCTCGAGGTCGATGGATGCGTTTAGAGGATATGCAGGATAGAATAGCGCACCACACAACGAGAACGTGCCACATGCATACACCAACATATTGGTAGAAACGTGTGGTTTGAGAGTTTCGCAGGACGTGGAGCGAAGCGACATCAGCTAACAAGAGAAAATCGACATAGTATGTCCGGAGAAAAATAACGGTGAAGTTCGGTACGACCTTCCATGAAACGTAGCGCACATCAACAGGTTTTGTTATGTAACGGCGCTCTTCCGGCCCATATAATTCAAGCTATCCACCGACTTCGAGTGCATATGGGCGAAGTATCAGTCAATGTGGGGCGCCTGGGCCAGATTCACTGAAGTCGCGCTGTGAACCTATCCATGAGATAGCCTGCACCCGAACATAATAAACTTAAGGTCCCCCGATTGAGAATCTGAACATCAACGAACGAAAGCGTCGCCGTAGCTTTAAAACTGTATCACGGAGGGACTTATCGCATCCGTTTTCCTATCCCGTGAAATAACCTGGAATGAAAGCGAGAAAGCGGGGAAGTGGAAGAGTTAGTGAGAATGTCGGCGAGGCACGACCTGAGGCGTTTTGGGCAATACCCGTGTAAGCTAGATGTGTACGCTTCAGGGACAGGGGCGGAAGATATACGAAGGCCACGAGTCCCAAAGGGTTAGTCAAACGGGTTGATGCATACGGCCGAAGCTCAAAAAAAAAGATGAATGAATTTACATACCCAAGCTACGAGCGATACTCCTCGGACTCTACGCCACCCCTATAAGTCATCGCATTCATCAGCCTTTTTTCAGTCTGTACTTCGCCACACCGGAACGATGACCAATCACACATACCTTTGCAATCGAATACATTACATAGACTCCTAGCTGGAAATCGGTCGAGATACGAAGAGCGCCCAAGGTCCCTCTGAGGTGGAGATACTTGAGATCCACTTCGTAACTTATGCGGATTCCTGGAAGTCGAGGAAGTATTCAGGCAGACCGATGTCTTCGAGAACCGGCGTAAAAATGGGGAAAGGCACATTAGCAAGTCGATTGAAGAAATGGCTAGGACGATGAGGATTGCGATCTCAAGATGGAATTGGAAATTCATTGAGTGCAGGGTGGCGCAATGTGGCGAGAAGGATAGGCACATACCGATGCCTGGGACATGCAGGCCCATCGTCAAGGACTAGAAATAGAGAGGATAGGCGTAAACTCTGTGCACACTATATATTCGAAGGAAGAACCAAAAAGTAGCATACCACGATGCCCCGGACCTTATTCAAGTCCCGCACCAGGGACGACCCAATTGTTAACGATCGTGTTTGACTTCTCGACGGCGATGTAGACAGTCAGACCGTAGGTATATGCGAGTAAGGCTTCTTGAGTTACCGCACCGTAGACTATGGAGAAGACGGTCGGAGTTGGAGTACATACCGCACAAGGGAAGGGAGCCGCTTCGTGGTAACAAGATGAAGGAATCGAGATGATGTGGTTTGTGCAAGCGAGCTGATTCATGAAAGGATGGATGTGAGCTCCATCAGGCCTAAGCGAAGAGAGGGTAGTTCGAGGGAAGATAGGGGTCAAGTAGCGTACCATATACATGATCTGGCCATAGTTCTTCTTGCTTGGGCAGACTGAACTCGGATGGGAATAGCACAATGCTGATCAGAATATATCATCAGGACTCGTTCGAGCTTCGCTATGAATAAAGGAAAGGAACGTACCCAGACCGAACTCCGTCCTGCACTATCCGCACATCCCACTCGCATCGACGGTCCACTTCACGCCTACTCTATCTCCCACTCGAACCGAACCATCCTCACCATTTCCTCTTTTAACACTATCATCGCCCAACGCAACGGTGATCCCGACGCCTTCGTGCCCCCCCCCCCCCCCATCAGAGGTAGTTCCTCCGGGCCCCTCGGTCATCCTTCCGAATATTCGTGACCGTGTTGGAGCAGCTCGAGACCAAGATGTTAAATAGACATTGGTTCGAAGCGAGCGTAGACGGAGAAGAGGAGGACTGGGAGGTGAAGATCGTGTGGGGTGTATTGAATGTCATGATCAGGGCTGCGCGTTGCATTCCCCGTACTGCAATCGTAGCTGCGGAGGCAGACTTCTGTATATGTTAACTGCTCAATTGGGTTGAGGAATTGGTAGTGATGTGGCGAGTTGAATGAGTATAGACGCACCCATTTTCGGTTACTAAGACCGCCAAAACACCATCTTCGTGATGGCATGCCGCTACAGCCACACCAATGACATAAGTGTCCAGTGCTACGCTACCACGTTTTTGACGACCCTCTGCCCAGTTCCTCCATCCCAGTCTCTCTACTCCGCAAAGTCGACCGAACTCGCACCAGCGGTAGAATGCTCCGCAACCGCATACTCCGGATTCCGATTCCAGCTCACGAACGTCGTCCACCTTCGTGTCGTGCGGTTATCCAGATAAGTGGCGCAGAAGAGGACGTAGAGTTAGAAGATGAGGATGGTGCTGTGGAGGGGAGGTATGCCGGACGATGGAGAGGCGCATGTCTTCACAGATGGTTTGCAGTTGGATGAGGAGCGAGGAGCCGGTGGGGGTCGCTGGGTTTGATCCGTCAGAGAAGGAGAGACACTCTGAGTGGTAGAAGTCGCAGTCGGAGTTGGAGTCGGGATTGGAGCTGCCATACGAAGCCGACGAAGAGTGAGAAGGGGGAATGTAGTAGAGCAACGGGAGAAAAGTAAAGACGCCGGTCTACGATTCTAGATCGGTTGGTGGGTCAGTGCGAGTGGAGATGATGACTCGGAGGCACACCTACATAGTAAGCTAGTATTAACCCAAAAATCCTTGTATGTCCCAATATTCCGCTTTGCTGAACACAAGAACGAGAAGAAACAATCTTTGGAGCGTGGCGAAGAAGAGGAGATGGTTCGCTGCCTAGAGCAGTCGCTGCCAACCGGTACCTAGTGGCGTGAGAGAGCGTGAAAGTCACGCGGGATCTTCCGGAGCCTCGTGTTTGGCTCTGTTTCTCCTTTTGTCTCGTCAGTTCTTCCTGGTAGCGCGGTGTTGTGTCCACTGCTAAACAACCATCCCAACTCGTCTCTCAGAACTCACAAAATTGAGGACAACTGCAGCACAATGATTTTCGTTGATATTTCTAACGAACTCACCGTTCTCCGTTCGCCAATGCCTGGCCCATCCCAATCAACCTAACAAACTCTGGACTGGTTTTCTATTCCTCAGACTCCCATTTGAATGTCTGCTTCATCTCTTCACAGAACTTCAGGGTCTCAATTTTCAAAGCCCGAGTATAGGCCAAACGTCGCGACCTAGGAGGTTGACCATTTCGGCCTGGCATGCAGCCGAGAACCAGGCTGTTGGTAGCGAGGTCACGGTGGCGGGCGACAAGTTATAAGTATATGTATGAATAAGCCATGGGTGTTGCTCAACAGAAATACTACTACATTGGGCTCTGTCTTCACGAGACACGAAAAATATTCTCTCGCGTTGAAGCCTAGCTTTTTCGTCATAATTCTCAGGCTTCCAATTATGATGAACCAAGTCCTCGTTGTTTGCACGTGCCGTAATTACGGTGGCGCAGCAAAATAGGACAGAGGTCATCTTCTTTTCTACCACAGCGTCGTCTCCGGGCATGTATAACCGTTACTTTCGTTCTCTGCAACAGTAAGTAACAGTCGTTTCTTATTTTGTTCGATACCTCGAGCGCTGAAGACACCATTGCCATCTATCTCTAGACCGAAAAAAATATGTCCTCCTTCACAGTCGCCAGCCCCTTCGACAAAGGCAAAATACAAACCTACTGCGCGCCCCTCTTGCCCTCCTCCCGACTCTCATTCCAAATTGTACTTACATTCCTCGCATTCGTTCAAAATATGGGGACAAAGTCTCCCAAAAGCGAAAAAGCTGAAATCTGGGCTCAATCCTGCAGCAATGCATGATGTGCCCGTGCCTCGCCACCGCGAGGTGAGAGCTTTTGAAGCGGAGGCCTTGCAGCCGATCAATGCAGAGATCACAGGATTGCAGTACATTGGTTCGTACTCGTGGGTGAAGGCGTCCACGCCCACGATTGCTGTACCTGGTACGTCTTCGCAGTAATGAAAGCTAAAGCCTGGATTTATTCGAGCTCATACTTCCACTATCCGCTCCATCCCTATCTCATCGGACTGATATTTCTGTTATACCTCCTGATGCCCTTGTAGGGACGCCTCGTAGATGGGTAGACAAGCCATTACCGATCACGCTCAAAGCGGACGACGTCGCAACTTTCGTGGACTCAAACGGGCATCGTGCCCCGTCCGCGCCGTTACTTCCACTCTTTCTTGCGGTAGACGCAACAATGAATACCAGCGCCAGCGCCAGCGCCACTTCAACGTCAACCCAAGTCGAGTGGCCTTCTATCGACGTTATTACAGATCGTAACGGCCTGCGGAAGCTACTTGGATGGACTACAGGGTCTTCCAGACGAAAGGAATGGAGAATTGACATGCAACTTGTCGGAACAAAAACGGTTCTGTTTAATCGGCGGGAGCCCAGCACTGCGGTTGCACCCATGCCAGGCGGTGCCACTTTCGGACACGCCTTTGAGATGAAGATGACCAAGCCCCAGGCGAAAGGCGTCGGACGTGAGCTCGACGGGCATCATCGAATTGTTAGATATGTGAGTGCTTCAACGTTGACTCCGCGTGGGTTCCGAACGAGTAATTGATTCGCTTGGGAGATAGGACTTCGGGGGATTGTGCATGGTGGTCCGTTTCGAGGTTGACGCCTTCATTCCCGAATCTTCATTATCTTCATCTCTCTCGACAACTACACCGTCCAAGATCCGAACTCCTGGTGCGAATACAGCTCGGTCGCCACACCCATCCACACCACAGCGAGAGAAATCCATAATCAAGGTCATAAATGATGGTGTTCCCGTCTCGCAGTCACGCATTCTCGAGCTCAAAACCTGTCCTCTCGCTAACGCGATGCGCACAAAAAACAAGGCATATCCTCAGCTCTTCTTCTCTCAGACTCCCCACCTCTACATCGGCAAGCACGTGAAAGGTTGCTTTTCCGAAATAACAAAGAACGATGTTTCGGCTGGAGACTTCAACAAGCAGCATGATATTTTGGTGAGAAGTGGGGCGCTAAAGAAAGTGGTCGTGGCGCTGAGGAACATTCAGGAAATAGTCAGAAAGAGCGGCAAGGAAGGAAATTTGACGTTGGTTTTCGAGAAGAAGGCGTTGAAGGTCTACGAGAGAGTTACGCAGAAGGGTGCAAGTATAGAACCCCTTCCGAAGGAGATCGTGGCGAGGTTCGAAGGTGGTCTAGATAGATTGAAATAAGGGTATTTTGTGATGTTTCTTGACTTAGTACGACGTGGATATCTATGCACTGTTTTTCCTGGTCATATTCAATGTCCCTTCGTGAATGACCATCCTTGTGATGGTACACGTACGCATAGATCGAGACTAATTCGATTGAACGAAAGCTCCTAACTTCCCTCGGTGAGGTATTTGTCCATTCTCAGACTTGCCAAGCTCATCGGTGGCAGAAAAGACGCAAAACGGTCACAAAAGTGTAAAGTCCCTTTCTAGGTGATAGAATCTGAGAATGTCACATTCACCACCGTGTTTGTTGTCGTTCTCGACAGAAGTGTATATTGTGCCAAGCCCAAGTACGCGAAAGATGACTGACACTCCTCCACCTGCTGTATCCTCAGTCTGGGGCAGGAAGGAAGGAAGGAAACCACGGATCGGCTAATGCTTCTTCCATACGTACTCAACCCACCGTCCTTTGTGGACGCCCGGAAGCTCTGTGTACCCGCGTGATATCGATGAGGCACTGTCTGCACCTGAAAGTGATAAACCCATGGGTCACCTGTTGAAAATATGAGCTGCGACAAAAGATCTCGCTGTATGATTCGTACGAGTCTCGAATTCCATGGCAAACCAAATAAAAGATACACGGCGATGACACAATATCTTACATATACATTCAGAGGATTGCAGCGCACTTTCAAAACTGGATCACTGCCCGCCCAATCAGTGTCCCCTTCTCCATCTCGTCGAAGATCCTGTGATGAAAACGGGTAAAGTTGGAATAATTAGTGGGAGTTGCCACGACACACGAACCAGGGCGTTGGTCAGTATCAAGCGAGAGTCGTAAGTGCGCAGCGGAGGGATGAGAGATGAAGGGGGGCGAAGGAGATAAATAATAACAGCAAGCGCATGTAATATGATGGGTGATAATGTGCGGAACGTAGAGGAAAGAAAGTAGCGACTGCGATTGACCGAATGAAATATTTATCGCAGACGAAGATGGAGGAATGGACATAGAAGTGCAAAGGTAGTAGACGGATGGTAAACGTACTCGTTAATCTCCTCCATTTTCCTTAGATTGACGTGCGTCTTGACCTTTCCACGTGCGACGAGGTCGAGAGCTTCGATCGCATCTTGCTGGTTTCTGGTGGTAAAGAACAGTTAATATATGTCACACATGAAAATTAATGTCGGGGAAGGGAGAATGCGTAAATGCCTGATCGGAGGGGAGTAGTGTCCGGGATGTGACAGGATAGTAGGAACTAAACTCGGAAGAAGAAGCGAATAAATCTACTCACCCAAGCAACGAGCCCACGATCCTCAGACTCTACACCACCCAAAATTGATCATCATGATCACCGGGCTCCTACGGCCACGATACAACCAATTGCACCCACCTTTGCAACCAGCAGTCCCACATAAACTCCCAGCGGGAAATTAGTCGGGATCCCAACAGCGACCAACGTTCCTCTCGGCCGGAGATACTTGAGGGCATCTTCGTACGACGCCGGCTACATGATATAAAGACCAACGACAAATGTCAACGGTGACCACCGATTTGAAGCAGAAAATAGCACGTACCGAAGGCGAGATAATAACAGCTGCATGCGGGCCCACACCTCCACAGACCCTAACGATCTCTTTGACGACAGCCAACGCTACTATAGCAGACTTCTCTGCTTCGGGCTTTCCAGATTCAGAGGCGGAAGTAGTAGCAGCGGCGATGCATTCTTGGAAGTCGATGAAGTGTTCGGCACCACGAGAGAGGCAGGCTGATTTCTTGGAGGATCCGGTATCTATGCATAACCGACGAAAGTCAGAACTCTGAGGAACATAGAGTAGTAGCAAATGGGGTGGATGTAAGAAGTGGAACGGTGGAAATGATCTCAAATGGATTGTGGCGTAGTGTGGCGTGGAGGAGAAGTGCATACCAATGGCTAGGACACGCAAACCCATGGCAGCTGCATACTGAATGGCTGTAGATAGAGAACATGAGCCCATACTGCACTCCGGAGAAGAAGATACGAAAACGAGCATACCGAGATGTCCCAATCCGCCTCCCGCACCAGGAATGACAACCCAGTTGCCGACAATTGTGTTTGATTTCTTGAGGGCGGAGTAGACAGTCAGACCCTATCGATGTCCGATCAGGGTAACATCAGTACTGCATCATGGACTGGGGACGAACCGAAACGATTGTGGAAGAAAGAGTACATACCGCGCAGAGAATGGGAGCGGCATCGTGGGATTCGAGGGAGGGAGGAATCGGGATGACATGGTTTGTCCACGCGAGCTAAATCAGCAGGCTTCAGCTGGGAATGGGTGCGAGTCCAAACAGTTTGAGGAGAAGATAGGGGCTCCGTAACGTACCATATACTCAGCGAATGTCCCATCCACGGTCTGTCCACAGTTCTTCCTGCTTGGGCAGACTGGATTTGGAGGACATTGCGATAATGGTAGCGGTTTACATTAGTATGCGTTCGAGCTCGGCCTTCCGAGGTAGGACAGAAGGAAACGTACGGGAATCGAACCCAGTCCTGCAGTGCTCGCACATCCCACACGCATCGACTGTCCACTTCACGCCTACTCTATCCCCCACTCGAACTGATCCGTCCCTACATTTTACTCCTTGAACACTACTCTCGCCCAATGCAACGATAATCCCAACGCCCTCGTGTCCCCCAATCAACGGCGGTTCCGTCGTCGTCCCTCTCCATTCGCCCTTCCGAATATGCATGTCGGAGTGGCAGCAGCCCGAGACTAGCATCTTTATTATGCATTGGTTCGACGTGAGCGTAGATGGAGATGGGACTGGATGCGAGGTAGATATGGTGTAGGGTGCATCGAACGCAGTGATCACGGCTGCGCGTTGGGTTTCGGGCACTGCAAACGTAGTCGGGGAGGCAGACATCTCTGGAGGTTGATTGTTCAGCTGAGTCGAGGAAAGAGTAGTGATGTGGGAGTTCGAGTGAGTATATACGCACCCGATTTCGGTCACGCCTTGATTTATATCCACAGGGACCGTGAACAGAAACGAAGCACCCTCTGTAGGTTGATGCAGGACGTCCCATGACGCCCGGTTTGGTCAAGACGTGGGAGTCCGACCGAGCGATGGAAGTATTTCCTTGATCCTAGGGGTTATTTTGAGTTAACGTGGAGATGTGCACACAGTGTTGGGGGCCTGTGGCCCTATAGATATCAACTAGAGCGTGTTGTTCTTCCTGCAAGTACTCTTCTGGGCCGCGCAACCTCAGGCGTGCCGTCGATCTCCAAGACCGTTGTTTGGCTACTCCAGCAAAGTGAAACGAGCGTGATAGATTCAAAGCAGCGAGCCATAGTTATACACACATGAGCATCACGATGAGAGCCCAATTATCTTCTTTGAGGACGAGAGGGTTCAAGACAAGTTCAAGTCCTGACTCTGGATCGTAGTCGGGTTGAACCACGTGCTAGGGTTAGGGGTTCATGGCACGTCATTGCGACATTTCTATCTCGTTCCTTCAACGTTCCTTCTTGCAAAGGTCTTCACCTTCGTCATCCTCCCAGAATGGGAGCGCTAGTACTGAACCCCTCTGCTTTCTGTGCGATGTGATACAATTTTGCGCTTCGGGCGCGAGCTCACCCGTTCATTCGCGGCACTTGGGCCTCGGATGGTCCTGACCCGCTCACCATCGAGTAACGTGGCCTCGTCTCACTCTGTTGGTCGTGGACGGCACCAACGAAGTTCATCATCGATAGGACTTAATCCGCCGTCACTAAATGGCTGCTCATTGCGATACTACCGACGCCTTCTTGCTTACGGGTGGATCATAAAGTCTGGCTTTCCTGTTTGATGCGATTCTTGGTGTGACGGACTGCTTACAGTCCACTATCGAGAGTACAACGCCACACCCTTTGCACCAAAGATTCTGATTCGCTTGTGCACGTGGAAGGAGACTCTAACTTGTCTACTATGCGCCAGTCTCCAGCTCATTTCTCGAGTTTTCTTTCATCCTTGGACCTTCTCGCGCGTTGGAGGGCGGGACGACACCATGAAGATTATTGTAAGACCCAGTCTATCAGTTGAGCTTGACTCCTTTAATATCTCGAATGCTTACTTCAGAATCCTACTTCAGAGCTAAACTTGGTCGTACTTATTCTTGTTAGGGCGGGCATTGCGGGAACCGGTAGATTCCGCTGAGACGGTTTCAGTCGAAACGGAATATGGAAAACACGCATAATCTATGTACTTAGATATTGAGTAGCCACCGAAACGCTTTGATGAAGTGGGTACAGTAAATGGCGTATCCAGCTCTAGCTTCCGATAAATATCAGTATCGACTACAGCTGGTGCCATCGTCTATGCCTTTCCATAGGATTGATCGTCGGATTTGTATTTCTCGATACTCCCATTCGCCTTCCTCAGTTTCTCGTAATTTACTGAACACTCGTTCTAGAATGGTTGAATCTAGGCCATTGCGTGACTTCCCAACGTCGTGATTCGGGTGACAGCTGCAGGCCACGCCTTCAATTTATGTGGCGCGAAGTCAGAAACGTGTCCCCATCCATGGGTGCAGCGCCTGAAACATAAGGCATTTCGTAGAGCACTCGTATACACCCACGGTTCCCTCCTCTCCCCTCATTTTACGACTTTCCAGTATCTCACTCATCATACATCTCTTGACGATGTCCCCCAGCAATGACCCCGAGATGCGCCTGCTTCATGCAGAAGGCTCACTTTCACCAGATCAGAATGCGACCGATCACAGCTTTAGGACGGCACCGATACTTAGCGGTGATGCCGCTGATATCCTGGGACCTAACGTCGTGCCCCAGCGCGCTGTTTACGGGCGTATTCTTAGCCAGGTAATCGATGGCGAAGAGCAGCTAGCAGTCATCCCGAAGCTTTACATCAACAGTAATGCACCATTCAGCGCTGTCGTATGCGGTTTGCAGGTACGCCAGTATCTACTCTAATTGTGTATGATGATATGGACTGACGCGAACTACGTTCAGGGTTCAGGAAAAAGTCATTCGACGTCGGTGCTTCTCGAGAGTTGTCTCATACAGGATGAGCGCTTGGGGACGTTGCCTGTACCCTTGAGTGCGGTTCTGTGAGTCGTCTATCTACTTGTTCTGGGTGTATTAATGTTTCTGAGAACGGAATGTAGGTTTCATTTCGACTCTGCGGCGGGTGGGGGCCAGGTGCAACCGTGCGAAGCCGCCTTCTTGGCTTCCCTTGATCCAGTTCGGGGTGTGGGTGCTAAAGCGCTGGATGTAACAGTGCTCGTTTTGTGTGTCTTCCTGTTCCGTCACTATTCACTCTCACCCTGATATTAGACGATAAAAAGACCGAACAATATCAAGGCGATGAAAAAGGTGTACTCTACCCTTCCGAACGTCAAGGTCGAACCACTGCACTTCTCTTCCGAAGACATTAGCGGCGAGCGTCTACTTGCTATGATGAAGGTGGACGAAGGAGGTCGTGAGTGAGCTATATCCTCCCTACTATGTTCTATTCTCACTGGTATTTGTCCAGAAATGCCTCTCTACATGGAACTCATCCTGTCAATTCTTCGGGACATGGACGAGTTCGATTATAAGTCGTTCAGGACCAGTCTCGATCAGCATAAGCTCAGTAGTCAGCAAAAAGCGATGCTAAATCTACGACTTACATTGCTTGACTCTTGCCTCAAGGGTGGAGATCGTAGCAACAGTGTCACATCCCACTTCTCTCAAGGAAGGCTGACGATTATCGAGTAAGTGTTAGTTCTCTACCTACGCTTGACTATCTATTTTGATCTTTATGCACAGTTTATCGTCGCCCTTCATGGATCCCTCCTCCGCCTGCGGCTTTTTCGACATAATTCTTGGACTATTTCTTGAGGTGGATGTTAAGACTGGGAAACTGATTGGTACGCTTCCGCATTCAATAGCCGTTCCCCATTCTTGGACATTTACGATTTTTCACTAACAGTTTTGGACGAGGCGCACAAAGTACAGTAATCTCTTCATTCACACATTCACCCAGATGCTCCTGAGCTGACTCGTCATATGCAGTATCTGACAGACACAGGAAGCTCGGCACGATTGACAGACTCCCTCCTAACCGTTATCCGTCAGCAACGCCACTTAAACACGCGCGTTATCATCTCTACTCAAGAGCCCACGGTCGTTCCCTCTAAGTTTCTTGAGCTGAGCTCGTTTGTCATTGCACACAGATTCTCCTCCCCACAATGGCTTCAGCACCTTTCAGCACACGTTTCAGCCGCTCAGGCGACACAGGACGAGCTATTCTCTAAAGTAAGTATGACATATCTTCGAACATAATACCCTCACGAAATTGCACTGACCCAAATTCTCCCGTAGATTGTTGCACTGCAAACAGGCCAGGCTATCGTCTTCGCTCCGTCCGGCCTTGGCGTCAAAGCAGGCGTTTCGTCCCCCTCCACTTCGTTCAGCGCTTCCTCAGCTCATTTGAGATCAAGAGGAGGCTTTGTCGCACCATTCGGTCAAGGGTACCTCCTTGTTCGATCTCGTCAACGTATAACCCTCGACGGAGGCCACTCCCTGCTTGCAGTGCCGAACCGTCCCAATCTTGCACGTACTGTTCATCGCATATGCGCGCCAGGCCCTTCGAATTCGAATGGTCGTGATTCCCCGGTGGAACGAAGTGGACATATCTTCGAGGCAGTCCGCGAGTTTGTTGATCTAGCGAGTAGTACCGGGATTGAGGAGCTGGGATCAAATCATTCCGAATCCGGGTTTGAGACGTGCGCCGATGAGGAAGACGAAGATGTCTTGGATTCTGTGCAAATTGGTACGACCGCACCGGCGGAACCTCAGTCCGTAGATGAGACTCATACAACACCTCATGGTTCGGGATCTTTCAAAATGATTCTTATCTGCATAAGAATATCGGCGTTGCTTACACCATAATTGAAACAGGAACACAGCACCGTATCAACGGTCTAACAACTTCGCCAGATCTGAGCCTAATTCAAGTGCATGCGCTAACTGTACGTACGATCAGTCTCCTCCATAATATTGTGTGACGCTTACATTTTACCCAGTCCGTTAAAGACTGTGAGTTCACCGTGTACCAGGTTTAATAAAATGCTAAGTTTTCGTACCAGTATCGCCTCGCGCTTGTCATCACCATTACCTCAATCCTCCATGCCCTGACGGAGTACGCCTTTCCTGGAAACACTATTCATGCTCAATAGCTGACTGATACGTGACAGGACCTTTGTCGTTACGCCCATAATTATCAATTGAGCGAACAGCAACGAAACGAAATAGCACATATCGGAAAGTTCATACCATGTGCGTCGATCAAGAAAGGTATAATTTTTGAGGCTGCTGCTCTTTCGACGACTGCTTACCATTCCTACAAATGAAGGCGAACAATGTCCACAGGGAGACGCGTGTTATTACGGACACAGTTGTCCTCACGGTCCCGATTGTCCCTTTTTAAGTAAATGCCAGTTCAAGAAGTGTGAGTTTTTCTTTCGTATATCACCCGACATTGCCTAACCTTGGAGTGTAGTGGGTCATGCTGCAGTATGTCTTACCTTCGCGCAATTAATCTGCGCGCCAATGCATTAACTCTAGATCACCCCCAGCCTGCAATTCCTGCTCGGATAACATCAGTGACAACCAATGGCACACCAAGCCCTCCAGTCGTACGCGAAGACAGCAAACCAATAGCCCAAGCTCAAACTCCTTCCAGTCGCGCGTATCATCCCACTGCGTCTCCTGCTGAGCAGCCTTCCACCGCACCGACCCCAGCGCCTGAAACATTTCCGTCATTGTCGCCCTGGAATCCGACAACTACAGCCTTTACAGATGAGACCAAGAGATTCATCCCACTTCTAATGGTGTTAGGAGAGGAGCATGCCTCGGGGAAAGAGACAGTTCCCTGGCCACAGGCTGCTATGAAAATGAGCCAAAAGGCACCAGGCGCGTGGGAGGGTAAATTCCGCAAGTACGTCGACGCCGCTATAGCCGAAAGATTAGTTGTTTCGGGACGTCTACCAGCCGAGGACTGGATGAAGGTACCAAATACGCCCCGGGCATCTCAATATCTGCGTGAGGCTATGAAGTTCCATCCTCTGGTCCAGATTTTGAGAGACGAGAAGCTGCTTGGCGGGAAGGACCGAGTGAAATGGTCCGACCTCGCCTTTCTGCTGAGTCGGAGGGCACCGAACGCGTTCACAGGGAAGTTGAAGAGGTTCCTCGAGGCCGCTGCGGAGGCGAAACTGGTTGTGTCAGGCGTTGGAGCGGTGCAAGGGCAGGAATGGATAGCATTACCCGGTACGGTCTGATGTATACTTACTGATTTTTGCGTTCGTATATCCTTTCACATCTTGTTATCAACGAGGGAAGCCGATCATGATGCATAGAATAGAGGAGATGTTGGCAACGCGGGTGTCGAATTTGACGAGATCCTCTCAGTTGAGATAACTCACCAGAATCCCGCTGGCCTGCGTACTCTCCTGCGATTTCGCTCTGTATTTTGTTACTATGAAACAACAAGTCGCCAATGTGTCGACAGGTGGTAGACGGCATTTCTCTGCTCGCTTGGTCTGTACTAGAAATAGATTTAGTCAGGGATCGCTGAGATTATTCCTGCAACACCTAGTAGTGGTAAGTCAACTGACTATAGACGCACCTCTTATCACCACAGCGACTGTAAATGAACAACGAGGTGGGGCCGTCTGCAAGACATCCCAGGATTGGTTGTCTCGTTTGCGACATTCTTGTCAGGATTTCTGGGTATCATCTCATGGCTGAGGCCATCGCTTGAACGACGTAAGCCGAGGATATGATGGCGATGTACTCCCCGAATATTCGAGCCAGTTCGTCCGAGTTCCCAAGTCATCCCGTAGACCTTATTCTAGACTACTGTAGTTTTTCGACCAAGTGTTCGTCACGCATCACGCAGAGGGCGTCGGCGAACAGTTTTGGTCCCGGGGTCACGCATACACACGGGTTCACGAACAGAAAATCGTGACGAATCTGCGCTGAAAATCACCCAAAATTCAATTTTTGGGAACTAATGCGAACAATTCCGCTTGTTCGTCACGCGTGGCCCGCCCGAACGAACCGTGGCCCAGCGGTGGTCACGGCTGACATAATTATCCCACGAACACTTGGTCGAAAAACTACAGTAAGTATACAGCGGAGGCTCAGTATGACCGTATACTTACTTTGGCGAAAGTATTGGATGGCGACATATTAGACGACTTTAAGTGTGAGAGAACGCAGGTCTTACATATGCTATATCAAAAGGGGGAACGAGGAGAGCAAGAGGAGTGGCGGAGGGATGTTCGGGTCGTCCTAGGTCGACTCATGCACTCGGGTTAGGGTCACTCCCTACGTCACCGGACGACATTTTAGTGTCGTTCCTTGTACCGTCATGAGCCTCTGCACAGATACTCAGCCTGTAGCATGCCCTGCGTACGGAGGGTCTAGTGTCTTACTCTCTTTACGGTCTGTGCTGCCCTTGCGCTGAGGAAGCGACGTCTCCGCTCAGACTGGCCCTTGACATGGAGATTCGAGGGGTTCCCAAACTCTTCTATACACACCTAGGCCGGATCTTCATAGAACTGTCGTGTCAAGGTGGAGCTTTGACTAATGAAACCTGGTTAAAACATCAAATATAACTCTACTAACTACGTCCAGAAAGCTAGATAGAACTCGAAACAGCACCGGGGCGTCCCGAATTGGATGGCGGGCACGTTCATATAGTCTCAGGAGCACCACTTCGTCACGGCAATTCCGAGTGAGCTCGGAATGGCGGAAACGTCAGAGTGGAAAGTGTTCATGATCGAATTGAATGGTACTTGGCGATCGTTCCACACACGTCGACGTATATATAATCGCCATCAATATTGCCTGCCGACGTCCTTTTCCCCCGCATCCTCGCATCCCTATACCCATTATGTTCAATCCTAAACGTCGCGCTGGTATGATTCCAGAGTCTTTCAAAGAAGACTGTTTCGCTGCCTTGCTCGAGGTCAGTCATCCTCGAACTGTGCAACCAGCGTGTAGAGTCATAGGGAATCGCTTCCCTCGTGCTTTCTCAGTTTGTAGGAACGACAGTATTCCTGCTTCTTGGTCTAGGATCAATCCAAGCAGTCACAGTGGAGGCGGCCGCCACTGCCTCTTCGTCATCCAACATTGAGCGCGTCCTCTATGTATGCCCCTTTTCGCCTCAGCCGTGTACTACATTTACATCCCCCAATCACTCACACGCCGGCCTCCCCCTTGCGTAGATCTCTTCGGGCATGGGTTTCTCCTTGCTCGTATCTGCATGGCTATTCTACAGAGTCACGGGCTCGCTGTTCAATCCCAACGTCAGCCTCGCCCTACTCATCGTCGGTGTCATCACGCCTGTTCGCTTCGTCCTGTACTGCATCGCTCAGCTGCTTGGAGCCATCGCAGCCTCTGCCCTCGTTATCGCTCTGACTCCTGGTCCGTTGAGCGTCAAGTAAGCCCCTCTATTCGCTCCAGTATCTTAATCCCGGAATATAGGTATGCATATACGATTGTGGGAGTTGAATCGGAATGTAACCACGTAGCGCGATGCTACAACCGGGCATAAACGACGCTCAAGGGGTCTTCATCGAGATGTTCATTACTGCTGCTTTGGTTCTCGCCGTCTTGATGCTCGCTGCCGAGAAGGTTTGTACAGTCTCTTTGCCAGGAATTCGTAAGTAAACTAATCATCTTCTGATTAAACACGGATAGCATAATACTACGCCCTTTGCACCAGTAAGTCTCCATTTATTTTTTCGTTCGTTATAATCTGACGTGTCCGCCACTTTGAAGATTGGCGTTGGATTGACTCTGTTCGCGTGCCATCTGTGCGTGTCGTTCTTGGTTCTTTACTCTTTGAGATCATATCCGACCCAATGATGAATACTGGCTGCCTTCCGTAGCTTCGCTGTTAACTACACTGGTACGTACCATCTCACCGAGCTTCTCATCTCGTCGGTTTTGACCTTCAACAATTGCACGCACACATAGGCGCCGCCATGAACACAGCACGAGCATTTGGGTGCGTCGCGTTCTAAAGGTCACCTTGACTCTCGTTTACCGACGATTGTTTGACAGGCCTGCAGCAGTCACTGGGTTCCCAAACGGGGATCACTGGGTGGTGAGTACTGATAATATCCACCAGCTTATATATCTATTCCTCCTTGTCCTACTATCGTTCTCCACGCATCCTTCCACTAACTTACCGGACCGCACAGTACTGGCTCGGGCCCTTCCTAGGCTCCATCCTCGCCTCAGGCTTCTACAGCGTCATCAAACAGTACGCCCCCCTCCCGCTCCCCTCACCCCCCTTTTGTTCTGTAGCCGATGTACTTAAACGTATCGGACATGCACAGCTATCACTACTGGAAGCTCAACCCAGACCAGGAGGCCGTCGAACAGCACATGTCACCTCCAGATCCGATCGAGCGTGTGCGCGAAGCCGTCACGAGCTCGAGTCAAGGCAGTGGCGATGCGGGTACGAGTGGTGGTGGTGGAGGAGAAAAGAGTAGGTTGGGTGAGAGTGAGGATAACTGGCGTGTTAGGGAGAAGAACGATAGTCCCGTTTGAGGACATGAGCTCCAGGAGTCGGCGTTCTGGATGTGTTTTTCAATAATCTAGGCTATTGACGGATGGAAGTTGCGGCAGTACGGTAACTTTATGCATGATATGGGCTCGTTATCGTTTTGTATATGTAGGATCTATCCATTATTCTTTGTTTTGGTTGAAATCCCGACAACCTAGGCCATACATTTTGTTCAGGACTTCCTTGGTCTTTCGTACTCTTCGCTTTATTATTCGCCTGAGCTGTCTGTCTGCTCCAGTCCCGATCCGCGCGGACGTTTTTGGTCTTGATTCATGGTAATAATCTCTGGTAGAATACATCCACGTTGCCGTGCCCAATATGCGCTGTGGCACTGGGGTCCTCGTGGGAGTTGAGCGCGGAGAAAGCCGGGTTCAGGGGAAGGAGAAATTTTCTCTCAGGTTGCTCTCCACAGTCCTCTTCACGATTGTCTCTTCATTCTCTGGCATTTACGAAGACTGGTCTCTCCTGGATAGTTCTACATACACTAGTTAGTTTCGCGAGACTTGACTACCGCTCTTTCGCTCGTCCGACAGCATCTGTACACGAGTTGCAGACACTCTGCGGCCGCTGCCACTGCCACTGCCCTAATTTTTCATTCTTCAGTCGGGCTCGGGTCAACTCCGTACGGTTTGGCCTTCTCCTCTCTAAGAGGTTCTGTCATAGTGAGCTATGGAATGGGCTCCGAAAGATCACGTTAGCGGTCATAGCTGCCGCGTTATCACTGCTGTGGAGACAACAACACTAGTCGAACAACATTTCTTGACATCTTCGTATCGACGCTGCCTTCATGGTATTCTCAGATAAAAAGCCATAAATTACAGGTTTCTACACTTCAGCGAGCTCACAACAACCGCCTCCAGCCGCCATACTACACAGTCACAGCCTTCGAATCTCTGCCCGCGGTGGAAACACCCATCTTGCTGTGCATGCGCTGGCGACGCCACTAGCCGCGGCTTGCCTCAAGGCTTTGCTTTATTCTTTATGAGGGTGGAGGATTTCTCATGCACTGCGAGAGTCTACTCGGAGGCGACCTGTGCGGGTATCACTACGGCGCGAAGACGACCGAGAATAGTTGCTTCAATTTCTCGGGGACGGGAGAAACTGTTCATGTCTTGTGTCAAAGCTCGTAAAGTCTATCTTTCTTAACACCGATAGCGGCCTTGGGGTGTTAGTTCTTCTGCTTGAGTTTTACGACCATAACGCACCACAAAGGTCTCATTCATCCGTGTTCATATGGACGATACGGCTTGATGTGTCCGATATATGTATCGATATCGTGATACACACAATGCCTGGTCTCAGCCTGGACACCTTCTTGACGTCATGTACTGTGCTTCAAGGGGACATGTGGAACGTGGGCGGTATTTTCGGGATCTTTAAGGCTGATGTTCAAGACCGTGAACAAAGGAAGGGCCCAAAACGGCGCGATGACTTGGATACCGATGGCACACTCCACACGTGTTGTTGCATCTCTCTAATTGATGACTCGATATTTTCAAATTTTTCGTCATCGGCAAGCACCTATATAAAGGAGGGTAGTCTCGCTATCCTTCTCTTCACTCGCAGCCCCCTCTTCGCTTTCTCTCCCTCAGATCACACCCCAGCTTCAACCCAACGTCGAAACGCAGTACAGGTAAGAGATTTTCGCACTGTAAGCTTCAATATGGCCTTCGTCTCTAACAGTTTACGCTTCGGGCCTTTCCCAGTCTTCGCTAGGCGCTCCTCATCGTTCTGCAGGGTGTGTAGATCTCGCCGCGTATAACCCGTCTTTCTTCCCCCTTCTGATTCTGAACCGTTCCCCCTTTCGCTTCTTCTTTTATTTGTGGAAAGTCATCATGCCCGAACCATACCGCGTCGTTTATCCAGCCGATAGATGCGAGGGTTGCACTCTCAGGCCCGAGGAGGGTCGTCTGCACAGGATTTGTGGCCGGTGTCGCAGCGTAGTCTATTGCAGCAAAGAATGCCAAGCCAAACAATGGAAATACCATAAGTACGTGCTCTCCTCTTTAACGCCTTCTCTACTTGAATAGTTCATTAACCTCACCGGATACGTTCAGAGCTGCGTGTCGGTATGCTCAAAAGCGTTATGCACGGACTGAGTCGGGCAAGCCGACCGCCGAAGCGACAAACACCCGTGCTCTTCGGGAATTCTTCTCCATACACACCGACAATTTTGTCTACTGCGTGGAGTTGGCCATTATAGAAGATATGCTACGTTCTGTTCCTGCAGGCCTCTCCGGCCGTGACCTGGTTCAAGCATATAACGCTTCCGACCACATCGCCTACTTCGAATTGTCCCCTCGCGCGAACGACGGTAACCCGAGCACAACATTCGGCATCAAACGCTCTGTATACACAACCGTCGACGCCTTCAAGAAGAGCCCAGACTTTAATTCTTCCACCCGGGAGCTCTTAACCTCTACCCCTAAAGAAGTGATGGACAAGAATCGGCACTACGAGTTACATGGGACAGAGCCTGGCTACGACATTGGCTTAATCACCATGCTACTGCATATCCCCGGCCGCAACGCGAATGACATGGGCTATCACTATGGTCATGCAAAGTTGGTATACATCGAACAACTCTCTCATAACATGGAGAAGCTGATCTCGAACGGCATCGGACTGTCCGCTTTGGCGTCATGGAAGACGATGTTATCATTTTTCGTGGATGTGGGGATTTCGTCGAGGTTTTTCCTAGCTGTGGAGGACGAAAAGAGGCACCATTGTTACGGAGAGATGGTAAAGGTGGAAGGAGAACCAGGGTCAAAAACGAAGTGGACGTGGGTGCAAATTCCGTGGGATGAGTATGATGCTCGTATAGAGGAGTTGATGCCGCGCGAGCAGTCCCAACCCGCTATCACAACGCCCGAGTGAGAGGTCATTATCGCTGGTATAAAGCCCTTGAGGCAGCATTAGGGTCCTTACCGTAACATTGTATCCTTTGATTCTTCATAAGTAACACCCTCTCGTGACAGAATTTGTGTTCGCAGCTGAGCGATGTGTTGACGGTGGCGCTGTGGCGACGAGGGACCGCTGTATGCAATAATGTCTTCTTCGTCAGCATCTTCCCAGACGAAGACGACGACGACGACGACAAACACGATGATTTATTAACCACTTATCTTCCTTTGCTTCGTAAAACTTCGGACATCCGTTTGTTTCGTCTATTAAACGCGCTCGTCGACAGTGTCCGCGACTGAAATAGCCATCGTTCGTGCCCTCCACCAATCCGGTGAAGTATTAGAGGTATTATCTCAGGCTTTTGCTCATCAGCTCATTATTTATCATTTGGATTGCTTATATTTTTTTCAGGATGACTATGAAGATCGCATCCATGGCTTTTGGGGATCAATGACACACAGTGTCTCACTTCAAAGGAACATTGCCTCGACGTACCTCTGCACAGGGGTCCCCAGCTCGGCTTTCATGTCTTTTTATGTTACCTTCAGCGTTCGCATTAAGTTGGCTAGTACCCGCACCGACGCAACCTGAACTGGGAAAAACAAACATCGCAATTCGCCAGGGCTTCCATTGAGCATATGCGCATCATTCGAATAAGAACAGTCGACGACAACTCTGCTCTCCCTTCGAGTCTCTTCTTAAGTGAATACTCGTACCGTTCCTCCAATTTCCTGCGGGTTCTGTGTCGCCTCTTTGGATTGTGATTGTTTGGCCTCCCATACATGGCAAATTATAGTAGAGAGCGTGAAATCGTCCAAAATCGAAACTCAAAAGCCGAGACTGGAACGGTTGACGCTCCAAACTCAGTGGTGAGCGCTCGTGCCGGTGGAGCGAAACTCGATTGAGTTTCGCTCTAATCTCCGAGTTTAGATTCTCGCCGATTTCACGGTCTCTAGTATGTGTTCCATGTCTCGCGGAGTTCATTTCGCTGGTCTTCTTCAGTCCTTATGTGCTATTTTCCCAGCATTCGCCAGTTTCATTCGAGACATTGAGTATACTCCAGATCGCACCCCTCTCACAATGTGTCAACACCATATCGACATTCAGCACCGGCAACAGCGGTTTGCCAGCCCCAGAACTAGCAGTCCTGGCGGTGACATCGTTTTTGTCCCCTTGGGCCCTGTACGGGAGCGGTACAATGTCAATAATTGTCATTCTTCTGACTCAGATTGCCGGAGGCAAGATCATAATAATGCGACCATGGCGTGGAATACTCTAGCTAAGCAGTATACACTGGTGGCATCGTCGTCAGGCTGTCCTCCACACTCCCGTCTACTTGCCCAGTTCTGGCCGCCGCCTCCGAAATGTTCGGCGGTGACTGGCTTGGTATCATTCGGGGGGTTCCTGCTTCCTCGCTGCACTCTAATCGAGCGACGGCGCCCTGTTGAGTATCCTTTGGCGCTCTCATGGACGATACCGTAGGGCGGGCGAGAGAGAACGGAGTGACCCAGTTCATCATAACTGGCATGATATATCTCATTAGTATACTGCAAATAAAGTGCATCAATGGTACGTACGACGGCCAGGAGATTCATCGTCCTGGACAGATTGACCGTTGATATGACGGCGTCTGGACCTCCGTCTACATCGCCACAGAAACACACCGAGCACCAAGATGACGACGAGCGATGCAGCGCCGACAACACCCCCTACGATGACTCCATATTTGTTCTGCTCTTTGTCAGTGCTCGAGGATGGAGTTGTCGCGGGTGTTCCCCCCCTTTTCTCTACCGCCGTGGGTGGAGGAACGAAGGCTGTGTCGGATCCTACGAGGACATAGTCGATGTAAAACGAGTTCGCTACCTCACACGTGACGACTAAGGTGTGATTCCCGCCGGACGAGAGAGGGGCGGAGATATAGTGCCAGTTGACTGCGGGAGAAATATCTCCGATGTTTTCAGGCATGGTGACGTTGAACGGGATGCTATCATCGATCGTATAGGATGCAGGGGGAGCGGAAATGGCGATCGATATACCATAGACGTCCACAGATGTTCCTGAAAACGTCCAGTATTCGAATCTGCTTGTCTCCGAACGAAAGAGATACCGAAATGGAGACGTACCGATGAAATTGAGCGTCATTGACGCTCCCGGAGTGGCTCCACCCGTTACGCTCCCGTTGAAGGTCCCGTCAACTTCAGTGAAGGAGTCGTTGAAAGCAATCCAAGGCGGTGTGGCGACCGCCCAATCGCCGGACCACGACAAATACGGACTAGTATCATCTATGAAGATACGAGATGTAGACGGGTGAGATATTGTTGAATTTTCGGTAGCCTCGATGACGATGTAGTCGAGGAAGAGCTGAGAGGCGAATTGCCCAGATATGTCCATGTTGATGGAATGTGTCGTATCTTCCAGAGACGTCACATTGAAGGCGGAAATGTGGTGCGATGAGTCTCTCCGGGGCGTTAGGATGCTTGAGGAGGAGACACCGCCGTCAATGGTGAATGTAACGTTGACCGTCTGTGGGTCAGTGCTACCTCCGAGCGAACCAAAGGCGAACACGGACTTTCCTGGGTAGGTTTGAATATTCATTCAGCCATACGCATAAATATGCGCTCACCAGAGAAGCTAACTTCCATGGTTGATCCCACGCCAGTGGACTGAGTTGTTGTGGACAGGAACTCAATGTCCACGCCTAGGAGAAAACACAATGGTTACTTCATGCACTCGAGAGCTCAGATTGGACTCGTACCAGAGTCGGTCCAGTTTCCGTCCGTAGGCCCATACGATATACTGGGGTCTCTGTCGTCTACAATCACGTATATGGCAGACATGAGAGGAAATGATTAGAGAGTGTTAGGAGTTGATAGTAGAGTTCTGGGTGCTGATGTAGTATAAATTCATACCTAGGCAAAGATATCGCCCCGCCATCATTAGTCCATCCCGCCTTCCGTTGCCAGTTGTGGATCCGTCCTCGCATGTTAACTGCACCGGGGACATCGACCCGAATCAGCACTTCTTGACGGGATCCTCCCCTCGAGGGCTGTGGATATCTGCCAAAGTTCAAAATCCTGCAAGACTAGACACATCGGGTTAGAAAGCTCGCGGATTATCCAAAGGTTGGACTGTTACCTCCCCAGTGGCTTTCCCAAGACATCTCACGGCATCTTTCTGTATCCGCACTGGTAGCTAAGCACTAATGTCCGGCAAGTATTCAGTTGAGGGTCTGCAAATACGAAGGTCAGTCGGGTTAAGAATCTATGTGACATGTATAGGCTTGAATTAATTTGTGGAAGGACTCCGAGATTATACATGGCTCATGCGTTGACTATTCGACCTGAAGGGCACCATGTAAAACATGTACTTCCCGTGTTCATTCTCGAGACGATCAATGTCATGTGTCATGCGACTGATGTTTGTTGCTCGAAACATGTACGACTGATACGACTCTGGATATCAGCTGGCGACCTACTAAGTATATAAGGTTTTGCACGGGACAAACCCGTACCCGCCAAACACCGCACCCGTACGGGTACGGGTAACCACTCACCATCCACCCAGGGTACATTCTACGCATCGCTCACTGCCCTCTCCTTTCTTTGCGCTTCTACTCCCTACCATGTCAGCTGTCCGCAACACACACCTTGCTCTCGATATGACATCCAGGTCCACCGTTCCGCACATCACCCCACCATCAACAGCGGGACCACATCTGAAGCCACGGAGAGTACTCCCTTCGCCATTGGCCACCCAAATCAACAGTAACACAATTACATTGCGCCACCCATCAGATATTGTCTGAGAGTTCACTGTGAGTGTGATGGGGGTGGACGATGGAGGGAATCCATTACCCAAAACCTACAACCGTCAACATGAAAACCTGGCAAGATCATAGATGTATCAGCGCCGGGAAGAGGACGAGGACGAGGCCGTGGATGAGGATGAGGATGGAGATACGGAGGACGGGAATGTGACAGCTCAAAGTGGTGAGGAGCAGCGGGAGCAGGAGTTTGAGTTTGAGACTAGCGAAGGCAAAGAAGAGAGGATGATGAGATTGAGGATGAAACGTACAGCGATGCCGGAGAGGACGGAGCCGCAGCGAGATTGAGAACGGGACCGACAGCGAAGCGCGTGATACGTGGGGGCTGAAGAGTGGAGAACTCAATATTTGGCCACGTCGTAGAAGAAGAGGAACTGATTGTGTTCCGTATCACTGCAATACCACCATTTCACAGACCGATACTAATCAAATGCATACGCTGTGAACGACCTCGTCGACTCGTTTGATCGGTGGGTGCCGTTGGAACATACTTATGGCGCTGGACTGTGTCATCAAATCACCAGAGCTTCCGTGGCCCCGCACGACAACAATGATGCGTGTATTATGATCGTACAGCCATGGTTACAAGACAATGATTCCAACTCTATGAAGAATTGAGTATGATAGTGACGAACCCGGATACACACGTACCGTACATAACATACATTCACTACACCAATATGTTTGCGAGAACTACCCAACTTCCGTCCCACCAACCTTGACCGTGATCTTCATCGGAAAAGGCGAAATATTCGAGTTCGTGATAGGAGGTACAGCTGCGCGGCCGGCTTCAGAGGACGTATGAATGAGCATTGTTTGGAGAGCGCGAGTGAGAGTATTGGGAAGAGTGCGAAGATAGGTCTGGCGGTCTGGACGCGGAGAGGGGACAGTTGGGTCAGCGGGCAAATAGTACTGAGAGAGGGTGGAAGCAGAAAACCTTGTTCAGACTTGGGGTGTTTGACCTCGACATTGATGTTCCTGGAGCGGTGGACGGCGAAGATCAGGACAAGGATAACATACCAAAGGGAATTACACGCACCACTGCTCCCATGGAACTTCCTCCTACTCGATCGGCAGCACACAGAAAAGTAAAAATTATATAAATCTCCACGAGACCAATCATACCGACTGGGAAGGCGAAGGAGAGACACACTTCGTATGTTATCCCTAGCCACGATTTCTTCGGTTGTTTGGTGGAATATGTGACACTGACCTAAAGCCAGCACTTGTTAGAGGTCATAAACACGAAGAGAGCAGCTGTGAGCTACTCGCCTGTCCACGCTTGTTATGGGCGCCGCTCTCCATACCTTTCCAGAACACCTCGACCTTCTCGTTTACGAGCTTCTCCATGTCCGGGTCGGCTACGCCGGGCTACATGTTCGATTTCCCCATACCGTGGTCAGTACAAGAACAAAAAAGGAGTGAGGCAATAGGGGCGCACGATTGTAACATCGAGGACTTCAAACGTTTGTGGCTTTATATTCCCGAAGAGGCGATGAAAGAGGATGGCGTGGAGGAGCGCACGGAGGACGTCTCGAGTGTTGGACCGATCTAGGATCTAAGCTCGTAAGCAGATGTTCAAAGTCTGGCTTCCATCGGACAGACTTACGACGTCAATATCGATAATGGCATGGGTAGGTGCGCTCATCGTTGCAAGCGATGTTGGCCACCTGAGATGTACGGTGTGAGGTGAACGAGCGCCGATGAGGTTATTGGGGATACCTTAACCCGGAATTAGGGCGCTGCTATCAGGGCCACTCGTGTGGCATTGGGTTGCCGCTTCAAGCGGCGCCGTTTTCTTCACCACGTCTGAGTCGCTCTTTGACGAAACACTATCCATCTTTGTCCGTACATTTCTCGCTTCTCTGGACTTCTCTGGATATCGACATGCCGACTGTCAATGAAGATTTTCTGCGTAAGCTATCAGAGCTGTACGAAAGCTGGAACCATGCGCTTCAGGATGAGAATCGTCGACTAGAGAAAGAGTTGACTGAGGTGAAGCACGAGAGACAGCAGTCCGAGGTATGCCAGCCGTTTTACCTATGTTGGAGTGCATCATGATACTAAGTAGTTCTACCGTACGATATTTCTCCTCTTTGTCTCGCTCTGGTGTTTTGGGACCCGAAGGTACCAGCCGCTGCGCCACAGGGCTCTGTCTATATCAAAACGATAAAGGACCTCATAGCTGAAAAGCGTGCGCTTAGCCTCGACCTAGAGGCAGTGAATCTTCGCATCGAGCAGATGACGGCCACCATCGAGGGCCTCACAACGAAAACCGACCAGCTTCGCTACACACTTGGGCTTAAACAAGATACACTAGGCGATACGCGGGCAAAGTTGGAACAGGCTGAAAGAGATGCCCAGCTTCGTCAAGAGCAGCTGTGCCATGGACGCAAGAAGTTGTTCGAAACGGAGAAAGCATTGGAGGAGTCTGACGAGCTGAGGGCTGATCTCGGGAAGGCATGGGAGTCGAGCGAAAGGGATGTTAGACGTCTGCAGGTGCAGTTGGAGGACCGCGAAGCCGAGATCGCTCTATTGAGGGAGATGTTACACACTCCAAATGTGAAGAAAGAGGTGCGTTCTGGTTCAACCATACCGTTTCGGATGTTCCTAACATACTTCGGTCTTATCTGCCTGCTAGACACCGAAAGCCGGTTCTGCGCAACCCAGGAAACGCACTCGTCAGGCGCAGCAGCATGCTGATGCTCCGAACAGTGCAGGTAGCTCGTCGAGCAAGAAGAGGAAGACAGACTCCACGAGTATGAAGAACGAGGTCTGATCGATAAATAATTAGATGTGACATCGGACTCGTCTTGTTTGAAGTGAGTTGAATTCTTCCGGCCTGCGTTCTGTGCCTTTTGGCTCTACAAATCTGACTATGACTGCCATTTCATTTTCCTCCCTGTGCATTGGGTATTGGTCAGCATGTTGGAGCACTCCTTAGTGGCTACAGCGACCGTAAACAACAGATCCCCCCATTCTACACGAGTCGATATCCCCTACCGAAAGCCATGCGTTGTCCTTATTGTTATTCACTAAAATATGATGTCTTCGTGCCCTCTTGTCGGCGTCTGGCCGATGAGCGTCTGGGTATCAGGTCATACTCACTCATCCCCGCATGTTCCCATCCAGATCAGTGATGCTATATCAGGTCTGAGAATCCCTAGTATCTTGGGTCCATCCGCGTACGCTGCAATTCGCGTCTGGCCTGGGACGGTTTCTCCACTAACAAGTATAGCGTACATTTACTGTACGAATGGGCATGTCCCTCGTATCGTGAAGGCAACAGCAACATGGCAATATTATGGAACGCTGGAGGGGAAATGGTCATATGCGTACAATCTGGTTAAAGTCGAATTCAGTCGTACAATCTATAGGATTCTAGATATTTCGAGAGGCAAAAAAGATTCAGCGCTGATGGCAATCGAAGATGGGTAACATTTTTGAAGGACAGGAAAAGGCTCGCAACCATGGCTTAGCATTCGCCAAGGTAGCTACTCTTCGGCACACTCTGACCGTAATCATTGACCCAGGTCGTCAAGTTGGGATTGGTGTACGCCTCTTCATATCTACAGTGATGTCTGGGTAAGACCTACTTACAGACGGCAAAGCAAAGAGAAAAGACGAACTGGGAGATATAAGCGGCAGTCGGGAAATCGGGCGGGTCGCAATCGACATTGATGGAGTCAGGCCTCTGGTAGACGCGTATGTAGTCGATATGCATGGTTGCCGGGAAAACCAGATCGTCGAAGTCGATGTCGCCAAAGTTGTAGGACATACCGAGGTTGGCGATGATATACTGCGACCAGGAGAAGAAAGTAAATGAGCGTCGACGGAGGGGAAAGATAGACAAGTAAGCCGAGCAGGGAAATAGTGGACGTACCATGGGTTCTTGGGGAATCGGACGATCTGAAATCTCTGTCCTCGGGTCGGCCTTCATACCTTCTGCTTTCAGCGTCCAAGCGGTTGCGTTCTTCGCTATCCACGTAATATATGCATCATCAAACCCAGGCTTGTACTGCACTCACGCATATATTCAGCACTCCAGAGGCAGCGACATACGCGATCAGGCGGATACACTCACTTCGTAGCCATATACGGAGAAACACGACCCATTGAACTGGTAACAGTCTTGGTCTGTCTCGGAGATTACGGACGTCGCCTGCTGAGTCCGTCCGCCCTTGTACGAGTTGAGAGCGGACGTGACAGTTTCGTTGTAGATCTCAGAGCCAGTAGTGTTATCCCAGCTGTAGAAAGCGTTGAATGGCTGTACTCTCGAACAATGAGCTCCAGCCAAGGCCAATGACTGGGGTAAAGAACTCACAGCCCACTGACAACTCTGAGAGACTTGACCGCTCATGACTCCGCCGAAAGTATTCGATATCTGTCCCTCAATAATATCGATCTCAGGTGCACTCCTCCCAACGAATGTGCCATCTTCATGCACTGGACCTGGATGGCTCTCTCCTGGGCACGTACACCGCGAAAGTCTCTGACCACCCAAATAGGAGAGAGGTCCTCCCACAGTAGTACCGTCGCCACCGTCCTCGGTGAAAGTGTAACCAGTCTCTGCGGCATAGGAAGGGAGGCCGTTGAGAGATTGGTTGGCGACGGTGCCGATATCACAGGCGTCATATGTGTAGGGCCACTAAGAAGCGGCGTACGGAGGCAGTACATTAGACCAGAGATAAAGGGTGAGAATTTAAATGGAAGAACGTACCAGTCCGTCGAGTGTGGCGCCGTAGCCTGTACGCCCGAGATTTCCGACCGTCCAGACGGCAGGCCACAGACCAATGATGTTCGAAAAACCAGGCAGAACGACCGAAGTCTCCACATATCCGCCCGTGAAGCAGAATTTATTCCTGACGAAACCGAACACGTTGAAGACTCATAATTACAAGCTGATAAGAGGAGACGATGGAAACTGACCATGTTGTGACCATACCTATGTTCAATGCGAATGGTCAGCAGCCGAACCCGACAGATAGGAAGGATATGTCGCTCACCACTCTGGTAGTCCAAGTTATACTCTTCATGTCTCGAAAGCGTGATGACCATCGAACCGTTCGCCGTGGTGACCGCTGCGGGATCGTACCACTCGAGATTATTCGTTTCCTAGTATCCCATGGATGTCAGCAAACAATAAAGATCGCTCGTTTCTCCAACAACGATAAAACTGAGCTTATTAGCGAAAGGGACTTACCCAGTAATGCAAATTCACAGCCTCCCAATACGGATCGTCTCCCTCCGAAAATGTCCTCCCCTCCTTCTCGAACTCGTCCGAAAATACAAGCTGTAGCTCGGACCCATCGTGCCACGAAGTCTTCGTGTACGCCCAGGAAGGAGTATCGGTATCGATAAGGCCAGGGTATTGTGATGTTGCGTTGAGGAATGTGGCGGAGAGAGTGGGAGGGCCGGCGGTGAGGTCAAAGTGACTGAGAACGGGATATCCAGCGCTATTTTGTCGCGGTGAAACAAAAAAAATTGTATAAATAAGTTCATGGATGCCAGCGAAGACTGAGTGACAGAATGAAACGCACAAGAGCATGACGACTGCTAAAATCATGATGACGAGGCATCCTAAATTCGCCACTCCACGTACGTACGACACACCCCAACCGCGCTTGTGCCACAACTGCTCGTCTACGACCGTCTCTTTCGGATCGTGCATCCCATCATCTGCCTCCGGAAACTCCAAGCTAAGCGGGGTCCCCCATCGCTCTGGGTCGTACGAGAAGGCGTACTGGGTTGGAAATACAAGTACGTGTGAGCACCGTGTATGAAAATAATGCAAGATGCCAAAGTGATAATCGGAGAGGGAGTTGTTGGGTGGAACACGTACCTTCTCTTCGACGGCGAGCTTCGACTGGGATGGAAATTGGACGGGATATGGACATTGATAGGGCGTCTCAGACTGCGATCCGAATACCATCAGTCCAGAGATCGAAAGATCAACGCATAGAAAAGCCGACTCACTGTGAACGAGAACTCTGAATCTTTAGATGGCCGGACACGTAGTGGTAACGAGTACTTCCGCGCAGGTATACGTGTGGCATTGAGCTTCGGTACCCTGGGCGGCGTCGAAGAGACTCCATGGATAGAATGTGATTCGGATCCTGAAGACGAATCCGGGTGAAGGGGCGGTTGAGACGGCGCAGGATAAGATGGCGGTGACGGCTGGCTCGATCTAGCGGACATAGTGGATGTGGAAAGATAAGTGGGCGAAGGGAAGGAAAACACAAGCACGAACCTCTTGTTTCGAAGCTTTATGGGAAAAGCGCCCATTCCTTCGGCGACAGCTGCGCTCTTAACCCCAAAGCCCCAAATTAACCTTCCTTGACATCCTTCCGTCCACAAAATAGTCGAAGAAGGATGCTCGAGGGTAGAATGTCAAGGTAAATGTGGGGAACTGACTGGTCTGGCGTTTAGGAAGAAGTATCCGCCACAGCACGATAGCCCACGATATTGGAAGCAAAGCGCTCCGAGAATTGCGTGAGGACACTCAAAATGACACAAAATGCAGAGTATCCACGACCGTATTGAGAAACCCTTTCCATTTGCCTCCGATGGGTATCTGCATCCGCGCTAAGGTATCCTTCGTCATACCGGGACTTGCGTCAACGCTCTCTGAATTTCGGATACAGTGGTGCTGAGTTCGAAGAAAAAATACTGAGCGTACAGTGAAAGCAAGGATATAACTGCGCAAAGTGAACCATACGGTGCGAAGAACTAAAGACTTTGTTAGTCTGTAGCAGCATTGCTCGATTTTCGAGAGAGAAACTCTCGGATACTGGAGTGCGATGACCAGAAGTGCGGGGTACGAGGGTATCCCCACACGGATAAATGGCATGGAATGCAGACTATCTCCTCGCTTGCCACTATCGTATAACAGTCACATTCACAGGAGCATACAGAGGCATCGTAGGATGAATGCGTGTGCCGATATCAATACTTGTTCTACCCATTAAAAAGGGAGACATCGCGACTGGGCGACGTAAAGAAAGCAAGGTTCAGGGCCTATGAAGTCACTAGAGGAGCGGATGAAGCGGAAGTGAGAATTGTCGATAGAGTAGTAAGTGATCGGTACCATCGGCGCCTCTATCTAGCCCAAACATAGTCTCTGAGGTGATCCAAAGCAAAGGTTCGAAGAGCCCGGAACAGGTTGGACTGAGCCAGCAGAGATAGATGGCCGAGAGCCGAGTTCTGCTCGGGCAGAAGACACGGCCGTATCATTCTCCTCATACTAGCGCATCGCCGCCAATTCGGCCATGGACAGACATCGAAGGAAGTGACTGTGCTGCGAGGTATCCTAGATGTTGACGTCGAAGGGTGGTGCAGATGTTGGCGGTTCGTTCAACCTGAAGATCGTGGCGTCGCGGGGAAGAGTTCAATTTTTATGATCTAATCTTATCTGATCGTACGTAATCAACGCATTCAGCCCGTGGCAGCAAACGCCACAGTGGCGCCAGTACTATGATTTCGCTTCACCAACGGAAGTTCTGTCAGGCTTCTCTTTCGATTTGTTGGATATTATGATATATTATGATCGAATCGCCTGCTATAGCTGGCAAAATAATATATCGCTGATCCTTTGACAACCAGAATGGGGCATCATAGTCTAAGAGAATACGGGTCATATATACAGTTACATCGAAGATGTAACAAGTTGCTCTAAGCCCTATGGCCTGACCCCTGGAAAAGGCCGTCCGAGCGGCGATGTATTGCGGGGATACGAATTGAAAGTACGTGCCGAGGCGCATTAACGAAAAAGAAAGAGAACAGAAATAAATAAGAATAAACAGGAAACAGCAGTACTAGGCATACTATGAGACACGTACAGATGGACCCACAGTCCATCCATCGACCCACAGTCCATCCATCGACCCATCCCCGTCCCCTTACGATCATTCACTCACTTCTCAATGTCCCCCACTCGGACTCAGACCCCGTCCGCCAGCCTCCAAAGTACGTCCGCCCTTCCCGGACCCGGCTTGGCCGTCCAAAATAACACTGCCTCAAACGGCACACCTTGCTCAATCTCGATGCTTTCATACGTGTCTATATCGTCACTAGTTAGGCCGTCAGTATTCCCGGGCTGAGTGACCTCAGTCATCTCGTCGAAGACATCCGTAGGTGATACAGGCAGGGCCTCAGCGAGAAGTCTCTCCAGCCAGGACGAGATGGAGGCGTTCGTTTTCGCTTTGTCGTTGTCGCAGGTATGTTTGTTTGGAGGAGGGTCAGAGGATGAACAAGTCAATCGACTTTCAGATTGCGCTGGTTGGGCTGCCGGCGTGACGGAACGCTTGTCGGACTCTAAATGCGGAGAAGAAGGGGGCTTGCAGTCTATTTGGCGGAGTGCTTGGGCGGAAAGTCGTGTGTGTGAGCGGCTGCCGCTGGGACTGTCTTCGTCCATGCAATAAGAGATCATGGCGAGGTCGGAAACTATCTGCGAATCCAGGCCTTTGTCGCCAAAGGGTGCATCAGAGGCCATGAGAGATGAGCTAGGTACCGCCATCGGCGAGGTATCTGAGTTCGTCCCTAAAGGTGGCAATCCCTTCGAACGGGCGGGCTCCACATCGCCCAACTCCCATTCCCAAAGCTCAGTCAGATAGATCGCAAGTTCCATGGCACGCCGCGTGTATGCCGATCCTTCCGGCGACCATGGAAAGCGAAGGATGTTGGCAAGACGAGGCAAGCATGCGTAGACGACGTTGGGGACGCCGGCGAGGAGGTGGAGCGTGGGGAAGGCGCCATTCTCAATGGCTTCGAATGTGGGGGTGTCGGCTGAGGAACCAAAGCGGATGACGCAAGGAGTGACACGGGAAGACCAGTGCACTTCGAATGGGTTCACTTCATGGTCCTACTCGAACAAATGAGCATCACTCACCCATGAAGATGCGGCCAACGAGAGGTGTAAAGGCACGCATCAAAAGAGTGGGATAGTCTGGTCTGCCGACATCGACTCCTTCCATCTCAAAGGTCCGTTTTCTACCAGCCCGCCAAGATTCCTCGAGGTGGATGAGCGCGAGAAGGACGTTCAGCGTGGGGAAGAACGTCCAATAGAGGGAGTCGAATCTCGAGTGGAAACCCTGATCTACTATATGTATGTCGATGATCGTGAGAATATAGGGCCGTAAACCAAGTTAGCTATGAGAGTTCAAGAGGTTGCGATGGTATAACAATTAGCGAGCGAGAAATGATGTAAAAAACTACAGACGTACGGGGGACTACGTTTTCGAACGAATCCGTACGGGCACAAGACCCACACAGCTGCCTCTCGCGCATTGTCGATATCTGTTTGTGATGACAATGATGATGAGTCGCCAATGCGGATCAACGTGATGAACACACACGAGAAATACAAAGATATGACTTACTAATTTCGCTCTCACACTCTCTACACATCCAGGGATGAGATGCGTCCATTCTAGGGCGCCCCGCGTGGGTGTTAAGCCGGTGAGAATACATCTTTTGCCGTTGTGATGAGATTCAAGCGCGTCTGCAAGTGGAATGTCAAGGTCTGAGTTGATGAGTCGGTTGGCAAGCTCTGCCTCCATGCTCGTCCAGGCCGACATGAGGAACGAAAGCGCCCAATGGCGAAGCGTGAAGGAGACGAGGAAATCAGAGTGACATCTTCCGGGAGGTACTTAATACGTAGTAGTTGATCAAAGAGATGGGTTTGGATACGTTTGCTGAGGCTATTGCACTCGCGGGTGTGAAAAGTCCGGTTGGATCCGAGTCGCTTCTCCTGTACTTGACGTTCCAGAAGTGGAAACCCCGCTGGCCATTCCTGTTCACCTAGATACGCTTGTGTACATGATATGATTTTTCTCGTACTCTACTATCACTCTATGTAAAATTGTGCTACCAAAGTCTCGCGATTGAGCCATGAAAGGTGCGGATTAAAAACAATGTGTATCACAGCCGCACCGTGAAGTTTTCACGGCGTGAACTTAGGTGGTATAAAAGTTTCAATCCACGGGAAGGAAATACGGGAAGTAACAATAAAGCAACAAGCGACCCGAGAGTGCTGAAATAGGGTGATTTTGAATAAAAAGCTGGCTCCGGATGCCCAGAGAGTCCAATCGCTCCAGGAGCTTCCAGACGCAACAGCGGGTGATGTGCCACCATCCAGAACATAGGCCGCGGTGCAAGTCATAAAACGATATAACAGGACCAACTTTGAAGGAAGGGCGAAGGATTTATCTTCCCTTCAAAACTAGGTTTTCTCAGGAGATGAGCGCTTGCTGGAACCGGTATTCATACTCTACACACTCCATCGACCAAAGACGAGGCATCTGTCCGCATTGCAATGCACCGTCAGTGCTCTTCCACTGCATGTAGGTGCAGACGAGGTCAGGACAGACACGCACCGCATGACCTCTTCCCCAAGCCTCTGTAACATCCTCCTTGCTCAAGGCAAGCATGTTCTTCTTCGTCAACGCGGTCACGAGCTGATCGTCGGATGGGTCCTGCTGAAGAAGATTCGAGATGTAGACTCGAGCCCTGAATTCTCGAGAGGCATGCGTGGCGAAGTGAGTTGACCACTCTTCATGAACCTGGAAAACGCAGAGTCAAAATAGGGAGATGTGGATAAAGGGAGATATCGAGGCTCTATCTGTGCTCATCGAGCAGAACAAACAAGGAGGACAATACTAACCTTCTCGCACTGCCGCTCCCAATCTCTTAGACCCAATTCATTATCCCCGTCGACCTCCGCGAATTGGTACGTCCCGATATACTGTACTTTTTCGACCAAAGGTTCGTCACGCGTTCTCCGCGCTGGTGAACCGAACAAAATCCTGCGTGACCTCACGCATAACGCATGGTGAGCGAACAGTGACCTCGGCAGGCGCTTGCGCAAAATGATCATTTTTGCAAGCGCCTACGTTGTTTTCTGAACTATTTACGGGTCCCGTCACGCTCACGCACGGTTTCTGAACCGTGACCGGGGCGAAACTGATGGGTGACGTACATTTCTGATGAACCTTTGGTCGAAAAAGTACAGTACAACAATCCAACGCCATTCACTTGCAGCATCACCCGCTTCCTTCCCGCCGTTATCCCTTCGACATGTAATCCATTATGCCTCTCAAGAACCAAGTCGCCCAAAACAAATCCGGGTTCGCCAGGAAACATAGGTACATTTGGCTGGTTCTGCTTCTCGACGATCAAAATATCGATGTTTGCGTTCTCGGTGTCCGGAACGAGGCGAATAACATTGTTGACCTGTTGTATTCGCGTATGATCTACGAAACGGGATACGGCGTCGGCGTCGATTATAGTTTCGTCTAGGCAGAACGTAGGAAGATGATGGAATTCCTTTAACTTGGTGATGACCTGACGATCAAGAGAAGGAAGACCGCCGGAGGTTTTACCCTGGAGAAGATGATTCGATAGATAAGTGAAAGTGACAAGCATTCGTGGACTTTTGATAGGAAGAGCGAGGGAAGACTCGTATGTTAATACATTCTACTTACGAAAGTGATACCTGTGACTCGCGAGCGAACCAAATTGTCGAATATCACAGGTTCTACAAGTTCCTGGTCGCAAAAGGAAACATGATTTAATCGAGATGAATAGCATTCGTGAGAGGAATGGGATGGGAGGTGCCTACTAAGTCCGGAGCTGTACGCAAGGTACGAGTCTTCTTACGCTTTGTCGCTGAGCCTTGCTCTATGTCTTGTACGATATTACCCGCCCTTAAAACATCAGAACCTCGTTTCTGACCCGTCAGAGGATCCGACGAAGATGATATACCCGTGTTAGCGGTAAATGCTGACACGCGGGTGGGAGGCTTCACATTGGGCGATCCGAGCGTGTTTGAAAAGGGAGAGAAAGTCAAATGAGGCGGGATATGCCACGGCTTTAGCACAAGGAGTGAAGCTAGCAGAGGAAAAGAAGACTGACTTGGAGATTCTCCTCCTCGTCGAGAATACCCTCGACCTCATTCTCCGAATCCACGGGGTCGAGGGTCGTAGTCTTGGGTCGCTTCAAGCTCTGTTGCAATGCGCGATTCTCCTCTCGTAGCTCCTCTACCTCTGATTCTAGATCTCTCTTGTCCTCCAACATTCCTTTCCGCATCGAAGCTAACTCCTTCCATTCTCCGGCCTTCCCTTTCCATAAAGTGACTTTTTCGTCCAATCGCTCTGCCCGCTTTCTTAACTGTTCGAAACTGAGACAAACCTTCATGTACTTTCTCATCATCCTCTCTGAGCTCGCCACCCTCCACGCTCTCTTGTTTTCACCTCGAAGACGCTTGATCTCCGCGACGAGGTTAGCGATGTTCTCCGGGGCAGCGCCGCCCGCAAAGCCGTTCAAGTCGACATTTTGTTGCGTGCCCGTGGATCCGCCAGGCATATCTGGTGTCGTCTGAATGAACCAATCGAACGATATCGCCCAGAATAATGGAAAATGGCCAGTATATACGGGCGTGCAAGGGAGCAGACAATAGCAGATGAAATGCAAGGAGGCAAGGGAGGGTGCCGCCGTAGAAGAGTTTCAGAGTCCGCCGGCGGGAGCGTCAGTGTGGCGTAAGCCCCTGTGGCGCAAAATGACCGACGAACGTCACGTGAAGTGGCGTTTCGACAGTTTTCAGCGATTTATCTCGTTTAAACGATGTTTCGCGGAAATCCAGGAAGACAGTCCTCTGGGTAACCCAGTCACCCATTATACTGTGTAGTCAAAACCAAAGAAAACGACGAATTGCGAGTGCCATTAACTGCAGACCGTCGAGAGCGACGGTGGCGCCGCGGATCGGATCTTCTGGGCATTGCAAGTTTAATGGCACTCGCAAATTTCGTATTTTCGTGAATTTCTTTGCACAGAGACATTACATTCAGGCATATGCGTCGGACTGTCTTCCTGGATTTTTGATTTAGGGCTTTTTGCGTGAGCTATTCGTCGAGGACTGCAAAATCGCCACTTCACGTGACGTTCGTCGGTCCCTGATGGCCTCTGTCTTACTTGCTGTCCACGTATTTCGTTTCCGATATCCATATGAATATAATTCCTTTGACAAACACTTAAATTTCGGTTTATGACGTGGTGAGAATCTCGATTGCTTACTATTCTTTGTACAAAGCTTCGAGCGGGCACTACATACAGGGTCAACCGTAGTCTATGACCGACCATCAACATCATGTCGACCCGAAAGACAGAAGTAACCGGTCTATTTCAACCGTATAACGGGGGACATCAATTCGCTCTCATAGTTCTGCGGGCAACATCCCTCGAACTACTACCGTCGTGTTCTTCGTCCGAATCAGATGCAGTGTCCAACCCGCGCATCAATATCCCCTTCCACCCGCTGCCACTCCCACCTCGAGAGCATACGGCCAGGACGAGGATCAGAATAAGGACAACGGTCAGTGTGATCCTATGGAGCGCGATTGGAGCAACCAGGAAGTTAGCAACAGAAAGAGTACGACGAGCGAAACACAAGAATAGACGTACCATTCAATCCAAGCGAACGCCTCTAAGGCCTTCACCCTCCTGCATGCTCCGTCGAAGTTTCCATCTCCGTCATCATCGTCGTCGTCGTCGTCGTCTTCCCAACTACACCACACAGCGCCGCAGCGTCAATCATCGCCAACCATTCGCCCTCTCTAACCAAGTAATAAGTCATAATACGCACCTACATCGGAGCCGCCCACCAGCCAAGACCGCCGTAACGCTTCCTGCAGCCGCTATCCAAAATATCCAAGCAAGCAGCCAAACGAGTCCATATACCAGGACGTTCTTCAATATCCTTGCGACCTTGAACATCCAGCTCGACGACTTGGAAGTTACGCCACCGCCACCTCTCTCACCTCTCCTTCCCACTCCACTCTCAGCCAGGCCACCGAGCTCTTGCTCGTTGGTTCTCGTTAGTTCGTGGCCGGCTTCATCATCCCTCGGTAGGCCCGTGCTCGAATAATAATCCGGTGGCGCCCCGGACCCTTCGTGCGCTTCGTTGCCTCCTGCGTGTCTAAACTCCTTCCCATGCGTCAAAGGTACCTGCGAGCTCCTCTCCCGTTCCCTAGGTCCATCCATAATCCCTCTACCGTGCTTCCCTATCCCTGACGAGCGACGATTTTGTCTCCTGATAGTGACCCAGAGGAAAAGGATGGCAAATAGAATGGTATATGTGCAGCAAAATACGATTAACCTGGTTGCAGGTCGTAACGCGCGGAAAGATTTGAGGCCGCGATGGTGGCGGGAGTCTCCGTCGTCATCGTCATCGTCGTCATCGTCGTCGTCCCCATCGTCGTCGTCGTCCCCATCATCGCCGTCGTCGTTGTCGTTTCCCCAATCGTTATGTGCACTGAAGCCGGATGAGAGGAGGGAGGACGCGAGGCCGAGCTATAAGGTTCGATGGATACGATATGATAAGTAGTACGCACTTCAGAAAACGGAGCGTTATGGACGGCAAGACCACTTACCTCGACGATAGCGAACACGATCGATAGGACGAGGAGCACTGGAACACCATCAAATGCGTTGATGAGCATCCCATGATGCCGAGTAGGAGGAAAGGGAGCGCGAACATCAACTTACCAATTAGCGCTTTGCGAGCATGTCTACGAAAGCGGCTCGTCCTCGAATTACCGCTGTTGCCAAACATAGTCGACGCTGACTATATGCCCTCGAAGTAGGGCCAGAGAGGCGTCCGCCGCCGACAAGAGCTGGTGAGAGAAGTAAACCGAAGGGAAGATGTTCGCTGAGGGAACCATCGTCGATAAAAGAGACTGTCAAAGGAGCACGGAAGACGGAGTAAACACAGCCTCGACCGGGCGTAGACAGCGTTTGAAGCCTGCACTCCACTTGGCATACACAGACTTACACCTGTCACCGTAGACAGAACAATGGTATCGTCTATACTTAGTCACTAGGTTTTCTTTGTGGGTGATCTAAGAGCTGGGAATTGACGGGGCGATGCAGCGTACAGTCAACCGGGTTGGCAGCTGTTGGCAGTTTCGAGATACAAGGGGACAGGTGTTCTCAGACATGCAGAGGTGTGGGAATGAGCCAAGCGGATCCACAAAACGAAAAGTTGTCGAAGGTGGCGACTATGGCCTAGTTGTGAACTATTCGTGAGCAGCAGTTGACAAGTATATACGACCGACAGCTCAGTTGATATCCTTCAACCTACAACGATGTGAAGCGATATCAGACACAAGGCGTGGACAGAAGGGTAAAGCTCCATCGTACTCACCTATACGCCACATTCCAAGCTCAGCAGCACGAATGGAAGCCTCAGCTACAGTCAAACTTCTCGACATCCCCACCTCCATTCGTCAATCCAATCACATGGTATCTTGACAGCCCGATATCCAAACGCGTCCGACAATTCATACACGAAACAAAGTGAGACTGTAGCTTCGACGCTCTGAGTACTCTAGGCTCCAATTCGAGAGCCAGATCAAGATCACTAAGACACAGAACACCGTGACGATGCGAGGATGTTGAGTTCGAAAAAGTCTGTGCCGATGATCATAGTAGGTTCCCCGCTATGTTACCGGGAATGAATAAACATGTCGAGGAAAATATATATGTCAAGGCCACAGCCGCTCGGAAGCGACGTTCTACAGCAACAGGACCATACCACGTCCAATATCTGCATGTCCGGCCGAATGATTTCTGTCAGCTTTCAAAATGCCGAGCAATTCGCAGACGGGCACTCACATAACCTCCTGCCAGGGTATACGTTCCTCTGTGAACCCTAATCTGTGTCCAGCTCCTCAGCATGGCCACTCGTGCTCATACCATGACAAATGTGGCGTAAGGAGGGCACGTTAAATCCTGCGCCGCTATTCGACCTCGCATGCATGACGAACAGGAGGATGAAGGCCGCGAGGATACAGACCATGGCTCGTTTGCGCTATCGAGTGAGTAGTCGGTCAGCGACACCGCCCCAATGCATGTGGAAGGGTAAAGGGCAAACATACCATGTCCACACTTACGATCCTGCTCCTAGCCTCATCGATCCATTCCTTGGCTTTGAAGAGCTTCGCTCCCTCAGCACCTTTCTCCTCTATCTTCTTGATCTCTTCCTCCGTTAGATCGGCTACATCACGAATACGAACACCATCGACGCCACCGCCACACAACCGACAGTCAGCCCTCTTGTTTACATGGATCTCCCTGGCCGATGGTGCTGAACTCACGAAGACTCTCGACTGCAAGATACTCCTCGAGCCTCTCCTTCTTCCCGCTCGTCGTGACGATCACCGCACCCTTGCTCTGCACCCACTTGAAGATGACCTGAGCGGGCGTCGCTTGGACTTTCTCGTCTGTGGACAAACGCTTTGCGATCGTGGAGAGAAGGGGACTGAGAGGGCCGTTGGGGAAAGTCGTGATTGGACTGCGAGGGTTATAGTGAGGGGGTTTGGTAAGTTTATGGGAAATGGAGGGTCGAAGAGAGAGAAAACGTACGCCAGAGATCCGTACGCCTCTGTCACAATACCATACTGCGCTGAATACTCCAGCAGCTCGGCGTATTCTGCGAAGTTATATGGGTGGAAGCGGATCTGAGCGTACACACATGCCACAAGTTTGCAGTAAACGAGGGGAAAGGGTAAGTACGTCGAAAGTACAGAAGTGTGGAGGATACGCAGGGAAGCATGCAGGAACGAACCTGGTTTACTACGGGGATCACCTTTGCAACCTTGACGACCCGTTTCAAGTCGGCAACTTTGAAGTTGCTGACGCCGATGCTCCTGCAGAAAACGCATCAATATTGTCATCAGCCTTTTCTTCTTTGACGACAGAAAGCGGTATCTGTTGAACAAAAGGAGGAAGGAATTGCAAAGCATATCGAGGAAAAGGGTGGGGAGACGGAACAGAAGTAGTGCTAGAACCCTAGAAGAAAGAAACGCACTTGGCCAAGCCCTCATCCCGCACCGCCTCCATCTGCGCCCAAGCACCCTCCAAGTCCCCATCCGCGATGACCCCAGGGAAGTGGATGAGGTAGAGGTCTACGGATTTGATGCCAATCTACGCGTTGGAGTTGTTGAGAGTCAAAATGAACACGTTCGAATGGCCAAGGTAAATATAGTTTTTTCAGGGTCGACGTGGATGGTTGTTTCACGGCATGTGGTTCCTGGGAATGTCGAAAACGAGAAAGCGTACCTTGGACAAGCTACTCAGAAGGGCATCCCTGATGATACCTCCGTCGAACTTTGTCGTGATGTAGAGATCGCTGCGCTGCAGGCCGCTCTCACGGATGGCTGTCCCAACGGAGTCTTCATTCTTGTATACTGAGGTCCATTAGTTGGCAGGTGTAGAGGACGGGCGACGTATGGCGGAATTGAATTGAATGGACAGTGTGAGTTGAAATGGACGAGTAACGATTACGGTCAGTATGAGAAGGATGTCACCGAGTCGGCAAGAGCGGGCGAAGGCAAGCTGAACTCACTAGCTGCGGTATCGATGTGAGAGAAACCAGCTTCGAGAGCTTGGTCAATATATGTCACGACATCCTATCAGGGCCCAATGCATGTCTTTAATTTCTCGTTCGCACATAGCGGATGGCAGTGGGTACCTGTCCTTTCCATACACTCCCAGTCCCGAACGCAATAGACGGGATCTGAACGCATACATCCACCCTGCCAGTCAGAGATAAGGGGAAACCCGCCACCAAAGATTGTACGCACCTTAGCACCGTCGTTCAGCGTGATATTTGAGAATGTCATGTTCTACTATTCGAAAGACAACAGCCTGGGTGATGGTTGGGAGGAAGTCGATCGAGTGGACGGTGGAGAAGAAAGTCGGATAGGGCGTGAGTCAGCGTGGCCGGGCTGCATGCATCGGGCGGGTTTAAAGCAATAGACCATGTATAGCACGGACGGCTCTCCGCCCTGCTCCTTATCAAAATATACCTTCGGCTGATAGCTTGACCATTTTTGCGACAATTATCGTGAACATTTCCTGAGAGTCGAAGACGCCATGAATCGAGACGACGAAAGACGCGAACGATGGCGCTTTTGGCGCGAGCAACGACGCTGCTTCAAAATAGGCGCCCACAATAAGACCGACGCGTCTTTTGCCGGGAACTTGGCGCTCGTGGGGTGGACTGCACGCTCTCAGTGACGTCACCTTTGTTCGTCTTTCTCTTCTCTCGTACGACTACGACGACGCCCACGAGAACTCTGTTCGCACCTCCGACTTTGGACGCTCGTCAACGACCACCTCACGCAAAATTACATGGCGTACGATAATCATGTTCGAAGGGGCCACACTGGTACGTATAACCCGTATAAGGCACTTGAATTGGTTGAACTAATTGCAACACGCATTCCCAATAGCCATCTTCACCCTTCTCCTTGTCTTCGCCATCATTGAGGTTCCGTATCCCTTTCAGAATGAAGCATTCACAACCACATACTAACTCAATCTTGTCTTATAGCTCGCGATCTCAGCCTGGTTGACTTCCCGCTTCAACGCACACCACGACTTCCCATCTCTCGCCATCCGCGACCGAACGCGCTATGTTCTCTTCTGCTGCGCCTTCACCATATTTTTCGGCTTTCTATTCGAACTCCTCTTCCTTCATTCGGCCTCAAGCGGCAGCGTTATGACCAGTGTAGCCAGCCATTTCGGGGTATGGCTTCTTGCGTGGATATTGTGGACGGCAGCGGCGGCGAGCGTGACCGCGGGTTTAGGCGGAGGGTTGAATTGCAGGTGCGCACAATTTTATATTTTTCTTAGCCCAAGTGTGCTGCTAATGCAGTGATAACGCGATTTTGTTCCAGTGGGGCACATATCGTATATTGTGGTCAATTGAATGCGCTCGAAGCGTTCGCTTGGGTTGAGTGGTATGTCCCTGATCTACTTCACCCTTCTCCCGTTCTATTCAACATTCAACCTTCGCTTGATTTTCAGGATTCTCGTCACTATCATTGTTGTCGCGGTGCTTGTCCTCGGTATCGGCTCATTACGTCGTGGCGACGGCTACCGCGGCCAACTCGTCACCGTTTAATGATGCCCTGCTTTTCATATACCAGTCCTTTCACGACTCACTTTTCTTCGGTTCTATGACCTACTTTTTCCCGGTGTCAGCTAATCCCTGACATAAAAATGGATGTTCTTCAGCATGTCCGTTCACATCTAGTCTGTTTTTTGTCTCTTTGGGTTTAGTCCGGTTCTTTGTCGTGATGCTTTCCGTGTTGTCATTGGTTGGGATATCTACGTACCCAGTACTTGCTTACCTTCAGGCTTTATACATTTGCTCCCTTGTCCTCGATAGTGTGTGTAATCTATCCCAGTGATGTTCTCTTGGTCAAATGCTGCCCAAGCCAAGGGTTCAATCCTGCTCCTATGACCCCTTGCCCACCTTATTCACAAATCCTAACTTGCCATTGTCATGAAAGTAATTCCTACCTCATCAATATACGAAACACACAAGGTGGAGTGGAAATGGTGCTACATCATGCTTGGGCTATGGCAGATACATTGGCCTGTAATAAGATCTCTAGAACTGACTCAGGGGAAGGTTTGTATGGATTCACCCATTCTTCTTACCCTCTGCCACATTCTACACTTTGGAATTGATGTCTGCAACATCTTGCCTGGATTTAATCTTCATCTATCCAAAATGATGTACTTATCCTTATAAGAAAGCCTCAAAGAGGGAGTGACTGAGAGAAAATGTTTTTAAATTGTGAAGTTCATCTATTGAGTGAAGAAATGAACAACAATCTTGGTAGACTACCACACTCTGGATACCCTGATATGGATTATGGTTATGGAATCCACACTTCCTCTCCACAGATTCTGGGGACATAATATACAATACAATATATTAGATGTCATCTGCCTGTTGAGTCTTTTTATGTGCAAGCTGGAAGTCCTCAAGAGCCTCAACACTACCGACGGTACGGGGATGCTCATCTCCAAGAACTTGTTTCCTTCCCTCCACTACCCTAGCCATCAATTCCACTGCCTCTTCCCATCTTGTCTGCTTTGAATAAGTATATGCCAGATTATGCATGCTAGCAAGTGTGTGTGGATGCTCTGGTCCAAGCACCCGCTTCCTGATCTCCAGCACCTCTTTGTGCAACTTCTCAGCCTCATTCAACTGCCCCAGATCTAAGTATGTTAATGCCAGGTTATTCATGCTGCTAAGTATGGCTGGATGCTCTGGTCCAAGCACCCGCTTCCTGATCTCCAGCACCTCCTTCTCCAACTTCTCAGCCTCAGTCAACTGGCCCCGATTCCAGTATGATGAAGCTAGACCACTTATTCTTGTCAGAGTAGCTTTATTCTCTTTTCCCTTTACCATCATAAAATAATCAAGAACCACTTTTCGTAGCCTTTCTGCCATGATCCAGCTACCAGCTTCTGAATAAACAGACTCCAATCGATCAGCAATATTTGGAACCAAATTCGATTGTGAATTGTCTATAGATATTGCATCATCGACATGCGGCAAAAGGCTCCTTTGAAAGGAGAGATCCTGAGCAGACTCATTCCAAGTAATAAGCATTGACAGTAATGCCTGTACAGACACTCGAGTCATCCCTGTATGATCTATAGTTTGACACCATTCTTGGACAAGTGGATGAATCGAGTAGGCCTTATTCTTGATGTCAAAATGAACAAGGGAGTATGATATAAGGTCATGAGCAGTTTCACGGAACTTTGTCTCATTCCAAGAGTGATCCTCATTTTGGAAATGAGAGAGGAAAGTTTGTGCAAGAGCAAATGCGGCAGATTCAGTTTCTGTGAATGGGGCCTCTGGCTCATATTCCTGACTTCTGATGGTAGCAAGTTCAAAATATTCAAAGAGAATGTTCTCGTGATGCAAGAAGGAGCAGACATGCAAAAGACTCTGAGAGAGTTCGCTGAGACGGTCATAGCTGATGCGCCAAGTTGTATAGACAGTCGCACTATAGGTATCGGTACGCTGGGCAACGTCTCTTCAAGAGCTTGGCTGTGGCTATCTCGGAAGAGTCGCATGTAGTCCAAAATGGTGAGCTGCATAGTTGCTATGTAAGCACCAGCTTGAATGAGAGCAAGCGCAAAGTAACCAAGTTCCTGAAACAGGATGAGCATACATTGTTCAACATGTGAAGCGGGAATACAAGACATACCTGAGCAAGCTGTGTGGCGTGCGCCTTTGAATCAAGATCAGACAGCGGTACATTAGCTGCCTTGAGAAGCAGCTCAACAGAGTCTTCAGGTTGCATATCGGAGACACGGAAGCAAGACTCGGCACCGGACGTAGCATGTCTGATCATGTCGTAGTTACGAGTCGTGATCAGAATATTCCCGTGTGCGCATGGTGGGAAGTAGTCGTGAAGATTCAAAGCAGGATCATCTGCATTGTCAAGGATCATGAGCCATCGCACACGCTTCTCAGCGAGCCAGCGAAGCGCGGATTGTGCATCGGTACCACGGCCTTTAGCCTTAGCGATCAGCGAGAGGTCGGCGGAGAGTGTGTCAATGGAAGTAGCATCTATAAAAAAGACTTCGGAAAAACTGAATGCGAAAAAAGTCAATGCATGCATAATGGTACCAAGAGGATTCGACTTACTTGTTAGTAGGGTCATCCAAGATGTTATCCACAAATTGACAGGCAATCTGTGTTTTTCCAGCGCCCCCTAGGCCATGAAGAACAAAGGTGTGACGCTTTGATACCGTCTCAAAGAAGAACCTTCGCATCTGAGCGAGTACATCGACCCGGCCCGTGAACAACGCAGTGGGCGGGGGGCATTGCTTCGGTTGTGGAGGAGACTCGCCCGATAGTGGTACTGCTGAAGCAAAGAGCATCGTTAGCATAGCATCGTTCTCGTCTACCTTCAAAATCAGATCGCACATACCGCCCTTATGCATGTCTTCACGTATTTTTGATGTATCCCGCAGAATCATCGCTACTACTGCCAGCTTCTCCCGATCAAGTATATTTTTCTGTATCTCCTTGTTCTGGCCCATCAACGATTTCCAGTACATGCCTACGCCTTAATGAGTTGTCGACCGTCCGACAACAGTACGAATGGTGACGTACCGAGGCGCCCTTTACGTGCTATACCCGAGATCGTAAGAAGCTGGGCAAGCGCATCGACAATGATCTTGCGCAGAGGCAGAGTGATCTCGTGTTCGAGGTGGATCTTGAAGCGATCCAGTGTATCATACAAAATACGGAGTATATCGACGATCAAGTCATAGCTCTTGCTGACCTCTTTCGCGGCCTTCACTAAAATCAGTCTCTGCTTCGAACTCGATGGTCGGATCATGCACCTGTAGCAGAAGACCCACTGCAGCAAAGACTATCTTCGTCATAGAGTCGTACTACAGGCCAGACTATGAGCGATGACGCACGACTTGTGGAACAGATGCGATGGACGTACCGGTGCCGGAGCCAGGCCAGCGCCTGCGTCTGCTTTCTCTGCAAAGATCTTCACGACGTCGAAGAACGGCTTTGCTACTCCCAGTATTCCATCCTTACGCTTCCTGAATTGCTTGAACGTCATCATACTATTTTCCACCATGACGAGTGCCTCATCAGGGCTGAGGGCACACTCGTTTGGTGAGGGAAGATTGATGCCAGAGCGCTCGGTATACTGTACTAGAGCATCACGCCAGATATCGCGAAATTGTGCGTTATCGACGTCATCGGACATAGCAAGCGTGCGCGACTGAAGTTTGTATGTGTAGAGTCGATGTGCGAGATGATGGGGGACGAAAGGCAAGGGCGAAGGGCGTCGTTCGTCCTGGGAGAGCCATCCTGCTAGCAGGATCACACGAGGACAGCCTCGATAAGCGCTGCACCGAGTATAGAACAGCTTTGCAGCAGAGAAATACGCACGCGGACTTATTCATAACACGTCTTTTGAGCCGCAAATGGTGTCTTTATGAACTTTTGCTGAATGCTGGCCATGGCATAGAGATTTGGCGAGTGGAAACTCTCGCAAAGAGGCTAGCAAGCGCTAACACATGTCTACAATGCGTAGCCAGACAACGCGTACAATAGTGCTCAACAGCCAAGGACTTCGTCGATCGATCAGCTAGATCTCTCCTTGGACACTCTTCCTCGGTGGGCTGTGCATTTGGATAAGAATATGTATCCGTCAATGGAAGACTACCTCACGATTGAGACGTGTACAGCAAGCGTATGGACAGCACCTCCCTAGTTCGCTTTTCGAACGAGACAGGTGAACCAGACATTGCAAGTTTCCCTCGCGAAGATGAGGGTGCCCTATAAAGACTGTCGACGAGGAAATTCCCTGCTGACCATCGAGACCAAAGACATAATCAATTCCCACACAAATGGAAATACGAACATACCAACGATCCACGGAGTCGTATCAGTGGTAGACCTGATAAACAAAATCATGTATTCACCATGCTTGAGTAGCGCATGAGCCGTGCACGAAACTATAAGCAATGTAGACATTAGCGCAGTCTTATCACAAACAAGACACCAGGAAAACACCGTCGCAAGGTCTGTCCATATGGATAACTGTAGAACCACCGTTCGAGTAAGTCAAAGGCGCACAATATTTCAACCTTACCGTACCTCTCTGCAGACTCCTTTGTTCTCCGACTTCAAACCACACCGACATGTCGTTCAGCGTCTAATCCGCTCGCCACGCACGCATCCTCATCTAACCCTCCCATTATCGACGACTCCAGGTTCATGATAGTGTCGGACGAGTAGGCAGAACGAGGCCATCCGGTGACGACTATGTCAAGGTTGCAGGCAACGTCCCTGCTGAGCGTCAACAAATCCTGTCCAGAGAGTAGATACAGACGAGTGACGGTCGAAGAGCGAAGGATAGTGTGAATACAAAGAATGAACGCACCACGTTCGAATCGAAATAGCTCATTCAATGGTCTCGAGTCGGAAGCACTCCAACACGTCCGACGATCCACCCAGCCGATTTTCTTCGGTCTTTCGTAGCGCCAGAACCATTGCTCAGCTTTGCAATGGTGATGGCCCGACACGTATACCGCCCTCGCCTTTCGCTACCCTCTACCAGTCCCCGATCTGTGTCTCGTCTCGCCACCTGAACCACGATGTCCGCTCCTGTACTCCGTCCCAAGCGTCCAAGAGCTCCCCCCTCCCTACTGATAGCCCACCCTGAGTTTGACGTTGCAACACCAGACTACTTCCCACTCATCCTATGGCCACCGATACACATCCTAAACCTTTTTCAATTCCACCTACATCCTCCCACACCTTACTCATCATATCGTTGCCCATATCGCGCACCACCTCACTCCTCGCCAGGCCTTCTCGTCAAACGGCTCGACTATCGACGTCTCATCCTCCATCTTGCCCCCTCGCCACATATAGGACTGATAGCCTGTTTTCCGCGTCCGCTTTCTTCTAAGAGACAGACATGTGGTGGGGCGATGGGTGATCGGGAGGGAGGGAGGGGGGTCGATGGTGATCGTGTGTGATCGTGTGTGAGCGTCGCCGAGATCGATTTGGGGATGAGGTCGGTATGATGGTACTGAGACTGAAAGGGTGGTTTGAGAATTCGCTGGACGAGGGAGTGGATCGGTCGGGGAACTCCATTGCGGCGATGGGTGCTGTTAGATATGACACGATACTAGCGATTTTCCTGTTGACGATCCATTCAGCTTTGCGGCATAGTCGTGTGTACTTAGAGGATGGCCGGTCGATGAATGAACATGTAAGTTGAACTCACTGGTAAGTATGTTCGCGCTCTCCTCCTCTTTGAATCTTCCGCCGAACACCTCTCCGAATCGTTACCAGACAACGTCCCCCTCCACCCATCTGATCACACTTCGTTCGAATCAAGAGCTCATCCCTGAGGCCCGGCCCTTGGTATCATCCGCGAATTCCGCCAAGCTCAGCTCCTTCCGTGCCCGAAGTGTTTGTTCGCTGAGTTTCGCGTCCCAGACACCGAGCTGACCATGGAGAGGAGAAACAGGTCCAGTAGTTTGAAGAGAACGGCAGAACGGTCGTATGTAGCCCGTAGGAATAATTACTTGTCCTGATGGAGTCATTCGTGTCGGGAAATGAGAATTGTACCAGTCTACACGAGAACGACGAAGCAGAAGAGAAGAATGCCAGGGAGGGGCGACGCCTCTTTGTCGAAGGAAACAAGGAGAGAACTACAATCGCTCAGAAGATAGACTACCTCACGCTAACACGGACGGTTGATATATCAGAATACAGGCCCGCATTGTTGTCTGTGAGAGTGCAAGTGTGATAGCAGCGTAACGAGAGACTGAGTGGAACGTCGAACTTCGATGAAGAGAACAAATGCTTCGGCCTGCCACTACAAATCTAATTTTAGCAAGACTACGCCATCGGGTCGGTCCTTGTGGCGCATCCAAGAAACTGTGGCCCAGCCATCCCAACATTACTTACACGATGTGTCCAGGTGAAAGCCGTCAAAACAGATGTGCACATACAACACAATATTGTGGGTTGTAATAAGTAGGGCTGTAAATACCATGCATGACACAACCGCACACATTACGACTCAGAACGAAGACGACCTGAGTGAATGCAACCTCTGAATACGTTGACTGAGCGCATAACAAGATTAATTTACAGACACATAACAGCATTCTCCACCGTAGTAGACATCAAACATAGGAATCGAAAAGAGATTGAACGAGATATACTTCGGCAACTATCAAGCTTCAGACCGTGCTATTATTCACCAGTCGGCCTCTGTACCCATCTCCACGACGAATGGCGCGGACGCCGAGGATGGTGATGATGACGAGGGCGAAAGTCATTAGGATCCTGTTTTGTTGGGATGGAGTGGAGCGTTGGATGGTGTGAGTGGGGACGGTGAAGGTAGGAAGTTCGTGTAAGTAGGTAGACTCAGAAGGAATGAAGCGAGGACAGAAAACGCACCACTCGATCCAAGCGAATGCCTCGAGCGCATTCAGAGTATTGCAAAGGTCATCGCCGTCGAACCTAAACGTACAGGATCACAAAGTCAGCACTACATTCCGCCACCGACCCCAACCCATCGTGAACTCGTCATCGCAGCAACACACCGCCACTGCGCCATCAAGACTACGCGAACACTCCGCCTCCGACACTCCCAACACTCCCAACACTCCAGAGCGCAGGATCCCCAAGGAGCATAGCAACACAGATACAGAGCCAAAACGAAATCACTCACCCACACTCCAAACCCCCACCAAGCACATCCGTCACACTCGCCGCCGCCGCCAACCAGAAAATCCACCCCACACCCCACACCGCCCAATACCCCGCCACACTAACCACAACACCCGGCGCGCTAAAGAACGACGAAGCGAGGAATAGGGCGCCGAAGACGATGGCGTAGATGGAGCAGAATAGCGTGAAGGAGGTGCGGGAGTAGAGGGAGTCGTGGAATATGCGGTGGGAGTTGTAGGTTGAGAGGACGGAGGCGGAGATCCCGAGTTCGATTATGGCGATGATTATGATGATGGCGAAGAGGACTGGGGAGTAGCAATGAATTTGTGAGCTTTCGGCGGTGCTTGTAAGAGAAAGAAGAGAGACGCACTCGGATGTCCCCTACGGACGTGATTGTCGTACATGGTCGTCGTCGTTCAAGAAAAGTCGTTCAAGTGAATTAGAAGTCGTTCAAGTAGATGCTTTCGATACGTCAGTGGTGAATAGGTTATAAAGCGTCGTCAGATCGAGTCAACACAGCGCCAGAGCAGAACGTCGTCGAGTTGTCGAGTCAGCGTAACACAAGAGGAAGAGGAAACAGAAAAAGCAACAAGTGGAGCACGTCGTCATACGCCCACTTATAACAATGCAGGCAGGCAGGCACGAGGAAAGAGCGCGGAGACGGAACGAGGAAGTGTTGTTGCCAAGGCTGCACCGCCCAGATGCATAGCCTTTCGAGTACGTCCGTTTGGAGTATGTGTACTTGCAACTGCAGTAGTCAGGAAAGGCTGGGCAGGACGGGCAGGCTCGAAGGAGGAACAATGTATGCTGCGGATGTTGATGTTGATGTTGACCATGGTTTGTGTATGCCATCGAAGTGGGCGAGGGGTTATTGAGAAAAGTCAAAGAGGTTCGAATGTTATTCGAGACAAGACGGCTGAGATGCAGAACAACTGGAAATACAGTACTCGGAGGATTCGCGGGATGGTCGGGGAGAAGGATCAAAGGGTATCGATTCGCGCAGGACAACGAAATTTGGATTAGGGGCTCAGGTTACGCCAAACGTAGCTGTGGCCCACGACAAAGTCAAAAAAACCCATTCTATCGAAATCCTCTTACATTCTTTGTGTAAACTTCGGATGCATGACGATGGCTTGAAGTGGGAGGCCTAGGGGCGTTGTATGCGCTGTGCTGCGGACGTGTGTGGATGTGCTAGGAGCGGAATTGAGAAATGTTTGAAGAGGCTCGGATATTGGGCTACGGGGACGAGACGGCTGAGATGCAGAACGACAGGCAAGTACTTACCCAGGAAATTTGCGGGTCGGTCGGGGAGAAGATCAAGATGGATTCCAGGAGGACAACGAAAACCTTCGATTGATTAGGGGCTACGCCACACAGTGTGGCCCCATCCCGCCTGAGGGACAACGAACTCATTCTCAAAAACCTTTCCTTCAATTCTCAGCAGCCCTCGACATTCTCCATTCGTACAAAGTTAGTTTGACTTCCTCCACGTCCACTTTTTAGCGCCTCGTTATCTCTGTCAATGCCCTCGGAGGTGCTGATACAGCACCCCCGAAGGTGCTCACAAAATATCACCCTCGGCCACAGCTGCTTGCTCATACAGCTGCGATAGCCTCGATCTCGACCAAGGCGTCCCTCGGGAGCCTAGCGACCTCGACGGCGGAGCGCGCAGGCTTGTGTTCGCCAAAGGCAGATTCATAGATCTTGTTGACGGCGACGAAGTCGTTCATATCTTTCATGAAGACCTTTACATCCATCCAATCCAATATCAGAACCACGCCTTCCTCACGGACTAGAATAGAAGAGGTAGAAGTAGAACCAAACGGGGGAGGGACTGAAATTAGAGACGGAGGGCCGAACGCACCGTGACTTTGACGACCTTGCCTAACTCACTCCCGCTCCCCTCCACGACCGCCTTCAGGTTCTTCAAAGCCTGCGTCGCCTGCTCCTCGACGCCGCCGGGGACGAAGGCTGCAGTTTTGGGATCGAAGCCGAGGCAGCCGGAGATGAAGACGTAGGGTGGGGCGACGATGGCTTGGGAGTAGGGGCCAATGGCTGCTGGGGCGTCTGTACACCCGTCCGGAACGTGAGTCAAGTTGGGATGGACAGGGATGAAGAGATGGAGGAACGTACTCTCGATGGAGACTTTCTTGAGGGAGGAGTGAGTCTGGATGGACATCGTTCTAGTTCTGGCGATGGATGTTCGACGAGGGAGTGGTTTGAGGGATGTGAGACGGGTAGAAGAGATGAAGAGGGCTTTTGAAGAGAGACGGATGGGAAGACGGTGTGAGACGGAAGAGAGCATCCCTGCCAAAGTTTGTTTTGCTTTGCAAGGATGACGCGAACTCCTGCGAACTCGCCATGGCGAAATATTGCGCACGTGATCTTGAATTATAGTGGGCGCTAGTGGACGCGACGAGCTTGTTCGAAACCGTAAACGACGACGACGTGCTGGTAGGGACAGAGTGCTGCTAAGCTTCTAGGTGTGCTTGTCCCTGTGCGTTGATGTAGAGAAATAGCGTTCTGACGAACAGGTAGACGTCTAAGTACTCCCTTTGAGACCTCGGTGAGTTCTTCGATGCAGTACATGTCAGTCGTATGCACCCTCGACACCAATTGTTCCTTGTAATATAGAGTGAAAGACTTGACCACAGACTAACGAACATTATTTCTTTGCGACTGATCCTAGACATATACCCAAAATGACGACCGCTGCCCTTCTGCACCCGTCCGACCTTTCTCCTCTCCTCGAACTCCTCGACAGCCCTTCCACACCACCGATAGACGTCGAAGCAGCCCGCTACCTCTCCCATTTAACTACCCTCCCTTTGTCCACCCTCCTCTCCGAACCTCCCTCACTCTCCTCGACCTCCTCCCAACTCACAAACGCCCTAACAACCCTCTGCACCTCATCCTACCCCACCTTCCTCGCCCTGCACTCCTCCACCACCTCCCTCTCCACCTCCCTCTCCGCATTCTCCAACTCCCTCTCCTCCCTCCTCTCTACCCTTCCCTTGCTCGAATCCTCCTCCACCTCTTTCTCTGCCGAAAGTAAAACAGTCCAAGCAGAACGTAAAGCCTTCACACTCGTCCTGTCCCAATCACCAACCCTCCACTCCATCCTCGACATCCCCCTTCTCACCGATCTCTGCATCCACAACAACCTCTACAACGAAGCTCTCGACCTACACGCGCACGCATCCGCCCTCGCGCTCAAATATCCGGAGGTCGAGGTCGTTAGGGACGTAAAAGCCGAAGTGGACGGAGCGATTAGAGGCTTGGTGTGCAATCTGTTGGGGATGCTAAGCGAGCCGGGCGTGAAGCTCCCGGCGCTGTGGAAAGCTGTGGGGATATTGAAGCGGATGGACGTTTTGGGGGAGGAGGAGTTGGCTGTGGCGTTTTTGAGCGGGCGGGGGGCGTGTGTGGAGGGTGCGTTGAACGGCGTTCGTTCGGGCCTGGAGGGTGAGGAGGGGAAGGAAAAATGGGTGCGGTATATGAAGAAATATGTGGATGTGTGGAGGGAGGGTCTACATGATCTCATCACACAGTTCTCGACTATCTTCCTCTCTTCCCCTTCCACCTCCCCCTCCACACCCTCTCAATTCATCCAATCCCTCCTCCCCACATTCACATCCCACACCCTCAAAACGCACCTCCTCCCCACCCTCCATCTCTCCCTCCCCCATATCGCACACGACCCTTCCTCACTCACAGCACTCCTTAGCCAACTCAACTACTGCGCGGCTTCGTTTGCGCGGGTCGGCCTCGACTTCAGAAACCTGTTGGGCCCGATATTCGAGGATGCCGTGCGGGGCAACGTCGAGGCTGCGCTTAGGAGCGCGACGGAAAATTTCGTTGGGGTCGTCGAAAGTCACTCGCATAAATGGACGCAGGGAAGAAAACCAAAACCAAGCGACTGGTTACTCGCCCTCTCTCCTCTCGGCGTCCCTGTCCTTCCCCCATCCCCATCCCCACCTCCAAACCACGCCCAACCGAACGCAGCGCCTCACATCCCCCCACAAATCCTCGCCTCCTTTCCCCCGCTTGCGGTCTTCGTGAACAGTATCCTGACGACCTTCAACGCATTGCGATTATTAGCGCCGATTGGACTAGGGCCGGAATTGATAGAAGAGCTGGATCGGAGGTTGGCGAGAGGAGGACGGGCGTTATTGCGATACGTTCAAATCGTCCAGGAAGAGCTTCTGTTTCGGCGGAGTAGCGTTGAGAATGATGGAGATGGAGCCCCGCAAACGCATGAGGAAATGGAACCGGGGAACGACAGAGACAGAGAACGCTCAGTCCTGAGAAGAGTCGGCGAAGTCTGGCCCGGTGTCGTCGTTCCGTTCTTGAGGTGGGGATTGAGCGAGGGCGTATTTGGGGCTCCTACAATGATCGTGGCAGGACTCGGACATCAGAGTGGGGAGAGTGCGGAGCGTGGGATGCGAGAAGGATGGGCTCGGATGGGAGAGGGGTTGGAGGGGGTTATGCAGGAGTGGAGGGATTGGTTGGCGTCGCAGGGCGGGGAGGCTGGGAATGCAGAGGAGGGCAGTGTGGATGAGGGATGAGCGTGACCGTGTCACTTGGAGTCGTCCTAAAACCCGGGGATAGGGTGGACATCTGGATTGTATAGTATACAGTACGTCGTCGGACTCATTAATTCACTACAACCGTTTCCGAAAATGATGACTTTTTCGATTTCGACGCGCCGCTCAATTCCGAAAATCAAAAAATGGTCAGAAAACAGTGAAATCGGTAGCACACTTACAGTATATCGTAGCGCCCCGAGTGCATATTGAAAAGTGATGTCCGGGTCAGCGAGAAGCGTCTCAGAAAAAGAACGGAGTGAATATCGCTCGCCGTTACGAGTGAGCGAGGACTGCATGGATATGGCTTGCACACGATGCCGAACGTGAATTTTGCGTGAGTGAGACTAGGAATGGATCAAGAGAGCCCATTCAGATCAAAGCCAGTGTATCAAAGGCTATTTTGATGTACTTTTAGACCGGGAGAGGACGTCGTTGTCGTTCGCGACTGGGGACAATGGGCTGACGTGGCGCCACTTGAATTGGTGGCCCACACTCACGTCCAGTGGATTGACTGTACCATGGACAATTCGAGTTCTTGTTGCTTGTACATTATTTATATAACCTCCATACATGATGGCTGCGTCTATCTGATCTGTGAACCACATTGAAGTTGGTTGAACTCAACAATGGCAGCGAGTCATTGACAGCTTAGTCTTGTGAGGCAGACTTGAAGTCTCTACTGCACAATTTGAGCCATTCATATATTCACAGTGAAAGTCATATACATGTATGATAAGTACTGTAGCCAGACGGGACCGAGGTAGAGCGATTAGAGTCAATGCGTCAATGGTTGTGGGCCACACCGATTCCAGTGGCGCCACGTCAGCCCATTGTCCCCAGTCGCGAACGACAACGACGTCCTCTCCCGGTCTAAAAGTACATCAAAATAGCCTTTGATACACTGGCTTTGATCTGAATGGGCTCTCTTGATCCATTCCTAGTCCCACTCACGCAAAATTCACGTTCGGCATCGTGTGCAAGCCATATCCATGCAGTCCTCGCTCACTCGTAACGGCGAGCGATATTCACTCCGTTCTTTTTCTGAGACGCTTCTCGCTGACCCGGACATCACTTTTCAATATGCACTCGGGGCGCTACGATATACTGTAAGTGTGCTACCGATTTCACTGTTTTCTGACCATTTTTTGATTTTCGGAATTGAGCGGCGCGTCGAAATCGAAAAAGTCATCATTTTCGGAAACGGTTGTACTTACTTACACTTCTTCGAACGCGAATGTTGAGTCTTCCTACAAGATTGTTTCATTTACATACACGGACCTCACAAGCATGTAAGTATCTTACACTGCGCTTGCAATACTGTCCGTCCTGTGCCGCACTATCGCTGTTTTACAAGAAGCACGAGAAAATATACAGGGTATGTAACTTGTGGTCTCGTACCGTTAGCTTTGTTGACCGCCACAATTTAAAATGCCCTGACCTCTCTGGCCTTCATCTCTTGCGCGCTCCAACTTCAACGTAGCACACCAACTCGCTCTCAAGAATGCCCTAGCGATCTGATTCGATGCACACTTATCCGCGAGGCGATACTCGCACTCTTCTCCGGACCCAATGCCGAGAGGTTGAAGACTCTCGTAATAGTTTTTGTTGATTTGAAGCAGGTGAAGGAGGTAGGAAAGGTGTTTCTCAAATAGGGCGGGCGTTTGCGAACAGGGAGGAGTGATCGGATTTGTCGATTATTTAATAATGCAGGACCGTGAGTCTTCGTTCCGTCCTGGATTGTGGTTGTACCGGTCCCACTGAACGATGATGATATCTGTGATTCAGGCTGGTGAGATCGTTGGATCAGAACAAGCATACGAATGCCCGTTTCCTTCAAGACCAAGGGGATCTCCCCACCTTTTCAAGGTATAACAATGCGCCCGTCCACTAATTTTTCGACGATGTTATAAAGTTACCTCCGAGTCGCCTCTATGCTCTTCGATCTCGAACTTCTCCCCTGCTGAAGAGGACTGCAGCTGCCCGTCCTGGTCCCCATGTCGTCAAAGTAAGTGCATATCTGTGTCATTCGCTCCTGTCCTGGCCTCGTTGAGCTGACCTGGCTCATACTCTTATTCGAGGTTGTTCACCTCGACCATCTACTTTTTCTTCCCTAGAGTCGTCAGGTTCGACTTGCTCGACTCTTTCACCCAAGAAATTGGAGGAGCGATCGGCTCCAATCTGTCGCAGGCTGAGTACGGTAAATGCCCTTCCTCCACCCTCCCGCGCTGCTCGTACTCGCTCTTCTCTGTGTTTACCCTCTTGTCAACGTGATTTACGATTTTACAGTCGTTGCATTCGTCTTCGATTGGGTCTCTGATCAATATGGAATTCACGCAGGAGCTCCAGAGCGAGGGTGGCCCATGCGATTTCGATCTTTTACCAGCCTGGGCGTGTTAAGACGCGCACCCGTACGTTCAATTTTACCCCATAATTCATCGATTCTTCTCGTGCCTGTACCTGCAGCTATTATGAGGCCATAATCTCGTAGGCGGTAGCACCGTTTCATTGACCGATGTTACTGCCAGATGTCTTTGGGTTCTGATCCCGGCCGGGATTCTAGGATACCACCGTATGAAAACCCACAGTATGGCGTATGCATCGGCGATATACAGTACCCACTCTTTACCCTCTTAGATCCTTGCGTTATTCTTGGGCGGGGCTCGCTAACTCGTGTACACTAGCCCTCAAAATCACGCAACATCTACATCCACAGTACCTCCTAATTCACTGAACAAATGACGATCCTCACATCGCAAGACACATTAATCGACGTGGTCGGTCAAAAATAAGCACTCCTCCGCAGGTGCACCCATGCCACTCCAAGTGCGTTTACTTCTCTATGCGCCGATATCTGCTCTACATGCTGGAATGAGCAGAATGTAGACGGTGCGTGTATCTAAATCAGATCGTCAGCCTGTTTTCTGGTGAGTAGACGAGGAATGTCCGATACCAGCAGTAAAGAGCCGTTCCGATCGGCGTTGTGCCTCCGTTCTCGATATGCCTCGAAGTAATCCTATCTTGCCCTCGTACGAGATGATCAATACACACAGGTCGAGGACACGTTCATGTCATCCGAAGGGGGAAGTGTCCATTAGGACAGAAATTTACCGCACACTGGCAATCGTACTACCAACGGCGAACCGAAAGTTTACGCGAGCGTCACCATTCTACATGGTGCTGAAACGGTTTATGGAGAAACTACGATTGCAAAGCGGCGGAAAATGCGGAAAGAGGGACGAGCCTCACATTTTTCTCGTGCCTCGCAGTTCTGGCACGCGCCACTTCCGGGGCAGTAGTAGCCTTGGCTTCGTTTAGAGTTGGGGTTCAAGGATTGTCCGAACACTCTTTCCGCCGGCTATGTTTGACAGTTCGGCGCACAGGGATGATCTTGACGAATAAACACGTCGGCTTATGCAGAAGATGGGGACAGTATGAAGAAACTATATCAAGCCTTTGTCATAGTATCCTCAGAATTATCTCCGTCGATGACAGACTCGGACGCGTACGGTTGACGACACTGATTCGACCTGTCGAGCAGTCTAGTTATGCCCACCGGCGAGCGGGCACCTGTCAGATGTCTGTCAGAGCAAGCTTCAATCGTCCCTGCTCGTCTCTGCTCGTCTGCATTCTAGTTCACGGCTGGTGGGAGGAGCACCTTTAGCCCAGTTTTGCTTCGTTTATGCGCCCGTTTGCGTTGGGTCTCCACATTTATGCCCGATTTAATTCCTCAAACTGGGTTTTCTATGTCTTGTCAGAAAGATCTCGCCGCGAAATCTCAGAGGTCCTGAGCAGCTATAATTAATTAAATCCGACACAATCTGGACTGCACAGCTCCGAGTCTCCTCTGCTATCTCCTTTTTGAGCGGTTATTCCTCGTTCTACTCACATTTGTTCCCAGGCAATAGGGTAACGCGACCCAATATCTCCAATATTGGGAGGACTTCGACAGAATCTGTCATTTTAGCGCTAAATGTCGACTTAGCTCTCGCGAAAATGGTGCTTGGGGGAGAGTTGTCGGGGTAGGCTGATCGTGAGAGCTCGAAAGGTGACCTGATCAGTGTCGTCGACCGTACTCATTCCCGCTGTCAGTGGTACCATCATTCAGCGTTGAAACGTTGACTGATGCTAAAGCACCGTTCACGGCGGCTTTTTGATCCCAGAAAAGTGTTGTTAATTTGAGGTACGGTACACCTGTCAGCACGAAACGACGAAGGATAGAGGACAGAGTCGCAAGTTTCGGAGTGCTTGAAGCGGTCAGCGATGGGAAACGCAAAGGCGACTCGGCCGCTGTAGGTCCTGCTACTCGCAACTTCGTGCTCCGTGAGGCTCCGTGCTCACTCGCATAGCAGTTCAATCTGCCATTTTGAGGCGACAGGTGTGTACCTTTCCTCCAATTAAAAATGCTTTTCTGCGTTGAAAAAAACACCGTGAACGGTGCTAATGACTAGGGAATATCTGCGTCGCGAGGCCGTCAGTAGAAGTATATATTCAAATAAAGTCGCGTTCCAAGGCACTAGTCTTGTTCCAGTTGGAGCAGCTTTTTAAGCTCGAAGAGTGTCTCTACAAAAGTTTCCGGAGCAATTCAATTGAGTTGACGGAACCCATTCCAGCTGTCTAGATGGTACATACCATAATGTGGTTTGAGGGTACCTTTCATTCGGCGTGAGGATGTCCGTGTGGGGTCATGCGGTGTTAACCGCCCCGCTCAAAGTTCCGACTAACATAGTAGTTCAAAGGCAGCTACACGTAGAGGAGAGCCTCTGGGCTTTAAATATGACTTCTCTCCTTCCATCTATTGCCATTCCTTCTTCCCACAACAATTATCTCTCCTCAAAGACAAAGCGAAATCAGCTCATCATGTCCCAGTCCCATTCGGCTTATATTGAGAATGTACCGTTCGGAGAAGTGCCCTACGACATTGAAGTCAGGCTTTTATTCAGGAAACATACGCTGAAGGAAGCGGAACGGGTAAGCATTGTGTACTTTATCCCACCGGATAACCTCTCATCATCTCATTTGTTGCAGGTACCCATTGTCACCCTCAGTGTCCCCGAAATCTACCCTATTCCGGAAGTTGTCGATGCTCCCAAGATTACTAATGTCAGCGTCCCTGCTTCACTGCTAGTATTAACGACTATCCCTCACCTTATTCACGGCAGGTCACTGCTGCCCATCACGAGCAGCGCTCCAACGAGATCATGGGTCACCATAATACCACCGTCGATCCTCCCTCTGTCAGTCCGCTGCTTCACTGCTACGGACAACCATCCCTGACTTCATTCGTTGCAGGTACCCATTGTCGCCCTCAGTGTCCCCGAAATCTCTCCTATTCCGGAAGTTGTTGATGCTCTCAAGATCACTAATGTCAGTGTCCCTGCTTCACCGCTAGTATTACTATAACGACTATTCCTCACCTTATTCACTGCAGGTCATTGCTCCCCATCACGAGCAAAGCTCCAACGATATCATGGATTACTACAGTTCCATCATCGATCCTCCCACTGTCAGTCCGCTGCTTCACTGCTACGGACAACCATCCCTGACTTCATTCGTTGCAGGAAATCGATGCCAGTCACTTCCATAATCCGTCTAATGTCAGTGTTGGCCAGCTCGAAACCAGATGTGTAAGCCTCCGTCTTCATTGCTGTGAATAATCATTTCTCACCTCACCATTACAGTCCAGCTGCTCCGGTCATTCTTCTGCTACGGACGTTTACAGTGCGACCGAAACTGTCGTGACCGGTAGCAATGCAATCTCCTACACCATGGATCAAAGCCAGAAGGTTAATTTTATTGGTTTTCATCTCTATTGTCGTAAGTAACCATTTCTCACTTCGTCGGTTACAGACTGCCAGAGGGACCGAAAAGGTCATTCGTCCGGGCGTTGTGGATCTGGATACGGTGCGGAGGAATCATGGTGGCGATGTGGTATTCGTCTTTAATCCTTCTCGGGCCCCCATCGTAGTCTGCGTTGTTGATGATGAGGGCACACACTTACTAGCCAAGGACAAGAGCGCTGTTCCCGTGGTGTGAGGAAACTGGAGGTGCTTGTGCAGTGGCAGAAACGAAGGGCGACTGTTTTGAACTTATAAATATATGCATATGGTACAGTAGGAATAGATTGCGAGTCTGAATTGTGATAGAAAAGTAAAGAACAACAAAATCGACTCAGCCACTGGATATGACAGACAGTTAAGAGAGAGAACATCAACTGGTCAAGTTACGAATATTCACCGACGAGTGACCATTTTAGGGGGGGAGCGAGTGACCAACGACTGTAATAGCACGCGGCGAAGTGAAAAACATAGCCCATATCCCAGCGCCACAGTCAAGATGAGTTGAAGCTATACAGGAAACATTGGACATGACCTAGCATAGTGAATCTCAAGAAGGTTTCGCGCAAGGGCAACGATTACTTAGGGACTCTGCCTACGCCACATGCAGCTGTGGCCCACCTCACGAACGACAAAGTCAAAAACCATTCGTATCAAAGCTCCTACATTCTTCGTACAAAATTCATATTTCACCTCATCCATACGCATCTCCCATAGCATTCCCGCAGCCGGCAGTGATTCTAGGCTAAACAGCCGCGATAACCACGATCTCGACCAACGCGTCCCTCGGGAGCCTCGCGACCTCAACGGCGGAGCCCTCACCGATCTCTGCATCCACACCGGGCTCTACGCCGAGGCTTTCGACCTACACGCGTCCACGTCCGCCCTCGCGCTCAAATATCCGGAGGTCGAGGTCGTAAGGGACGTAAAGTCTAAGGCTGAAGTGGATTGCGCGATTAAGGGGTTGGTGTGCAGTTTGGTTGGGGTGTTGGGAGAAAGGGGCGTGAAGCATCTGGGACTGTGGAAGGCTGTGGGCATATTGAGGCGGATGGGCATTTTTGGACATGGGTGAGAAGGAGAGGGTGGAGAGAAAGAGTTGGCGGTGCCGTTTTTGAGTGGGAGGGGCCGGGGGGGGGGGGGGGGGTTTGGAGGATGCGTTGGATGACGTTCGGGCTAGACTAGATATGGAGGGTGAGGGTGAGGATGGGAAGGAAGGCTGGGTGCGGTATTTGAAGAAATATGTCGATGCGTGGCGGGAGGGCCTACATGATATCATCACACAACTCTCGACTATAATATCTTCCTCACTCCTTCCCCTTCCACCTCCTTTCCGCCTTCCACCGCCTCGTCGTTTATTCTCACCCTCCTCCCCCAATTCACGCCCCACATCCTGCAAGCTTACCTCCTCCCCACCCTCCATCTCTCCCTCCCGCACATCGCACACGATGCTTCAGCACTCACGAGCATGTTGGAGTTCGGAGTTCGAACGTACAACGCGTTTTCGGTAATTCCCGGCAAGTCTTTTGTGCGGACGCAACTTTCCCTCATTCACTCGTCTATCGGTGTCTGAGGATAAGCAACATCTATCTACTTTACTGTCTACTGTACTTATTCTTCCTGTAGTGTGTTCTACCCTACAGGTTCTAACAGAACATCCTGAGCCAGCTGACGTATTGCGCAACGTCCTTCGCCCGCTTCGGGCTTGATTTTCAGGGTGTGCTGGGCCTGATATTCGAGGATTTTGTGGGGGGGAACGTCGAGTCTGCGCTGAAGAGCGCGACGGATACGTTTGTGCGGGTCGTGGAGAGGGAGACTCGGCTGTGGAGGACGAACGATGTGAATGCGAATGAGAAGGAGAAGGGGAGGAGGTTGCCGAGCGAATGGTTAATCTCAACAAGTCCCCTAGGGTTCGTACAACTCCCGCCTTCCGCCTCGCCCAACATCCTAGAGGGAACACCGGCACACATCCACCCGCGCTCACGGTCTTCGTGAACGCGATGTTGACGACGTTTAATTCGTTGCGATTATTGGCGCCGGTTGTGTTAGGGCCGGGATGGAGGATGATGAATTGGCGAGGAGTGGGTGGAGATCCGAGTGAAGAAACGGAAGCAGAGACGGAGACGGAGAAGGAAAGGGAGGAAAACGACAGGGAGGGATTGATGCTTAGAAGGGTAGGCGAGGTTTCGGTACACGTCGTCGTTCCCTTTTTGAGGCGGATTCCTTTGGCTTCCGTCTTACCTTCGGACGCAATGGATAAGGAGAGTGCGGACGGGGATGGGCGTGGGTGAGCATATTGAACAGTAATCCTAACATAAATTATCTGTTTGCGCTGATAGGCTTCCTTCGTCAGTACCCTTGGCTTGGAATGATTTCGCAGCTCTCTTATGAGTGACTTTGTCCCCGACCGTGCTCTGGCAACAGATTGACGAGTCTTGTCAGAATGTCTCGTTGGACGCCTGCGCAGGCAACTTCATCTTTGCCACAGGTTTCCATTCTACGGGGTTCAATTTTTATAATCTCCAGAATGTTCCTTCATGACGCCTTGTACGTTTTCCCTTTCTTCATAACTTAGTCTCATACATGCCTCGCCGTACGCGTCAGTGTGACGGTGCTTGTAATTCCGAGGCTTATGTCCTGTTTGCGCTGATAGGCTCTCTTCGTTCCTCTTATTAACTTGGAAATAGTATGTCTTCTGAGTGCATTCGTCTCCGACCGATTTCGCTGGAAACAAAGTGATGTGTCGTGTCAGCGCCTGCGCAGACCGGCAAATTTCCGTCAAAGGGTTTCCATTCTACGGGGCTCAATTTTTTTGAATCTTCATAATTTCCTTTGTAGCCCCTGGTACGTCTTTTCCTTCCCTTTCAGAGTCTCAGAATCTCCTCACCCGCATCGTCGTATCACACTACAACTCTCTTGGGATCCTTTGCTTTCCTGCCTGAACAGAGCGTGAACGGCACCGTATGCTCCAGACTACGCGTCAGTGTACTCCATCTTTTACCCCTTATCCGTTGCATGATGCTGATGGTAGCGCCCTTGTCTCTTCCATCCTCCCTCCTACTTCTTTCGCCACCTTTGTTCCCATCGACACCTTCCGAGTATACGACATTTCCATTCCCGAATCGTCTGCCGCCGCATTCGTATATCTACATCAAGCCGAGGGGCCTTCTGCGACTTGGCACCCGACATGCGAGGAACATGCCCAGAGGCATACTATTACGCCCTCCGTTGCTGGAGCTCGACATGTGGGGATACTCGCTATTTACATAACCATATTCATCTTCGCCTGCCACCCACGCTCAGCGAGTCTGCGCTTTCCTCCCCTCACCCCGCGCCTCTCGTCCTTGCTACCTTGCGCCGTTCTGGTTGGCCTCGTTGATTTTTCATTTGTTTTGCTTGCCCATACATGACTGCAAACGCAGACGTACGGCAGACTGTGGGGGCAGTACTCTTGGGATGTCTGATCTCGTGCGCGTAAGTCGATATGTTTTTGTCTTTGTGAAGCATCCGCTTACTACTCTACATATGCAATACTCCTCTAGACTCTCTGGGGTTGTGGCCATCCAATCATTCTTTTATTTTCGGTTTTATCGTAAGGACCCGGCTGCGGTGAAAGCTTTGGTTCGTTTCGCCCTTATTTATATATTTCTGCGTACTGCTCTGCTTACTACTTTACCTTGCTGTGCATAGGTGATATTAATCTGGTACGTTCACAGTTTCTTCGGTCGTGTTCTTTGAGACGATAAACTGATATGCGTCACTGACTCATACTAGGGTTCTTGATGCCATTCACACCGTCTTGGCCTGCCATGGCGTATGGACGTGTCTCATCCTCAACTTCGGAGACCCAGCTATGGTCGACTACATACCCATGTACGCCTTTCCTCTGACTGTTTCTTCTTCTCTTCGTCATAGATCTCATATGTTCCGTCACCCTGCCAGGTCCATCGGAGTGAGCACCACACAATAGTCTGGCACGGGAGAGCACGAGTTCTGACTTGAGCAAATAATAGCTTACGGTCGCATTCACGGCTATCGTCACGTTCTTGGTGCAGGTGTGCGTATGCTTCTCACAGATTCATTCCTCGCGGTCTCGGTTTCGGTTGTTCTGATGGACTTGTGCGTAGGTTCTTTGCTTGGAGATTATTCAGGTGTTAGTCCCTCCTTTCGTCGTTGCGACTTTTGTCTGCAAAAATCTGAATTTCATGGGCGGCAGTGAGCAAGAGAAATTATTGGATATCAGCTCCTGTGGTCCGTCACCCCATTTATTCTCTCTCGTCTCCGATTTGACTGAGGGGTGGTTTGCGTCTGAAAGGTCCTCTTGGCTACCACTCGTCTCGGTGAGTTTGCTCTTCATTGTCGTGACTGACTACATCAAGTTATAATGGTTGATTTGATGCCGCTTTATTTTTCTGTTGTGATATTGCAGTTTCTGCTCTAGGTGAGTTTCTTTCGAGAATTGGCCGGCGTTTTTTTATTGGGCTGATCGACCATGGTGATTTATTGTGCGCTGCTGATTGTGATGGTGCTCTTTGCAAAAGTATCTACACATGATATGTGAGTCTCAGATTCGCCTTGGTTGATGTTCTAGGATTACTGACTGCCTGGTATATACAGGATCCGATGGAAGAGCTTCGACACATTCGTCGATCATCTAGCGGTGTGTTTCTTTCATGTTTCTCCCACCCAACCTCAATCGAACTGAATTCTGTCCCATCGCGATGTCCTCGACCATAGTGGTGTTTCACGCTCGGCCTCTCCCTCTCCTCGGCTACGGACATCATCATCACGCTCTCGATGTGTTTCTACCTCCAGACGAGCAGGACCGGGTTCCAGACGTAAGTGTTCCATGCTACGTTGGTGGGACGATAATCTAATGAAGATGGCGGTATCGATACTTTAGATTGGACCATATCATCAATATGATCATGATCTACACCGTCAACAATGGAGCGATCACCTGGTAAGACCGTCGTTTTTTGTGCTCAACTCCCGCAATCGACATACTCATACCTGTGTGTTTGATGAATGTAGCGTCGCGACCGTGCTTTCCCTCATCTTCGTACATACCATGCCCAATAGCGTATAGTATCCTCAGTCTGACTGGCCTCGTATCCATTTCCATCTCGAATGTGTGCAGTGGCTCAAAATGCCGTATAATCGCATTTTCTTCGGGATGCACTTCAGCATCACAAAGCGTAAGTTCATCGTCTCCCAATCACCCGTATATTCATCGACGACTCTGACTATCCGAACCGGACTCACCAGTCTACGCTTTATCCCTCCTCTCAACGTACGTCGTCTCAAAGCCTACAGCCTCCCTGCCACTTTCCAGAAGTCGAAACCTAACACTGCTCGATATGCTAGGCTCAACACACGGAAGTCCGTCCTAGCCTCGTCCACAAACACAAGCGCAGGCCGCGCCAGCGGCGGCCGAGGGGCCAACAAAGATGGAATTGCACTCTCCGTGCGATTCCCTGCGAGCCCCGGATCTCCAAGGACGCCCAACAGTGCATCTCATGTTCGTATTCTTACTACACAGTATTGCTATATCCCCGAACTATTTACTCAGACGAACGTTGCTATAATAGGGCCAGTTCAGTTCGCTGCATTCCCCGGTCGAAAGTAATCATTATCCGATGGATGCGTCCATGAACGGTGCGATATCGGTAGCTGTCAATGTCGAGAAGACGGTTCAGTATGATTACGACGGGGAGCCTGATACACTGGCAGAGGCAACCACGAAGGATATACAAGTTGTGGCGGCGGATGGTCGAGGGGATATAGGTGCCGTGCCTATTTTGGAGAACGTTCCGAATCCGCGGTCGGGGTTGATGAGGGGGGTGAGGATGGGTGAGGTGTGAAAGTGTGAGGTTTGTATATATGTGTGTATCTACCCCGAAGGCTTGGACTTGGGGTCAATCTTGAGGCTCTGCGTTTTGGGCGTTGTTATCGTTTTGCTGTCACAGTCTGCTCTGATGATACCTTGTATGCGTACTCAATTAACACTGTCACTTGCCTGCATATATTTCGTACGAGGTCCTATGCTCCGCGATCTTGACCAAGAGTCCAAAGCTTATTCTGGTATAACGTCCAGCACATCAATACAAAGAAAATTTCACCACCCAAGTCCGTCAATGATTCCACTCCATAAAACCTGCAAAACTGAAGCAACGAGAACTCCACCGCCTCAAAACTTATTCATCCGCCTCGGAACCGCACTCCCCGGTGTCCTCGCACCCTCTCTATCCCTCTCCCTCCCCCCACCAGGCGTCCTCGCACCCTCCCTCTCCCTCTCCCTCTCTCTGTCCCTATCCCTCCCAGACGCACTCCCAGGCCGATCCCTACTCCTCGGCGGAACAGGCACCGGCCCCGCACCAGCTCCCATCGTCGCCACAGAACCAGCCATACTCGGCGCCGGACTCCTCGACGGCCTCCCATTCCCGTTCCCGTTCCCGTTCGCATTGGTATCTTGTGAAGTCGCACGTACCGGCGTAGGAGATAACGGAATCGGCGGTACAGGTGGAGGAATCTTCGGGGATCCGAGTCCTTCCCTCTCGCGTTCTCTTTCGCGTCTCCTGTGAGAAGAGGAGGACGCGGCGGGGGAGTTGGAGCGCGAGTGGGGCGTGGGTGTAGGTGTTGTGCTGGGTGAGGGGGGTGTACGTGTGGATGTGGAAGATGAGGTGCTACTGCTGTTGGAGGCGGAGGTGAAGGAGGCCATGGAGGCGAGGGCGTGTGTGGGGCGGGGACTGCGTGGGGTTGGGGAGCGTGGGGTAGATGAGGAGGAGGATGTCGGGAGGGGTGGTTGGGCGAAGAGGGATTGTTGGGCTTGAGATGCGGATGCGGATGAGGGTGTGGGAGAGCGGACGGGTGGGGTTGGGGTGGATGGGGGTATAGGTGCTGTGATGGTTGGGGCCGTGGATGACTTCTTCGCGGAGGAGGAGGTGGTGGTGTTGGAAGAGTTTGCGAGTTGGGCTTTGGAGTCGGGTTTGGCTTTGGGGTCACGGACGAGGAGCTCGTTGAGCAGGAATCGGAAGTCGAGACCGTATTCTTGTAGGAGCTGATGTGGTATGTTTGATGAAAGTCGTAGTGCTATTGTGAGAGATGAAGGGCTTACCTTGCGGCTCTGCGCATACGTGATCTTGAGCGCTTCGTCGATCGTCTTCTGATCCACGTCAGAACTATAGACCTGTTTCCTAAACATCTCCGCATACGTCTCCATCTCGCCCTTCGCCCACTCAATGAAGCCTTCACATTCCAGTTCGTATCAGCGCTCATCGTAATCGTAGAAAAACGGAAAACTTACAGCTCGCGACCTCATTCTCCTTATAACTCGCCAAGAACCAATCCGCCGTATGTTTCACCGCCGTAAACACCACCGTCGCCAAATCATGCACATACATCCCCACATGTCCCTCAAACCTCAACATCCTCACCAACCTCCTAACGACCTCCCTCCTCGCCCTCAAAAACGCCACCCTCGCCTCCGCGCCCTTCCCCAACCTCACCAACAGCCCAATCAGATGCACGACCTTCGTCTTGCCGTTGCCCGGGTCCGACAGCGCTTCGAGCAAGGCGGTGGTGAGCGAGGAGGTTAAGGCGGGGAGCTTGGTGGAGAGGGAGGGAGTGATGGAGAGTTTGGCTTGGCCTTGTTCGACGAGGGAGACGGCGGAGTCGTAAGAGCGGAGAGCGATGGAGACGGTGAGGTCATCACAGAAATCGGAGACCCAGCGCATGTCGCGGTCGTGTTTTTCTTTGGCGCCTTCGCCCATGCCGGCGCGACGGGCGAGGTCTGCCATCCAGTCTGGACCGTCGGCGGCGAAAGCGAGGGAGCTGCGCTGTAAATATACGGAGAGTTATTGGGTGGCTTTGAGGCGGAATGGGGGGAATTACTGACGTCGCCTGCGAAGAGGGTCTTGCGCTGCTCATGCTCGCCCTCTCGCTCTTTCCGCCTCTTGGCTGCCAGTTCTTCCGCGACGTGTCGTAGTTGTGACAATAGACTCTTCTTATCCGCGGATGACTCTGTCCGGTACACACTGACCTCCTTGACATGTTTGATCTTGAATACGTTCGTCATAGCTGCCACTCCCATCAGATATCCGTCTACTCACCACGCATGAGGGATTATCACTCACTAGCCGTATCCTTCGTATCCAACACCAACATCTCATTCAACGCCCAACACCTTTCCGCCACCAACCTCTCCCCTCCATCCTGTCCCCCTCCCCCACCCCCACCTCCCCCACCCGCATCCCTCCTCTTCCTTCTCCTCGCCACCAACACCGCGTCATCCAACACCACGAACCGCACGCCTCCTACGGCTTTATATGTCGCGGCATTGAGTGCTTGGGCGTCCATTTCGCAGATGACGTGTCGGCCGGGGGTGGTGGGTACGAATTTTGTGGATCCTTCGATTTGGGTGTGGAGGGATTGCATTTGGGAGGCGTAGAGGACGCGGAGGTCGGCGACGGAGGAGCGGACGTTGCGCCGGCGGTCTGGTGGCGGAGGATGACGGTGATGAGGAGGAGGAGAGATGAATGGGTGGTTAATGAAAGAGGAAAAGGGAAAAGAGGAAGGAACGGACCTGCGACGGAGTTGGATTCGTCGATGTGGAGGAGGGAGGGCATGCTTTTCCATTCGGCGAGGGACTCTTTCAGTTCGAGCATTTCGTTCTCCAGGTTTGAGATCTCTTTCGAGATGAGTACGAATTCGGCGTAACTAGAGCATGCCATATAAGTATACGATCGAAACGCGAGTGCACAAAGACTCACTTCTTGAATACGTTCCTCTGCAGATCTTGGGCCACACCGTCTTTCGAAGCTTGTAATGAAGACTGCATGGACTTCAACTCCGCTTCAGTCGCGTTGGACATCTTCACTTTCAGAACTAGACAACGGAGTGGTCAGGATAACCACCGACAGAGCAATAGAGAAACACACAAGCATCCGGGTCAAACTCCTCCACATCTAACAACTTATTCTCCGCCGCCCTAATCTCCTCCAAACTCGGCCCTCTATCCTTAACGACCTCCTCCTCCTCCTCTTCCTCATCAATCGTATCTCTCCCCCTATCCCTCCTCGCAGGGGCCTGCCCGCCCGATGGCCGCAGCCCGATAGGTATGGACGGGACGCTCGGTACGGCGGCTACGTTCGTCGGACCAGAGATGTCCGCATATCGCATCGACATGCGTTTCTTGATCTTGTCGTCCACTCTCGATTTGCGCGCATCTTTGGGTTTGGAGGTGGGGGGTCTGCCGTTTGGAGCGCCTGTTGGGGTTCGGGAGGATTGTTTCGAGAGTTTGGATTTGGAGCGGTTGACGGAGGCTTTCCGGGTTCGTAGGGACTCCATGCTCGACTACGATGAATATACACGAACTAGTCGGTGATGTGAAGTAAAGCAACCACTGGAAAGAGTTATGGACCGAAGACGTTTGTGGGATGGAGATGATGGACGTTGTGCTGTGGCAACAGGCCGGCGCGGACGTCGTCTGGGGGTCTCCGATAAGATAAGATAAGATCGAATGACTACGCCTCCTCAACATGAATTTCTTTCTTTCATGCCGACCGCCACAAACGGATGCTAACGCTCTCTGCACTCGCTCTCCGTCGCCCTCCATCTTGTACACTCACTCGTCTACGACATTTCTCACTCACTATGTCGCGTCGCTCAGCATCCCCACTAGACGTCCGCCATGCTAAACGTCCTAGACTCGACGGGGAGGGACGAGGATTGACCCCGGAGGATTATAAGCATGGCATTATGCTCGCACCCATGGTTCGTTCGGGCGCACGTACGTCTCATCTGATCGACGTCCTCGATATACGTCTTACTGTTCTTCTTGCTGGAAATAGTCCCAACCCGACTTTTCGCGCTCAAACACGGCGCAAAACTAGTCTGGGGTCCCGAAATCGTCGATAAAGCCATCCTCCACGCAAAACGCGTCGTAGACCGTACGCTCCCTCTCCCTCTCCCTCTCCTCCTCCTCCCCTCCCTATCACTCTCCAAACTCACCCACCTCATTGATACACAGCAACAACCGGCGTAATCTCCTACGAAGGCAAATCCAAAGCCATGTTCACCTGCCACCCCCTCGAAAAGCCCTTCCTAATCTACCAAATCGGCTCCTCCACCCCCTCTCTCGCCGTCCAAGCCGCCCGCGTCGTCATGCAAGACGTATCCGGGATCGACCTCAACTGCGGCTGTCCGAAGCCTTTCTCGACGCACAGCGGGATGGGCGCCGCGCTGCTTTCGACGCCGGATTTGTTGTGCGATATTTTGACCGCGTTGAGGAGGGAGATGCCGGCGGAAATTAGTGTAAGTTGTAAGATCAGACTGTTGGGCACGAAGGAGGAGACGTTGGAGCTTGTGAGGAGGATCGTGGGCACGGGTGTGAATTGCTTGACGATCCACTGTCGAACGCGGAGTATGCGGAATAAGGAGCGGGCGTTACAGGAGCGGTTGAGAGAGGTCGTGGAGTTCGTGAGGAACGAGTTGAAGAGCGATGTTGCGATTGTGGAGAATGGGGATTGTGTGGGGTATGAAGACGCGAGACGGATATTGGCACTGACGGGCGCGGATTCGACGATGATCGCGACCGCGGCGGAGTCGAATCCTACGGTGTTTGCGAAGGAACCACTATTCGATTTGGAGCACACGCTCGTGCCGGATTACCTCCGTATGGTATGCTTCTCTCCTTTCCTCCATCATTTATTCCTTCTCTTTGTTTCATAGCGATGTTATTGACAAAGCCCCCATCACGAACAGTGCAAATACCTCGGCAACCACTGGTCCTCCACAAAATGGTGTCTCGCCCAATTCAAATCCCCGCGCTCCCCCAACTCGTCATACACGAAATCGCAGGCCCTCACCATCCGCAACGCCCTCAGCAAAGCGAAATCATACGACGACCCGAACGCGATCGAGATTGTTGGGGGAATATGGAACGGGAAGGAGGTGTGGGATGAGTTGGAGAAGGTGGTGAGGAGTCGAACGAGCAACGGGGATGAGGGCGATGGGTTGAGAGTGGATGTTTGGCCGGCGGAGGAGATGGCGAGCATGGAGGAGGAGAGCGGAGATGGTGGGGCGGTAGTAAAGGTAGATGGTGTGGAAGCTCATGACCTGGAGAAAGCCGAGGAGCGACAAATCGAATCGAAGAAAGAAACCTACCCATCCGTCGACTCCGAACGCTCACAACAACACTCCGACCCCATCGCCCCACCCCAAGACCCAGACCCCGCCACACCCCTTCCCTCCACGCCCCTTCCATTGCCCAACTCCAACTCCAACTCCGCGACAAACTCCCCCGACGCAAACACAGTCTACATAACCCCCCAAGACTATCGCGGCAACCCGAACCCAGAAAACATATACGACGCACCGGGCGTGCCGGGCTCGATGGATATATCGAAGCGGTTGAGGATCGTTCCTGCGCTTGTGGAGGGTAGGGATGTGGATTTGGACACGCCGACGCCGAGTCAGAAGGGGTGAGATGTGGGGATGGCATGGCATAGCACGGGATGGGACGTCGTTTGTTCGTTTTTGTTTCTTTGTGGTGTTGGTGGTGGTATTGCGGGCTGATATTTGCATTCTGTTTCGACGTTCGAAAGAGCCCTGCTGGCACACCTGTCGCTTTTCGCAGCAGCGGACCCAACTCTCCTAACCCTAGGCCCTGGAACACGGATTCAGTGGTTTGGCTTCCATCTTGTTGTGCTACCATAGACCCGTCTCGAACTCTTGTTTTTTCCCGCACGCGACACTCAGACCCTGCATATGTTTGCGAGCCCGATGTAATGTTAGGCATTGTGTCCGCACCAGGTCAAGGTTTCTCGGTTGTATCTTTATTTTGGGGTTCATGGCGTAGGGATGCGCTACCCATGGCTGCCTGATCTAGTTCTCGTCGTGTTGATCCTACATCGCAGGCAATCACGGAACAACCACAGTCCGTTTTCGCCGACTAGGTCTCAGATTTCCTGTCGGTTACACAAGCGAGTCGTGGAAACGTTGATGCTCAGGTTCTGCGACATTTGGTGCGATGCTCTCAGTATACCACAGGCTCTAGCGTCGGTTTTCCCTCGTCCGACGAGTTTGTGCAGAGCGCTGATGAGTCTCCTATCACGGTCCAGCGTCGCGTGTAGCAGTTTTAAGAGGATTCAGAAAATGTAGAGAGGGCGCGTTGAAAGTAGTGGAGCCGTTCCGCAAGATCGTATAAGCTTTCGCGAACATGGCAGATGCTTCTTGTGGAGTGGTACGCCGAGTCAGAAGGCAGTGGAAGCCTGATGCAGTCAGTTTCGTTTGTCCTTTCGCAACTGGTGCTGCTCCTCTGTATCTTGCTGTTTTTTTTTTTTTTTTGGATGACTTCACTCCATCTCTTCCATCTCATCTTAGATTCTACAGACCTGCCTATCCTTCGCTTAATAGATAATACGGGCTGTCCCTGCAGACGATCATGATCTGACTACGCATTTCTACTATAGACCTTGCGACCCTGATGATGATTTTTTGGGTCCACTGTACGAAACGGTACCCCTCAAAGAGGAGACGAAGCAAAATGAGGTACGTATCCCCAGAAATGTTATTTTTGGCGCTACTATTCCCCTACAGAGAAAATTATCGGGGAGTCACAATGTGATTCGAAACCGCTGTATCGATACTCAAGAGCTACGGTGAACAAACAACCTGTAAGTAAACGGAGATTGATGAAAACAATCTCTCTGTCCGCGAAAGTCCGTTTCACACTGTCTACAAGCAGTCCATCAAATACACCGCGGGAGCTAGGCCCTCGGCAGCTGTGAAATGGACTGACTAAGCTCCATGCATATGCAGCAAGGTGTCGTCTGCAGTGGAATCCCAAAGTCTGACACTGCCTGCGACTACGTAGCAGGCGTGCAAGTAGCATTTCCTCGAGGTGATACTAGTAGCGTGCGAATCCCTACCTCACAGCATATGAAACATTGAAACCTCGTCGGGCTGGCTTAGGCGGCTGCGCGAGGTGGAGCTTCACCAAAAAAACAGATGCGGTAAGACACAACGACGCGGCGACGGGAAACCATGAAGTGGGGTTAGGGCCCATATTTGAACTCAGACGCCCGGAGTGTAAAGTGAGGGCACTTGTGTCTTGACGTTTAGGCTTCGCTCGCGGGGACTGTGCTGCTCAATATCTCAATCCTTCTTGGTCTTTACTCATAATCAGATCGTCTCAGTCATGTCCTCTACGCGACCTGACATCCCTCTCACACTTCGAATGCGGACGGTGGGGTCTCTCAGGCATCCGATGCTGTTCAAGAACTACAGGTCATCGCGTACGACCCAATCACCGTGGATGGCCACAAACGATTAGATCGGGCAGTTATGGAATCTGAAATCCTCACATATATGCTCGATAACCAGATAATTATACCCGGGCAGAGTCTTACTGCCGAGAGTCCCAAGTACGTCTTGTGCTCAATATGCAAAACCGGCGTACAAGAGGGCCTGTTGGATCTCGCTGTCGGGGCTGCTCAAAGGCTGTTAGCGCAGTATCCTGAGCTAGGGGAGATGGTGGGTAGGGCGTGGGTCAATGGTGCCGGTTTTAAGGATATACGGTGCCTGAGTAGTGCTTCGACCCGAGTGATCATCGTCGACATTACTAACACAATCGCAGGGCTTCTCAGGTCGAACATACCTGACGACATTTTCAACCTTCAAGGTAATCAAGGCGAAACACTTTATGAGGCGAGTGTAAAGGGTACGTCTCGTTACTTCTCCTGTCTGTACTGTAACCTGATTGCTTCATAATACACCGTTTATTCTCATAGCCACGGAGGACTCTTGGAACTATGAGTTTATAGGTTCCGCCCATGTGGCTCTGAAAGCCCATATTATGTACCATCGGGAAACGATCACCAATCCGTATGCGCCTTACTGCGCCATCGTTCAATCGACCGGAACAGGAAAGTCGAAAGTAGTGGACGAGTTCAGCAAGACTCATTTCGTCATACCAGTGAATCTTAGAAAGCCTGGAGCTGGAGGTATGCATGCCCGAACTTCGTCACTTGTAATATCGTATTGATTACACTGTGCTTCAGGCTTTCCTCCTTCAGACGAAGAGGTTCACAGATTTCTTAACGTCGGCTTCCTTATGACTCTCCCGCCACCCTATGTATGGATTCGGATGAACACCTTCATATTCGCACTGTTAGAGGAATGTGAGAAGGTTATCGACGAGGCCATGAACCATCGAGCGGTTGGTCATACCTGGCTCCGCTCCGAAGGTGCTGCCTGGTTCCGGAAGATGATGACCCAAGGCCAAACGATGCACAGTCAAGGCCAATATCGCGTAAACTTTTACAATAAGGTCGTCCGACGGGCTACAGAGGTGATTGAAGACCACTCTCACCTAAATATATGCTGATATATTGACTTGTAGCTGTACGGTGACGTCATTTCTTCACCACTGATCTCTGGGTCGTCCACCACGACGGCATCCACCACGGTACCCCAGCCCACCGAACCGAGTAGGAGAGGCCCATCCCCAGATATAACAAGATTCGCCAGCCCAGGTGAATCACTCCTGACATCGCCTTTCGTACTTTCGTCTGATCACTCGCATGTCGACAGGGGATTCTTCGGTCGTAGACAAAAGCAAATCCCTGATCAGTCGCTGGAACTATCGGCAATCGAAGACTCAAAAGGAACCGGTCGTCTACTTGGCCTTCGACGAAGCCCATTTTCTGACCACACCAGACGAGCAAGCGGCGGGTCCTAAAGTCGCATCTCCGTTCTCCCATCTTCGAAAGATTTTACGGTCCTTCAGAGACTTGCCTCTCTTTGCCATGTTCCTCTCTACAACGGGCAAGATCACCCAATTTAATACACCAAAGGAGGACGACGATTCCACTCGATTACAGGATGGAACACTGGTGGTGATTCCTCCATTTTTCGCTCTCGGCTGGGATCAGCGCGCTGCTCCCCTGGATGTACCAATGACTCTGACCTACGTCTCCGCTCTACCCTATAAGGCTAGACTCGGCCGTCCTCTGTGAGTATCTCCTTGTCACATCTCACTCATCCATCGTACTTATGACGTCGTCAGCTTCGCTTCTCGGTACGCATCAGGGGAATTGCTTCACGGACAGGAGCGCAAACAGCTTCACGAACATCTTGCCGAATTCGCGGCACAAAAGCTTATCAGACGCAACCTTTCCTACTGGTCCTCTAGCCTCAACCTCGACCAGGAACTGGCCTGTCTATCTGCTCGCATTCCCGTAGAGTTTATGTCCTCCGTCCATACTCCGTCGACCAAAGCCGAAAAGGATCAGATCGCCAATCACATGCGTATTTGCCTGTCTGTGGACCCGTCTTTCCGCAAATTCACGTCGCTCAACCCTTCGGAACCTATAGTTTCGGAGGGCGCCTATCTCCTCATGACCGACAGCAGAACGAAGTTCCACGCTCCCTTGGCTTTTTCTCGCGTTCTGACTGGCTTTTCCATCTACCAGGGAGATCGGGGCGAGTTTGTGGCCCTGCTTGCCATCATCATGGCCCGGGACCGCGTCGTCAAAACGCAGGGTGTACTTGATGGCGTCTTTGGCGTTGTTCCGTTCATGAACGCGCTCATTGCGAGGCCAGCCAGGCCAACCGATCGTTTTGCGGATGTTCTGGCAATGAAGCCGTCCGTTTACCAAAACCCCAACGACAAGGAGACCTGCTTTGAAAACGCGTTCGCCGACGTTCATCTTCATTTCAACCACGTCGTGAAGCGGCAGGTTCAGAAAGTCAATATGGGCGTCTTTCGGGGCTTGATTGCGCGATGCGCGGCGTTCATGGGTGCCAATGGTCAAGCAGGTTTCGACATAGGGGTCCCTACGGTACGAGGTATAGGTATCGTGAACGACGAGACACAGGGAATGGCTCTTTTACAGATCAAGAACGATCCCCGTTTCACCGAAGAAGTTGTTCCAGAACTTTTCGACAGAATGGATCCCGTCACTCTAAAACTCATCGACACTGACACGACCCTCAAAACGCCGATCATCCGGATCGTCTTCGCTTTGGCAGCCAACACTCCCGCTGTTCGCTGTGTTGAGACTCGAAAACAGGCCAACTTCACGTCCTATGACATTTGGGTCGCGGGTCTCAGCCCAGACGTGCTTGCCGTTATTGATATGAAGGATCAAGCGATCTGGGATGAACTGCTTTCTGCGTCGAAAGGATGGGAAAACATGTATAAGCACCCGGACCCGACCACGCATAAGCTAATGCAAAACATGGCGCCCATGCTCGGCGATACGGCCGAGTTTTGGAAATTTGGACTGCCAAAGGCTGAAGTCGGTCCAAATTGAGGCGAGTCCTTGTATACTCGAGTCCGATGACAGAGCTAAGTGCTCGCGTTGTTTTGTGTAGCTCACATACGTCACCCCGAGCGGCAACCGTTCGTTGCCATACCGGTGCATCCTTATTTTCGGCGAGTGCATGGAGATGAGTTCGAGGTCAAGATGCATGCTACGTGTGCGGTAATTGTTGCAGTTTTGTACAGGATTTAGGGACGGTATCGGGCGAATGGTGGTAACAATAGGAACAGTTGAGCAGACCGTTTGTGAGCAAGGACGGCGCGTGACGTCACCGGAAAAAACGCAAGCGCCGGCTGCCGGTCTGGGCGTCTATCCTCCTCTGTCCTATCTTCTTTGCTCTTCTTCAGTGCTCTACGTAGGGTTTCGCCACATCATAAATTGCGCACAAAGTTCCTTTATCGCCACGATTCACAGCAGCAGTAGGAAATCTCGGAAGCAACCACATAGTCGTCGTATATATATATATATCTTTTTCAGGAATCGTACTTATACGACTGGCCCGGTGAGCGTCACGGTTCACAAGGATTCAGAGGGCACTTCTTTGCTTCTTCCGCTCATGTTTGGTTTGGTATCGATTTACATGAACAATCTGAACGGACACGTCAGCAGCCCCATACACAACGAAATCTCCTTGCGAAATATCATCACCCGATCCCCCAATACAGCTTGTTTCTACGAGTTCTTGGAGGTAGGTCCTTGCTTTCGCTGAAATGCCCCGAAGTCAATCCACATAATCCAGCATGATCACAGACACAGACGCAAACGAAGCACTTGTTGCTCTTTTCTTTCCCCTATTCCTTTTCTCTTTTGTCATGTCGCCTTCCAATGACAGCGATGCCCAAACACTCCCCGTTCGAAAGCTTGGTATACAGAGCCAATCCTGGAACACGCAGAGCGACCTCAACAGCAGTCGCCAGGCGCTTCAGACTGAGATCTATGGCAAAATTATCCGAAACGACGCCAACGTATTCCGTCGCCTACGTGTACATGATGTTTCGGATGCCTTCGTGGATGCCTGTGCTGCCTGCCTCTGCGAAGACAATGCTGCCGCGATCGCCAAACTCAAGGAGCTTGAGCGGAACGCCACTGTGACGAGGAAGGCTGATAATGACGGGACGGGTAGAAAAGAGACTGAGATGTACGGTCCCATAGTATGTATACACCCCTTCTTTCTTCTACGGATTGTAGCTCAAAGTCTTGTCCTACTGTGCAGCGCACGATTCTGGACTACATCCGGAACTTCAAAGAGCCGACTGATGACCCGCCAAACGTACCCGCGTCCTCCGAGTCGACAAAACCTCGTGTCTTTTTGAGTGGTTTGAAACTCAAGGGAGACGAGACGATCCACGACTTTCACTTTCCGGGGGAGATCCCAGACTTGACGGCGCTCGCTGACGGCGATGATATTGGTTACACCCAAAGCTTATGGAGGGTCAGAGATTGGTTTCTCGAAATCAAGGCCACACGAGCGCAGTCCGGATCCGGGATCACAGAACCGTCCTCTACAAACATCCTCGTTCAGTGCACCGACTATGCACGCCTTCATTTGTCCGCGCGGCCGTTCTTCCTTTTCTCCGTGGGCGTCACCTACGCGGGATCCGAGGTCTGCGCTCTCATTTTCGATCGTGATGGCGCGACCGTTTCGCCTCCTCTTTTGTTATGGGATGCATCGAACGATACAATCAATATGGACGCCGTCAAACACTTCATTCGCCTCATTCGCAGTCTTACGTGCATCTGTTCCCTCCAAGACCTCGGCCAGGATCCTACCGTCACATTGCTTCAGGACGGTCCAGTCGGAGAAGAGATCAGGCTCTCTATAACTCAGGCACTTGGTGCGGAGGTCAGCCGGTGGGAATCTTCCATCGAAATGCTCCAGCAAAACCGTCATAATCTTCAACCAGGCAACGACGAGAAACGGAAGCAGCTCGATGGAGAACTGAAGAACGCCAGAAAGCAACTGAGGCTCGCGAAGGACGATATGTGCCAACCGATGTACCCATCTTTCGTGACCTCACTCGGCGGTCGAGATTCGCGTCGCTGGTGCACGATCGGTGCTCCCATCTGGAGCTCTTTGTCCTTCATTGGACGTGGAACTAGTGCATGGCGCGTTAGGGAGTACAAGGACGGGGCTCTAGTCGGCCCTGAGTTAGTCATGAAGAACGCTTGGAGGACTTTGAACCGAGCTAGCGAGACCTCCATCTACGATCGCGTCCAAGGAACTCATCCTGGACTCTCAGTCTTCCACACTGGCAGTGATGTGTACTATCCTCGACCCATAGACGACCCTACGAAGGTTGCGATCACGGTATACGGTCCACGTGGTACCGATGTTGCGTCAGGCGGGAGGGACTTATGTCTACACCGTATTTTCCTCGCGACTGTCGGTCGCGCTTTGTGGAAGTACGGGTCAGATTTACAGCTTGTAATGGGTCTTCGTTCTGCAGTGGAAGGTGAGTAGCTCTATCTGTCCAGTATACGCTCGACTAAACCCTTTCGACTCGGCTTAGCGCACAAGTTCTTGTCCGACCAGGGCATACTTCATCGTGACATCTCAGCGGGAAATGTGGGTTATTGAATTGTTTACTCTGAGCAGCTACTCATACGTGCGATACTATGGACCAGATCTTGCTATTCGAATCCTGGCCATCGCTAACGGGGCACGCAGGATTCTTGACCGACCTGGAGCTCGCACACATCAGCAAGAATGCAACAGTCGAGAAAATATGGAAGGACGTTATAGCCGTTCCACCACAGCCGATCACTGGTGCGCATTCGGGCAGGTGCACGACACCTTCGGAAAGAAAACATTGGGTGTTCAGCACGAACACCGTCGAGCACAAGGACGCTATGACGGTGATCACTTCCCGTACATATATTAACATCGCTTCCTCTTAGCTGATTTTTCAATGACAGGGTACGGCACAATTCATGGCGGTCGACGTGCTCACAGCAGGCATGCTGGGCAAGCAGATCAGCCAGCAACCTCACCACGATCTTGAATCCGTTCTGTGGGTCCTCGGGTATTGCGTTATCAGACATACCAACAGCGTCATCGCTACAGACAGCAGCATTGAGAAGACAACACTCAAGGCGTGGTCCACATTGTGCAGGGACGCTTTCGGGCATAACACTCTTGCCCGCATACAGAAGTCTCGAAAGGACAAGACACCGCTTCTGTTCCACGAAGACACGCAATGTCCCTTGGACTTACTGCCCGTTCTCGAGCGCCACATCTCAAGCGAGATGCGAGAATTATTGAGCGCAGCTGCGGAGCTCGTTGGGGACCAATTGATAGCTTACTCTCATGGGAAAAGGAGGGAACCGGCTCTTCTGACATATGCCTCGGTCCTCAAAATATTCGACGATGCGGTCGCACAGATGAAACTGGCCGCGGGTATGACGTAGATGCGTTGTAGCGGGGAAATTGGGAAGAAATGGACATTTAAGGGAGTGGACTTCTGTTTTACGCTGTACTTTGGCACATGTGGCATAGAATCACCCATCAATAATATATTTTGAGCGATTCGAAGGACATAGCATTAGGGGAGTTCAGAGTGGCGGGCAGAGAGGCGGGTCGCGAGTCGCTTCTGCGCCGCGCTCGTTTCTCGTTTCTCCCACGATTTTGCAGGTCCTTCTCCATTATCAGGATGGAGTAGAGGGCCTTGGGGTCGCTGGAAAAGCGAACCGAGAAGCGACTCGTCAGACACGACCCAGAAACGGGCACTCTGAACTCCCCTAAGTATTATGAGGAATCAGTTGGGAATCAGGCCATCGGCGCCACAAATTTTCATGTCCCGGCTGCACCCGGCACTTTTTGAAGTTGAAATTGACGGTGACTCAAATATGGCGATGATTCCGAGTCTTCACGAATGGCTTGCTCGGGACTATACAGACTACTCTCTCCGATACTCACACTTCCAGCTTTGCTTCCGCTCCTTGTTCTTGTAGGTAGCAAGTCTTTAACTGCTAAGATTGGGTAACGCCTGTTCGCTTAATCAGACTTGCATTGACCAGGATTTCTTCCTTCTGCCAGTGTCCCAGCTCGACTGTATCCACCATATTCGAGATCATGAGTTCAAGCCTGAACTACTGCGGCTCTGGAAACCAGGGCATTTCTCATCGCCTTTTCACACTCTGCGAGCTTCTTCAAGGCTATTCGACCGCGGACCTCATCTCCCACTGCCCCGAATGCAACTTCTTCTACATCACCTGCTGCCAACACAAAAACATCATCCAGTCCTGTAGGAAACCCTGCCACCACTTCCGTCTTGTATTTACCGATGGTGCATCCTTCAATAACGGTCGTGATGGACCTCAGACTGGTATCGGAGGTGCGATGGGATCAGAAGAGAACTCAGGCGTGCAGCAGTGGTCTGTTCCGATCGATGAGGCGATCGATCCGTTGCCCGACGTGAAGAGGACAAGTCAGAGGGCGGAGTTATTAGCTGCCTTAGAAGGTTTACGAAGGTTGAGCGGCCTGGATGAGGTGTGTCATACGAAGTATAGGATGAAGCACGAGGCAATGCTTCAGAAGGAGACGAAGCAATGGATCATCGCGACTGATTCGGAGCATGTGGTGAAGTGCATGACGGAGCTGCTGCCAGGCTGGAAGGTCCGTTCCATAACTCTCCGTTTCTTTTTGATACGTCCTGCTTAGGGTTCCGTTCACTTTCGTCCGCTCGCCAAGATGAATGGGTGGAAGAACAGTAAAGGAAGCCGACCTGCGAACCTCGACCTGTTTCAGGCTCTGGATGCTGCTGTCCATCTGGAAGAGCAGAAACAGCCGGTATGCGTCGGTTTTTGGCTCATTCCCAGACAGAACAATGTTGTCGCCAATCGTCTAGCAAAACGCGCCGCTCAAGCGACGAGACCTGTCGTATCGTAGCTTGCGTGTTGGTGGGTTCATTCCTCTGTGACTTTACCACTGTCGTATGCTGACCGCATCCTCATCAAAAGCTGTGACCATAGGCTTACTTTTGCTTTGTAAATATTGTCCATTTTAGACGCGGCCACTTCTTCCGAATGCTCGTCTAGTGCCACATTGAACTCTGTGACTGAAGTCCTACATCTCCTATCGAATGTCTCTGGATCTTCTCAGGCACTCTTATGGACGATATCGTGGTCTTAGCTCAGAATGCTTTATATCGTGCGATTTCCCGTTCCACATAGTAACCTCCATTGTAGGGAGTGCCGCACATCCTTCGGCGATGAAAATGCCGCGAGTCGTCGCGATATTACACATACTGTCTTCATCCAGTGTTGTGGAATTTCTGTGTTGCATTGGTTTTACTTACACCTTGAGGTATATAGTACATCACACCTACCGACCATATTTACTCCATGTATCCGTACTTGCCTTGTCACCCTCTCCAACTCATATTCCCTCGTGCTACCGCGAGCGCCACACGCCGAGTGGCACAAATGATCCGCGGGTCTCACGTGACGGCATGCCCCGATCTTTTTCTTTTCCTCATTTTGTCTTCCACCTCCGTTCTTCAGCTTCCCCCTCTTGCTCAGTCTTTATAACTAGCGTCATCCTGGGATTCTTGCTGCCTGTTTCTTCTTGGCTTTCTTTCCTCCACTACTCCGATGTACCAACCAAACTCGGGCGACAACGGCGAATCTGCAGAGGTTGGGTGTGGCGTCTTCAACCGTCGCGTCTACTTCTGCGCCAAACAACAAGCATTCGATACCGCCGACCTCATCGAGCAATGCTATAAATGTGACAGATTATATCCTATGTGCTGTGCTCACGTCTTCAATCAAGTCGACGTCTGTCACTCCACTCCCCTCATCTTCACCGACGGCGCATGTCTTGCGAACGGTCACCGCAACGCTCAGGCAGGAATAGGTGTCGCGGTTGGAATGTGCGAAAAGGATCAAATGGCTGCTCCGGTAGACGACCGCATGGATGGAGTAGGGAAGCATACAAATCAGAGGGCGGAATTGCTGGCGGCGCTGGAAGGCTTGAAGATGATGAGCCGAATTACCCCTATAGACGATGATGAAGCCCAGAGGTTGAGGGATCAGGCAGATCGAGGAGAGTTCGTCATTCTCGCTCAGACCGCAATTGTCATGTCTCTGGTTTCACATCATCTTTCCATTGTGATGACTTTGTGTCCGCGTGTAGAGGAACGGTTGGACAACATTCCAGGGCACGGTACCGTCCAACCTGGACCTGTTCCGCCAACTTGAAGCAGTCACCGAGATTGAAGAGACTCGAGCAATATCCGTGGGATTCTGGCATGTGCCAAGGGTGCTCAACACTGTCGCCGACTCGCTGTCGAAACGTGGCGCTCGTGCTGCAGCAAATTGCTTTCTAATTTTACCATGAAGTGGCTTCAAGAGCTTGTCCTCTCCGTTGTGAGTAGCTACTACCGCCAAACTACCGCATAGCGCTCTAATCTTTCGTCTCACTCCGACCGTATTTTGATGCAGGCCTGTCTACACGTGTAAATGTTCGCTCGCTTCCTGGAGATTTCCTGCTGGAATTCACTCTAGTGCAACTACCTAATGGTCTTGTTTCCGTAGTGTCGTAAAGCATCATACTTTTTATAGCCGGTCTTGTTAGCAATGGTCAAATAAATGTGACCTTACTTGTTGTTCTGCAGAATCTCACGCCCTTCAGAAGAGTCCACTCAATTCTCCTCTGCTACTCTGGCTTGTATGTTCTCTGGCTGGGCATCGATTCAAGCGGAGTTGACGCTACGGCGTGGGGATCTAGCGCTGCCGCTCTGGCGTCTTGTGAAACAAGCAACTAGTACTCGCTGATTATGGGATCCTGCGGCTGTGGCGTGTGGCGTGTGGCACTGTGACTAGTGGGCCTGAGTGCGATGCAGTGTTTCCGACTTTATATCGTGGTACGTGTCCTTCTTCACGATTCCGCGCTTTTCCTTTTGGGCGCTCATTTCAAGACGCCAATATAACGAAAGGGCTCTTTGAAAGTCGCCTGCCTTTATCCTAGTGATTTTTGCTCTCCACCTTCTCCCCACAATCGGTACCGTCTCGAGGATCTTCAACCAGCAACCTAGTCTCGGACTGGTTCGTCGAATTTGTCTTTCCCCCTTACGGCTGGAAGCGAACAGCTAATTCGGATGCACTATGATTATCTTCGGTAGACCATGAATTCCCCATTTTCCACGAAGTGTCCACCGGAAATTCTAGTCGAATGCTTCATATACTGCGTTCACCCAGACACCCCAGACGTAGACCCTGATTCCGCTCCGATTCTTCTCACCCACATATGTCGTCGTTGGCGCGAGATTGCCCTCCAGACCCCTCTGCTATGGTCGCGTCTTCGGCTTGATCAATTACTACGACCCGCATTGGTCCCTTTTGGACGTCACCTTCAGCGCTCGAATGGCATGCAGCTTACATGTCTGCTCCGAGACTCGAATCAAGCTGGTGGTGGGCAGTATGACCCCTTCCTTCTTCGTCTACTCGAGGAACATGACAGATGGTACGACATAGCGCTCGCTGGACCGTTCAGGCAGAGCAATGTCTACCTTTCGGCCCCCGAAATCGCCTTTCCGCGACTTCATAGCCTCCAGCTTCTGGACTGGCCGAATGATGCCAGTACCTCGCTACGTCACATTTTTAAGAACTCGCCGAACCTACGTCGCCTCGCCCTCAAGGTTCCCTATATATACGACTGTCTCAAACTCATGCCATCACACTCTCAGTTAACGACCCTCAAGATTTGGAAGACGTCTAGCCTATCCCTCGAATGGAGACAGGAAGAACACGAACTCCAACTCTACTATGTCCTCTCGCAATGCACATCCCTAGAATCACTCACGATCGGCACATTTGCATACTCGCAGATCGTGTTAGAGCCCGGAGGATTCGTCGAGCAACATATCGAACGACCACTTATCCTTTCGACCCTTCGCTTCTTCTCATTCCCAATCGCCGACCTCGACCTTCCTTCGATTTACCTCCGCGCATTCACTTTTCCTAACCTTTCCGAGCTCGAGATCTCTTCTACATGCAGACTCAACCTCGGATTTGCCTCACACCGCGCGGACCTGATGGATTTCGTGCGGCGGCATGGGGCGTTTGGGACCGTCCGCAAGTTGACGCTAGGACTACCCCCGTCTGCGGAGCTGGACTTTAGGTTAGAGATCGCGGAGCATTTCCCGAGTGTGGTGGAGATAGATCTGGCGGAGCCAGAGCCATATCTGACGCCTTGGGAAGGCTTTCACGACGGAGTCGTTCGCTTCCCGTTTGGAAGGTGGAGTCAGGATACCAGTAATGATTGGGCGGATTTCGTGGAGAGACGGTGGGCAGGTTCTGTAGGTGCTATCGTTGGACCGATGGGTGAGGATGAATCGAAAGCGGTTGAGCGGTTGAAGTGTCTTCGGATGGGAGTCGATGCGTACGCGTGCTTACAGTTGGTTAATGAGATCGCTTTGGAAAGGATAAAACGATGTGTGGAGGAGGGATTCGTCTTGGAACCTGTTCATTCGCGTCGCTGGTCGCTTGGAAGGTGGTAGTTATATTTGTGGTAGCCTTTCCTCCTGCTTTGGCTCCGTTTCGTCTCCGTAATTACCTGTCGGCATATCATATCATTCTATCTAGCCTCCGCTGTCACGATACTTAGTACTCGTCATAAGCACCACTCAGACCTCGGCCAATCCCTTACTCATGTATGAACACGACTTATCACAATTTTTTGTCCGATATCATTATACTTAGCCGCCCTGATCATGAGAATGAACAAACAAAGAACTTTCCAAACTTGCCTTGATGGCCTAGTAGCATGATTACTTTTTTGGTTGTGCCGAGACGCTATTATTACAATAACGGTTAAGTTGACCGAGCTGGTGTGGGTGTACGTGGCGAGGAATATTTGCATACATAGATGATGAAATGAAATCAGGGAAACGCCGAATCACGAGAAAGGATAAGCATAATCACCCGCTCGGGACTATTAGCATAGCATGGCGTTGATGGCGTCAATACTTGCGAGCGTGTTCGGCTAAAGCGACGTACCAGGCGGTCTATCGACATGCTCATCATTCAAATACCATGCCCCTACCCAAAAAACATCAGTCGCACTGCCAACACGCTCAAAAAGAATGACAGAAACGCTTACGATCTCCCTTAATATACTTCTCGTTCTCTGTCTCACCATCCCCAAGCCAGAAGAACCGGTTCTTCGTGCGTTCGCGGTCGAGCCGTTCGTAGTCGAAGTCTTCCCAGCGAGGATTTGAGAGTGCGACGACGCCATGGAGGCCGGAACCTGCAATGGAGTCAGAAAATTTGGATAGATAGTACTTGCTAGTGAATTGAGGCTCTTACCGGGCCATAATCCTGTGATGGCGCCGTCTGGGCTTTTATACCACGAGTTGCATTGGTCGGTGTACACCGTCTACAAGAGCCGCTATATAGTCTCCGAAGAGCTCGAAGGCAGAACTATCTCACCTTTGGGAAGTACGCCTGAATCCGATCGACCGAGCAAATAGACCGGTCAGCACCATGCCACACCAGAAACAGAAACCAGACCAGCTCACCCGAACATACTCGTCATAATCCATCACCGCCTCCCTTTTCACCTCCATACTCCTCAACCTCTCCCTCTGGAGCTTCCTCACACACTCCACCGCATAATCCACCTGCTTCTCAATCAACACCAATAAACTTCCAGAATTCAAACTCGAATTCGGCCCCAGACTGAGAAACATGTTCGGGAACCCGTCCACCGCGAGGGATAAGTACGATTCGGCGTGCGGCGTCCAGCGGGAGAGGAGCGAGAGGTTGTTGCGGCCGGTGATGGTGAAGGGGAGGTGGTAGGATGTGTCGAAGCCTGTGGCGCAGATGAGAACGTCGAGCGGGATGTGGGTGGAGGAGGTGAGTTCGATGCCGGTGGGCGTTATGCGTTTGATCGGGGTCGTCTCCAAGTCGACCTAAGTGAATGGGGTCAGTGGAGTTCTACATCCATCGGGTGTGACGGATATATACGTTGTCTTCGCATAGAGACTCGAGGAACCCTGGTCCTGGTGTCAACCTCCGACATCCGACACCGAAGACGGGAATGACTATATACGTGGTCGAAGTATACCTCGTTAGCAACTCAAAGGGAGGACGAGAATAATATATGCGCACTATAATCGGCGATCCAAGGTTTCTTGGCCAGTTTCTTCCTCATCACTTCTTTGAAAAGCACCACAGCTCCCCTTTGAGCCTCCGAGTCTCGCTTTCCAACCGCATGGCTCGACTGCACATGTCGTCGTGGCAAGCAGACCGTGATAAACGTGGGCGCTGTCGTCAGGGGAAAACACAATCATGCGACTCACGTTCAAATCAGCCTCCAAATCATGTCTGAACCGTTTATAATACTCCGGATCCTTGAACGACTCCAGATCCTCCTGTGTGAACTTGACTACATCGGCATATCAATGCACAATCCGATCCACATCCCAAGACAGTGAGAGTAAAAGACAATGTAGCGGCGTACAATTCCCCACTTGAGGCTCTCGCTTGAGTAGCTCCCAGAGTTTCGCCTCCGCAAAGGATGCCGATATCCACGTCTTTCCTTTCACGAAGTTCGTCAGACGCTTGACTTTCGGTTGCAACGCAGGAACGATCTGAATCGCCGAGGAACCCTACACCATTCCAACCCCAACACATCCACCCATCCACCACACGCCTCAGACCTCATCCACTGGAATAAATTGAGAAAGCACGTACCAGCCCAATAACCCCAACATTCTTGTCCCCCCAGTCTTTAACGCCCTCCTGCCACGTCTCCCCCTCCGCATGCACATCCCACTGCGCGCTATGCAGTAATTTGCCTTTGAATGAGTGTAGACCTTCGATGGCGGGCCAGGCCCAGCGGCTGAGGACGCCTGTGCCGAGAAAGAGGACGTCCGCTGTATCTTCGAATTCTTCGTACTCCACTCGTATCCCTTCATGTACACCGTTTGTCTCACTGTGACCGTCTATGCCATTCCTGCCATCAGGTGGCGACGATGTGACCACCGGCCTCCGAATCTTTAAGATCCACTTCGCGGCATTCTCGTCCCAGCGCGCGGAGACGAGCTCGTGTTGGAGACGGATGTGTTTCATGAGTTTGTATTTGTCGACGACGCCGCGGAGGTAGGCGAGGATTTCAGGGCCGGGGGCGTAGAAGGCTGACCATTGGGACTTGAGGAGGAGGCGGAAATGAAAGGGAAGGAAGAGGATGAATGGAGGTGAAGAGGGGCAATGGAGGTGGTTACGCGATGTGAACATGGCGAGAGGGGATGGAAGTGTAGGTGGATGTGCATGGTCGTAGTGGAGTCGATTGACGAGTTGGTCAGGACACGATGACAGCTCGATGTTGGGATGAAAAAACGGAAGGGACATACATTCTCTTCAAAGGTAAGCTGATACTAAAGCGCAAAACCAGACGTGTCAGCAATGCACAAGAACACAAGGACACACCCTGAGAAAGACATACACAATGCGAAGGAATATCACATGCCAACCCAGGATATCGATTCGCGAACCACGTCCCGCCCACTCCCGCCTGTTTCTCATATATCGTAAAATCGATATTCGGAATACGCTGCTGGAACCTATTTACCACGTCGATCCGCGCAGTTGAGTTCAGAGTGATGGTCATGGGTTACGAAAGGAAGGAAAGGGCAGCAAGGATGAAAAAAAAACACATACCGTATACCAGCGACAATCCCACTATACCCAGCCCCGATACAAACGACCTTCATCCTTCTATAATCATCAATCGAGAACTCGCCGTTCTGATGCTCCTGCGTCTTCGTCGTCCTATTCGCGTTCGCGTTCGCATTCTGGGTCCCGCCGCTATTCAGATGGACATGGCCGATACCGTTGCTGTTGCCTGTTTGAGGATCCGAAGATTTCTGGAGGTGCTCTTCGACGTTTTGAAGACGAGAGGGAGCGGTGGCGGTGGGTATTTCGGCCATGATGAGTAGTCAGAAGGGAAACACAGAGCAGAGCAGCGCAGCGCCGAGGAGAGGAGAGAAGAGTAGCTGCGAGGTGAAGATCTTCGACAACAGGAACGCCACGGTGCACCCACAAAGTGATAGCGTTAACGATGAGCGATGAGCAACAAGTCGTTCGGGGCAAAGCTACGCTGACAGCAAGGTAAGCGTTAAGAGGAAGTGGTGTCAGCCCGCTCAAGTCAGATAAGTCCGGCGCAAGTATAGTATGCAGCATTCGTTATATGCAAATTATCAAGGTTGGCTGGATGATCCCATCCGCCAACGACAAGAAAAAGTAAACGCAAGCGACGGAAGGAGAAAGATGAACCTGTGACCTATACCCGAAGCGGCACGAGCGACGTTGTAAAGCTGAGATTCCCTATATATGGGTTCTAGAGACCCATGAGGAAGTAAAGGAAGGAGGCGTAATGACGAGGACGGGGACAATAGGTGTGGGTATGCTCTGTGGTTTACTCCCAGGAGAACACAAGGGGACTCACGGGTTCGTGTCTAGTGATTGGAACGGGGAGGTCGGTGTTCTCATGACCTGTCGACTGAGCGGGAAAGGACGACGCAGAGAAGCGGCGTGCTATAAGGGTTACTTGCTGTAGATGATGGTTCCTTCTTGTTTGGCGTGATCCAATGATAGGTAGTATGTCAGCGGAGGGTGGTAAGCTGTTCGGCATGACTGAGACCGGGAAATGCAACCTTAGACCTTATAGATATAGCGGCATATATTGGAGAGCATGAGAATGGTTCATACAGAATGCTGGTCCATAATTACATGCGAGGTGCGTTTGTTTGACCAAGACCGAATACAAAGAGGTACGAGGCGCTTGGAAGAGGAGACGCCACACGGCCACACGATCTTCGGACGACGAGTTATCAGGGCGGCCTTCAGTAGACAAAGCAGGGCGCCAACTCTTGAACGGGACACCACGAATTCTATACAGCCCAGACAAGAGGTTTCGAGAGGAGCGCTCTTCAAGTATTCGACTGTTCGCACGTCAGCGGGGGATGGTAAGCTATTCGGCGTGACTGAGACTGGGAGGTACAACCTTGGACCTTATAGATATGGATAGTATGAGAATGACAGAATGCTAGTCTATAATTACATATGAGGTATAATTGGTTGACCAAAACCGAATGCGGGCACCTGGAAGAGGAGACGCCACACGGCCACACTGGCTTTGTAGTACCAGTCAAGAGAAGCATCGCCAGTAAGTAGTATCCCAAGCAGAGTGTAAAGCCTTGAGTAGAACGCCACGGTGTATATGCAGCTTAGTCAAGAGCTTTCGAGAGGAGCGTCCTTCAAGTCTTCGACCGTTCGCCGCATCAATCTAATAACCTAGAAACAGAGCAGATATCCCAGCACATACTTAGGTAGCCTCCAGTAGTGGTCATTTTTTAGTACCAAACTCCTCAAAGCGGTAAAGGTGTGGAATAGAGAGTCGAAAGATAAAGCAATGAGAGCCCGAGAGCATTTCCGATGGCGAACGGCTGCGCCGGGCGCTATCAACGGTGATGAGTGTGCTGTGTAGCGCATAGATCAGATAGCGTGCTAAACGACAATTTGGGGAGCAAATTCCCGATAACGTCGCCAATTCATTCTCTTCCCTCGAGCTCGTCGCTGTCCTAGTCGACGAGTCGTGCAGGACAAGGAAAAGCAGAGAGGATGATGAGGGAGTGAAGAAAGATGAGTGGCACCGGCGGCTGTGTACGGGTCGCCACCTCCTCGGCGCTTCGCAGGATCTTGGACCGAGAATTCTTCGTGGCCGACGTCGACCACTCTCCCGACGCTCCCGACGACGACGACGATGTACTCATCATCACCTACCACCCGCGACACACTCCCCCCAATACCAGTAGACCAATACGACGACCCGTCACCCACCGCCGGAGCCGCCTACCCCGACCAAACTGCGTACTACGACCCGGGCCCGCAGCCTCATCAGCAGGATCAACAACAACAACAACAACAACGAGCACGCCCCGCACGCCAAAGCGCCCAAATCGACTCACAGTATCTCCCCGACGCTCGCCAGTCTGGCTACTACCGCGAATCCCAATACGATCCGGATGACCAGCCACTGTCGCAGCAGCTCCCACCCTTGCCACCCGTCGACAACGGCGGCTTCGATACGCCCCCTGAGCCAAATGACGATTTCTACCAGCCGCCTCTGAACGCTAATGGCGGTGGCGGACGGTACTCTACGTATACGATGGGCGGAGGAGTCCCTCCACGGTCGATAGCCACCCAATCCATGCGTGCTCCATCCCCACCTCCCGCCCCCGTCCTCGATCACTCCCATCTCCGACCAGGCAACCAAGCCGCTCTCCTTTCGCACGAACGCACCCTCGAGCTCTACCGCGCCAATGCTAAAAAGACGCAGGACCCGGACTTGCAGTTCGAGTTCGCCGTCTTCATGATCGACGCCTCGAAGACGATGCCGATGCCGGAGCCCACAGCGGGGAACGTGATGCAGGTCGAGAAGGCGGAGCAGAAACGGGAAGACCTGATTCGTGAGGCGACGTCCCTTCTCAAACGGAACGCGGACAGGGGACACATGCCCTCGCAGTACTTCCTCGCCGACTGCTACGCCAACGGGATAGGGACGCATAAGAACAAGCAGGACTTCGACCGTGCCTTCCCGCTCTTCATCCTCGCCGCGAAGCACGGCCACCCAGATGCTTCCTATCGCGCCGGGACGTGCTGCGAGAACGGCTGGGGATGTCGGCGCGAGTCCGCGAAGGCCGTGCAGTTCTACCGAAAAGCGGCGGCGTCGCTCCATCCGGGCGCGATGTATCGTCTCGGGATCGCAGAGCTGAACGGAGAGCTCGGACTCTCGAAGCATCCGAAGGAGGGCGTGAAGTGGTTGAAGAGGAGCGCGGAGCATGCGACGGCGGAGTTCCCGCATGCGCTGCATGAGCTGGCGTTGTTGCACGAACGGGGGATCGACAATGTCGTGTTTATGGATCATGAGTATGCGGCGGAGTTGTTGGCGCAGGCGGCGGAGCTGGGGTATGCGCCGAGTGCGTATAGGTTGGGAGAGTGTTATGAGTATGGGAAGATGGGCTGTCCGCAGGATCCGGCGTTGTCGATTCATTATTACGTGCGTTTCTTTCGCTTTCTCTCTCCCTCTCTCCCTGTCTTTCTCGAGCGGGCCCTGAAGTTGGTGGGATAGAATATCGCGGCACAACAAAACCATCGAGACGCCTGCTTCGCGCTGACAGCATGGTACCTCGTCGGCTCGCCCGGCGTCCTCCCCCAGTCAGACACCGAGGCGTATCTTTGGGCTCGCAAGGCGGCTGAAGCGGGGCTCGCGAAGGCGATGTACGCGGTTGGGTACTTTTTGGAGGTCGGGATCGGGACGCCGGCGGATATGCAGCAGTGAGTTCTTTTGTTTCGTGTTCAGTTCGGTCGATCTTGGGACGGAGGGAACTTTCATTCGTTGTTGTTTTCTCGGACGTGAATATTACGCGGATCACTACGACTAATATAAATCTTTCCCTCCTCTCTCCCTCCTCTCCAACCCACCCGTCCTCCTCCTCCCACCCAGGTCACTAGCATGGTACAAACGCGCCTCGGAACTAGGCGACAAACGCGCGGCGCAACGCCTCAAGGGCTCGTCGAACACGCCACAATTGCACCCAGGAGGACCAGGGTCGGTGCTGAATAGGAGTGAGGGAGGAGAGGCGGGGAGTGTGGAGGGAGGGGGCAAGGGGGGGAAGGATAAGGAGTGTGTTATTATGTAGGGTGGGGGTTGGTTTTGATGGGAGGAGAGGGTGGATGGGATGTGGAAAGGACAGGAATTGGGGTGGCGGGGTGTAAGGAGACGGGATATGTGGCCGGTAGGATGGAAGCGAATAGTGGTCGATATCCGCTCCTCGTTCGCTCCTTGGAGTGCTGTGCCGAGCATGCCACGACGTCGTCCATGCCGCACCCGTCCACACCCGTCCACGCACGTCCGTTCGTCCGTTTATCCGCACTCTCGGTCGTACCCTTCCCTCCGTCTCGTTCTGCGTTCCCGTCATGTCCGAAGTTCATCGTTCGACTCCTCCTCTACTCTATTCCTACCCTCGGACTCAACTTCTCACGCCATACCATGCCATGCTAATGCCGCCCAATCGCTCTGACCCGACCCGACATACCTACCTATTTTACTCGCAGTCCTTTTTGCTTTATTATCACCACACCTCACCGAACTTTATACGTCCTCCCTGCCTCCGCTTGCACGACTATTGCCACAGACCAGACCATCTACCACGCAACGCACACCTCACACCTCATTGCAATTCACTCTTCACTCCATCATTCATCTCCATCTGCACGGACCACGGACCTTTGACCTTTCAACCTACCTATGGACCTAGCTCTGTCTCGCTCCACCGTTTCTTTCGCCTTCAACTTCAGTTTACAGTATATATGGCAGTGGTCGCGGTCTCGCTCTTTGTTTGCATTTTTTTTTCAGATACGTACGTACCGCCGATGACGAACAGTTCCATTTCCGTTCTCCGTTTCCGCTCCCTGTGCACCCTTTTTCTGTCCTGAGTTTCGTTTAAGTAGTGTGTGTGGTATGGATGCTAATTCTTCGTGATAGAGCTCTTTCTTTCCTTCATTTCTGTTTCTGTTTTCTGAACTTGCCAGTCTCCTCTCGTCATTTGAATACGTTCGAGAGATATGAATATGTATGTACGAAATAAACCTAAACCTAATGCTCTCCCCGATCGACACCACAGCCCGTCACCTCCATCTTCCATGTCGCCGCCCGGCTGCAAGTATGTATACATCGATATTCTCTATTTAAGGACCTTGCTCAAGGCAAAAATGTTTGTCTGTCAACAGGTCATGGGCCTGGCTGGGAATTGAACCCAGGACCTCCTCCAGATGGTGAGCTCGAGGCTGCAAAGATGCTACCCTAAGAAGGAATCATACTACTAGACCACCAGGCCGATGCAAATGATTTCTGAGTTTTTCCTTTCCACATTTTTGCCATTGGGTCCGGATGGATTCGGAAGGGGAAGGGTCGGAGTTCGAACTTCGATTTGTGAATTGTGGTTGTCCGCCATGACGGCGCCATCATCGACTCAAGCCATTACGGTCATGAACTACGCTTCGCCCTCCGATGCTCGTCTGTCTTCCGTTACGAAGATGCGCACGAAGAAGTGACCGAGAAGCAGATCATGTTTCATTCTGTGTCTGTGTCGCAGCTGTCAATGGTACCCGGTGAATAGAAACCCCGTCCGTTCGGTCAAGAGTACAGCGTTGGGTTTGACAGATGTTCTGTCCTATCTTGTTCTGTTCTGTTTCTGTTCTGTTCTGTTTTCAACATCCCGGAACGACACCCACCGGAGCCTGGAGGCGATGAAGAACGTGTTCCGATGAGGGACCTCGTGCTCTGCAAACGACGACAGGAATAGGTCTTTCTTTTCCTGCTCACTGGACCGGTCACTAGCGCTCGTGCGAGTCTGATCCGTGATGGATGCATGATGGTCTCTCTTGGTCTCGTTCGTTTCTCGGCCGCTGGGTCTCCTGTGGGCCAGGACATGCCCTGAGAGCTGAGAGCTGAGACCTGATCGTCTGTTCCGCCCTCCGCGTCTGCCTTCTGTTCCTCTCTCTCTTTCGTTCTGTTTCAAAACCTCTGGACGAGGTTTTCCGTTTCTTACTTCGACTTCAACTTCGTTTCGGATGCTTCGCACCGTCGCTTTGTCTTTGCTTTATTGAAATATCTATTTCGTTACGTTTCGTCCGTTCGCTCTTCATCATATATTTATCACAACTGGACATTTGCTTTCCTTTTTCCTTTTTACATTCATTCTGCTGGAGAGAATCAGATAGGATGGATCCCCGACGTGTATTCTGGGGCTCGAGGAGACGTTCTGTGTCGATTGCGAAGACTGAGGGGATGGAGGATAGTAGTCGAGGTACGCTTCTTCACTCGGTCAACATCCTTCACCCTGACTTCACAAGTTGATGCCCAACACGATCCTCATCCTCAACAGAAAACAAGTTATATTCGCTCCTCATCGACATGCAAGATTCTCGAGAAGATTCGCCATCTCGAACCAGTTCTTCTTCCCCCTACTCCTTCGCTGCAGTCCCCTCCAGTCCAGCCGACTCATCCTCGTCACCCTCCGAGCGTGAACGCGTCACTGTACCGCCACATCTCGCATTGAAACGCGCCACGGCGAGAGATTCTGATTCTGCAGTGGCTGTGGCTGTGGCTGAGACGGACACGGAGCGAGGGCCATCATCTCCCGCTTTGATCCCGTCGTCGCAGACAGGAACGGTCGCTCCTTCGACTACACCCTCGACAGAAAATGGATCCTCGTCGAACCTCGCGGTACCTTCATTAGAAACGACACCGACGACACAGACTAGAACGCGACTCACATCTTCATCCGCCCTCTCTGCATCTTCGATCATACCTCCCTCCCCATCCCCATCCCCATCTGCATCACCATCATCCCTTTCTCGTTCGGCTTTTCCATCTCGATCTTCTACAGCCGGGAACTCTACTTCTACCGGTGGCGGTGGTACTGGAGATAGTTCTCCAGGAGCAGATCCCGCCCGTTCGCAACGTCCTTCGTCTTCTTCTCCCACTTCTTCCGCTGTTGGTGGCAGTGGTGGTGCTACGGGCTTGCCATCTAGCTCGATGTCTTCACCGTCATCGGATTCGACGGCGACGGCGACGCCCGTACCGACGAGTACAGAGGCCCCTATCCCAGCCTCACAATCTGTTACGTCGACCACCACGGAAAGTCGAACGGACGAGCAGTCATCCTCGATTCCGGGTCCTACCGCCCCCGAGTCTATAGCTACGTCGACCAGCGAAGTTTTGACTGATTCGACTTCGACCATTATTTATTCTCTTTCATCCTCGCTTTCGAGTTCGAGTTCTGACACGACCTCTTCCATCGCCACACCCGCACCCACGCAAATCACTTCGACTTCTCCTTCTACTGCGTCTCCGTCTCAGGCTTCAGCATTGAATAGTCAGAGCGGAGTTCCAACGACGACAACGGAACCTGCGGTCTCTCAGACTGCGAGCTCGACGGGTACTGGCGGTGGAGGTACAGGTGGTGGTGGTGGCGGGTTGTCCAACTCGACGACACAGAGCGCTGGACGAACGACAACGTCTTTGGATTCCTCGACCGCGTCGGCCGTTTCAACGAGTTCGGTCGTCACGCCCACGTCCAGTGCGCTGACGTCCAGTGCTAGTGCGTCTACGACCGCCGTGCCGTACAGTTCTCCAATAACATCCATTTCGCCCACTACGACTTCGTCGTCCACTCCGACCTCTTCATCCGTTTCCACTTCAGCCGTTACTTCTAGTGTACCACCGTCGAGTTTTCCCGCTACGACCCCGTCGTCCGTTTCCACTTCAGTCGTCACGTCCATTTCGCCGACGATTTCCTCGTCCTTGACATTCGCTCCCACTTCCAGTTTGCCCACTACGACCCAGCGCACGTCGGCCCTTCCGTCTACGGCGACTAGTTCTCCTTCATCATCATCCAATGCTGAGACCACGACCACGACGAGCGTTGCTCCGACCTCCAGTTCCTCTGAAGCGGTGACGAGGACGACTGGGACTACTAGTGGAACTAGGAGCGGAGAAGGTTCGACTGGGACAGGCGGTGGTCAAACGACATCTTCTTTTACTTCTGTCTCCCCCCCTACGACCTCCTCTTCCTTCGTTTCCTCCAGTACAACAACGACAATCTCATCTTCCACTCCGCCCTGGAGCACCGTGACAACACCGTCTCTTCCACCTTCAACCTCGACCAGGACCACGACCTCGATCCCAAGCACAAATACAAATACCATCTCGCCCCCTTCAAGCTCTCCTGCGGCCAGTATCGACACTAGCACCTCGTCCTCTCCCTCGCAGAGCGTCACGGTATCGTCGTCCTCGAGTGGGAGTGGGAGTGGGAGTGTATCGGACGGGTCTGGAGGGGGGACTCGGACGACTACGAGTGCCGCGAACTCGGTAGGAAGTATTACTATCACGCACACCAACAGCAGTAGTAGTCCTGCTCCTACGGATTCGCAGACTTCATCTCGTGCCCCACCGTCGTCGTCGCCATCGCCCCCGTCATCGCCACACTTGGACTCTACGTCGACGTCTACACAAGCACAAACACACACGTTGACTTCGTCGTCGGTGTCGATACCTGCCTCGACTTCATCGCCGTTGTCAGCACCGATTCCTACCTCGACTTCGATCTCAACGCCGACTGCGAGTACGGCGCGTACGTCCTCCTCTAACTCTACATCTGCTATATCGTCGTCTTCCACTCCGGTACTATCGTCGGTTCCAACTACGACATCGACTTCGACTTCGACATCGAGCACGATCCATACGTCTCCTCCCACGTCCACTGGCAGGACGACGAACACTTCCGATGCGCCCACAATTACTAATACGAATACGAATACCACTCCGGTTCGGTCAAGTGGGACGAGCTCGGTTTCGGCCGGCGTATCTTCTCCATCGACACCGGCGACGTCGACGAGAGGAAACACCTTTACGTCCCAGCCGTTATCGACTTCTTCGGTCCCGACAGTCACACCTACCCATACTCCGACTCACTCCACCACGATAACTCCCACCACGACTGGTTCGCTCAGTAGTAGTGCGTTAGGTGGAGGAGGAGGAGGGGGAGGGGGAAAGAGTTCGCATGTGGGAGGGACTGGGACTGGGACTGGGACTGGGACTGGGACTGGGACTGGGACTGGGACTGGGACTGGGAGTATCAGTGGAGGGGGAATCACTGCGACGAGGACAAGTACTGGAGGTGGAGTTACGACCACGAGTGCCGATGGAATAACGACTTCGAGCAGCATCCACGTCACATCCACGGGAACTAGGAGCTCATCGATTTCTAGTGTCAGCGGTTCGATTTCTAGTGTCAGCGGTGGCCCTACTTCCTCCATCAGGACGAGCACAGCCGGGAGGAGTGTTTCCTCTACCGCGGTCCCTGTCAGTAAGACGACCACTTCAGACTCGAGTCAAGTAATCAGCGATGGTGGTGGGCCGACTGGAAGTGGTACGAATGGAGGCGGTGGACAGAAGACGTCCACTCCGGGTACGATTTCTACAGCCAGTGCGAGTGGTGTTGCTCCTGTTCCTACCACAACCGCCACTGGAAGCGGAAGTACGTCATCTGAGTCGAGTGGCGGTGGCGGTGGCGTTGTTACTTCAGCCAGTGGTAGTGCCTCCGAGTCCTCCGCGTACGCTGGATCCTCCTGTTTTACGAACTTTGTATTGACTCACATTTTCGCTAATTTTTCTTAGATCTCAGCCGACGAACACAAATACCTCGCTTCCTTTATCTACGACAGATCCTGGTCGGGCGTCACTGACTTCTTTGGACACTACGACGTATGTATTCTTTTGAATAATGGGAGATGTTGGGTGGTCTGGACTGATTTATGTTTTCAGTACGCCCGTGCGTCCCGCGAGGCCTGTTCAGACTACGGGGCCGCTAAGCACGGCGACTAATGGCGATCCTTCAGCCTCTGACGCATCCCCATCCCCCAAGGGATCAGAACCCGCTAGCCCAATCGGTGTAATCGGTATATCGAGGTCCTTCTCTAACGAAGTCACGACGATCCACACCAGTACTGCTATACTCACCACCGAACCCGGAGGTCAAATCAGTACCCTCTCGTACTCATCCGAGACATTGACGAGCACCATCGAGGTCCCAGTGCCTACACCTGGTGCTAACACTTCGTGAGGATATTCTTCATCACACACTTTTCAAAGACTGACGAATTGGTCGATCATTTATTATAGATCGTCCAACGCGAACCTTTCCAGGATCATCGCCCCAATCATCGGAGCGCTCCTCCTCCTCGCCGTTCTCGTATCCTTCCTCATCTACCGCTCCCGTTGTCGTTCTTCCGCTTTCAACAACCTCGAGGGCGAGGGTAACGCTCCCGCCGGTCAAGGAGGAGCCATCACAAGCCTCAGTCGTTCGTCGAGCTTTGCCTCGGGGGTACCTAGCGATATCTCGGATAGTCAGATCGCGGCTTGGAGGACTCGTAACGTCGCTGGTGCAGGTGCTACTCAAATGTCTCAGGTTTCTGGGCCCAACTTGAATGCTGCCAGTGGTACTGGTGTTGTTCACGTGAGGTCGTTACTCGACGTGTCTTCCGGAGAATTCGGATCGACCCCGTTCCTCTCACCAGCACTCATCCCATCCGTCTCGCCATTCCCCACCTCAGACCAAATGGTCCCGCGCTCGCGGTCGATTACGCCTCCAGATCAAGCTCAAGACTTGTTTTCTCCGATTGCCTCGTCTGAGGGTGTGAGGGCGCCGATGGCTTTGGTGCATGCTTATGAGCCTTCTGAGCGGATAGTCGTGCCTTCGACGCCTATTTCTTCGCGTTCGCATTTCAGCGCTTATTCTTATAGGCCGTCTGATTCCCCTGAGCCTGAGCAAGCGATCGAGCAAGAGACGGTCCGGAATGAAGGTCAAGACCTAGACGTTATCGTGAATCCGTTCGATGACGCATACAGCCCAGGTCCAAACCCAGATATCGACACTGAAATCAACAGCGTCAAGGAAGGGAACGGTTCACGAAGTAGTAGTAGCAGCGACAGTCATGAAACGAGCACCATCATGGAGCATAACATCAGCACTCTCTTGCCTGCGTTCCCGAGTCCTGAGACGGGGATATACCCACCTCCTTCTATGCGTCGGATGAGCAGTACGACCAAGATTGGCGGACGGAGCGATGGTGGTCTAGGAGGTGGAGAAGCCGAATTGGTTGGGATGTTGGACTTGGACCCGTTCGTGAACCTGCCGCCTGTCAGTTTCCTGTCGCCGACGAGGGCGGAGGAATACGACTATTGCTACGTCGACGAGAATGGGGAGGTGAAGAGGGTTATGAGCGGGCCTGGGGAGAATAAGAATGTTGTGAGTCGGTTGAGTCGGGCGAGTTCGGTTGTTGGGCCGCAGAGTGATGAGAGTGTGGTATGTCCCCCTTTCTTTCTTTTCGCATTTTTTCATCAGGCGCGGGGGATCGATCATTCTGTGAGTTTGAATGCTGACTTTGATTTTTTTTGTCCTGTAGCTTGGCGTTGCTTGCTGATCCAGAATGGACTGCTGTGGATCTTATCGCATAATATAATTTGTATCTTGGGAATATGTATGTACCACTCCGCTCATTTTGCATTTCCGTGTGTCGACATCGACATTATACTGGGCTGTCCGTTCTTTGCAACCTGTCGTGATGCTCTCTGTCATTCCTCTATGGCGACGAACTCGGCTGCTTATTTTATCAATTATAATTGACATCTGTACTGGTCATAAAGGAATGTATCGAGTCTGTCTTGTTCATGAAGTGTCTGTCCTTTGTATCGAGTGCAACCGTGGCGGTTGGCTTGTAATATCCAGCTTTTACGCCTCGTAAGGAACCTTAATTTTGGGGCGTTCACGCAGGTAGAGGAGAGGAGGCCTGACAACAAGCAAAATTCATAAATAATCGAGAATTCGACATGTAAGAATGTGCTGGACCAACAAAGGGCCTGTCAGCCAGAGACATTTCTTATAAACTGAGAAACCGTGATCGTGAACCTGTTATCAAGCCTGACTTCTGGAGCCGGAAGACTCCCAGCCGACCTGATAAAATTGTTTGAGCAATAGCGGGGATTTCAAGCAGTTAAGACTCACCTCCATCGGGCCGCGTTTGGTGGAGGGAGGTGCATAGCTGTCGGAAAAGTTAAGAGTGGAAAGGTTTAGCGTATCGACTCCACCATTGTTGTCTGATTCCCTCAAAGAGGCTCTAGCATTAAGCCTGAGTGATCGGAGTCAATATTCGTCTTGGTCTTTCATTTCAGCATGATAGACGTACATTGCCAGCAAGGCGTTGGCGTAGACTGTGAATGTAATTGTGTCAGACTGGAGTACAAGTTGCACGTTTCTTGAGAACTTACGATTGTTGACGAAATCAAAGATGGCAAGGTAGACAAGATTATTGGGCATGGAAACGAACTATACGAGAAATACATAGTCAGTGGCCTCGCACTCGGAACCTTAGGCGTCAACGGCAGGAGAGTTTACCGTGATCAATATGACGATGTCTGTTACACTAGTCGAGTTCAAGTTTGTAGCCGGCTGCACGGAGTGATTAACTCACGCACCTAGTCAGAACGCCAGTGGTCAAACAGTATGTCATAATCTTGTGAAGCTGGTTGCTTGTCCTATGTTAGATTGCGTGCAGCGTCGAATGATGAGTATCTGTCTAGAAAGGAACTAGAATTACGGTCAGGCTTACTTTCGTACCATGGTGTTCTTATTATGACGCCTCAATAGATACCACATAGTGACAGCGATGAAAGTATCATTCACGGAAGCAAGGACCTGCGAAGTGGCATAGTAGGGCTATACCGTACGGTGACCATTAGACTTGTGGATATACAGAGGAGCTCATTAACGCTCACCGTGACGTGGGCGCCGAACTGACTGAAGGCGGGGAATATCAATCTGAAAATGAAGGCATCAGTCGAAAGCATTAGTCCGCCAATTCATGATACGTACACTGTGACGAAGACCACTGGATATGTAACTCTCATTAGCATTGAGGGTTCACATTTTAACTTGGATTTCGAACTTGTGACGCCCAAAAGTTAACTTGCGCAAACTTGTGGCTGTACAAGTTAATTTGTCGCCGATAACTTGCAAGTTCGCAAGCTCGCTTGGCTGTCAAACTTGCGTTTACGAACTTGTATAGCTTGGCGCACTTGTGAAACTTTTGAGATTATGAGGCATCAATAGGTCCTTCTACCACTTGTATAGCACTTACCATGCCCCGTCGGACATACCTACTGTACATGTGATCAGACTTTTGACTATTTGGTCTCGTACACGATCGCCAATGCGTAGCTGGTCGTTTGCCTGTGTACCTCAAGCATCACAAGTCAGGACTTGGATACTGTAGATGATGACTCCGCGGACACATTAATCAAAGGTCATCATAGTTATTAGAAGTGCTAGCTCAGAAATGCATAGCCTGCCTCCTACTAAGCACCCGATGCTGAGATTTCCACTACTGGCACCCACCAAGTTATTACTTGTAGCATGCGAATAGCAATGACTTGGGCATCCCCAGTATCCAACTGTAACGAGACTTTTATAGCGACTAGATATATACTCAACGATCACACTTGGTTCGACAAACTAGGCTACCTTAGTTAACTTGCAAGTTAGCATGCGTGCTCTACAAGCTCGCTTGAAAAACTTGGCCTTACAAGTTTGTTCAAGCTTGCGTTACTGCAGTCATACAAGTTAGATCCAAGTGCCCACAAGTGAATCATACACCATGTCATAAGTTGATCAGTGTGCTAAATGTAGCAGTGGAAAAGGTATTTCGGACACGTGCTGACCGGGAAAACTAGAGTGAAGAGATGTGTACAACCGTACGTTAAAGAATCGAGATGACCAAAGACCAGTGTTTCTAACATAGTTAAACAAGAGGTGACTTCGAGTCTTCACTCAGATATAACCCGTACGTGTGAAGTTTACCACTCTGTTTGACCCGAACGGAACGGGAGAATTATATCATCAACGTAATCCCAAGGATTCCATCTTTGCAACGGCCGGTATCGCCATGCCGGGCATCTATAGCCCATCGAGAAAAATCAAATCTCCGAGGGTAAATTCCAGCTAGAGCGATAGCTCGAGAAAACCTCACGCAAAAGTGTACGCAGTGAGGTTTTAAGCCCGCTATAACTGATACAAAGTGATCGACGAGCGACTCGGTGTAGGAGCAACAAAGATTCTCAGTTGAGATACGCGTTAACATGAGAGAGGGAGGATAACGATGTAGGGCCTACCAGGTGTGATACTTATGGGTGCCATCGCTGGTGAGCTACACGGTTATCGAACATTATAGGAGCACAAGTGCGCCACAAGTGAGAGGTACGCAAGTGCCACAAGTTCGTTCCATTAAGTCATGCCCAATTTGGCAGGCAAGTCAAGTTACAAGTTCGCGCCACACGTTAAATTGCGCTGGCTCATTAGCATTCCGACTTATTGTGCACCAAGCGCGAGCTCATCGTACCGACGTCAAACGCTAGACAGGGACATCTACCGTCAGTAAATTTTAGAAACATTGTGGGATATCGAGAGTCGGTACCAAAATTTGTCACAGTCAATACACCCTAAAACGAAACAGCAAATCGATATAAATATCAGTATGTAAGTGAGTGAAAGGACCTACTATGATTCCGACCAGCCAATAATTCTTCTCGCTCACTAAGCGGAAGATCTCGTCAATAGCAGGACGAGCATATATTAGATCCACTCACTTATCCAGACGCGCCATCCGTAAAAACTGCCAGTGTTTTATTTATTATCAGCTGTAAGATGGTGTTGAATGAGCTCACCTGTGAGCGAGAAAAATGATAATCCCCTGTTATGCATTGTCAGTAAGCTCGAAAAGGTACACGGTTGTCGATGCTTACCGTAGTAATTGTGGCCACCTAGGCGAAGTCTGGGTCATTTATTGGAATGAAAGAAGAACCAGCCTGTATGCAACGCACCTGGTCAGACCTGTTCAAACCAATTAGCATCTGCTTACGGAAATCATCGAGGAACAGATAGGTCGAGACAACTCACGCAGTCGTCCTCAGCAATTTGTCGGGATCGTCAAACTCCACGATAGTCTTCCGCCATATGAAGTCACAATCGATAACCATATGGAGGGTCTCGAGTATCCTGTCCGTTCTTGAGAACAAGAGCATTTACTACCACGCCAAATGACGTACCACATCATTATCACCTGTGTGACCACCCGATGCGTCTTTATTCCGAAGCAAATCGGAGAAGAAAGGAGCGTTACTAACCAGCGATTTGACACCCATGTGATCTGTCTTCCAGTATCTCTGGATATAGATCCACGTCTGTAACACAGTGATACCATAGAGGCTGAACGCGCGGAGTAGAACGTTAGATCAGGTCCTTTTGTGTGCAATTGTCAATAGACAACTCACATGCATGATATAAATACGCCAATAAGAACGGCTCCGGTAAGCGGGGGAAGGTATATGGCCTGCACGGAGGGCATGGTGAAGGAAAATACTCGAGGTTCGACGAGTGAATACGCTACTACTCGGCTTTTATACCCTCAGTTATCAAAGCGATGCTTTTTATACTTGGTTACGCTCCACTGACACACCGCATGTCGTTCACGTGTCACCTGATAGACGCCGACGAAACCGTGGGGCACTTCCTCTAATTATAAGACAGCTTTACACGAGCCCTCAAGAAGTGGCTCCGTTTCGGCCGCATCAAAGAACGAGTTCTGAGTTTGCGTGACCTCGTCCGAGAATTTTGAATGCGGGTAACAATTTCCGTATTAGTTCCAAATCCTCTTGACGGTATCGGTTAAAATTCAGTCGCACGTAGCACTTCCTGTGGGACCTGTCTGCCCGTACCACGCCGTAGACCTACTAACTTAGGCTTAGACCATGACATATGTCCTGAACTTCGACTTCCTTCCGTTGAGGCTCCATGTCGTGGTGAAGCTGCCGTATTTGGGTCAAATGAACGGTATCGGCGCTTGTCGCATGTTCAGCGTTCACTGGCCGAAAAGATGGAACTGCTAACGATTGGATACAGGTGAACTGAGTGTAAGGCTTCGCGCGTTAGAGCTTCGAGCGCTTCAGATCTTCTTCCGGGGTACGAAGGGCTCGCCGTGGGTGATAACCTGTGTTAGAAGCTATAGCTACCAGAGACTCTTGTGATGCCCATTCTCTACTTGCTCTGATCTTATGCATGTGAAGTGGTACTAATATTTCCACATTCGTGCACTAACTGAGAGCGTACAGGAAGTACCAGTGCAGAATGGAACACGAATGAAAGCGGATTCAGGTGAGCAGAGCCAGTTCAGCCTGCTGATTGATTCTTCAGCGTTTGTCTCAGCAAGGCGATGTCTGTTCTCAAACCTAGATGGACGCCGAAGCGCAATGCGATCGGCATCGAGCCAAAACTCTACTGTGCCGTGAAAGCCACTCACAGGTCATTATGACGTGGCCTGAAAGCGCTGAAATGTAAATTTTTTGAAACAAAATCTATTCACAAGTTTCTACCTCCTGGTGCTAGCCGCTACTTCTCGTATAATCCCTACGATAGGTAAAGCTCATATGCATTGTTTCGACAAATCTAATCAGGACGGCCTTGAGATTTAGGCGTCGAATGTACAGTGGGAATGTGCGTTATACAGTGTCCCAATGGACTGAGGTGAGCCTCTTTGTCTTCTTTTCGAAGCAATCAGTTTCTCACAGCGGCTTACTTATACTCAGATGCTCTACCGTGTCAAGAAGCAGTGAAATTATACTTGTCAAATATCTGCTGATCTGCATGGAATTAGATCTTTCTATGAGACGGTTCCTCTTGCCACTATATATAAAGGGAAGTCTGACGAGCAGTCAAAAAATACATCCCCTGTGTCAACTTCAATTATGGCGCAGACTGCATTAGATCTCGCTATGGCTCGCTCCATTTCAAATCGGCCTTATTACTACGATTTCTCCCGTCCCAACATATCGACAACTGCCGATTTCTCGTCCAACGATTATCTGTCCCTTAGCACTGATCAAGCCCTTAGACACCTTGTTTCACGCCGCCTCGCGTCACTTCACAACCTTTTGGGTGCGAACGGAACTCGTACGTTGGACGGAAACACACAGGATCACGTAGCACTCGAGGAGACACTTCGTCGGTTTTATCGTGCTCCCGCAGCCGTGTTTTTCAACTCCGGTTACGACGCCAATCTCAGCGTTTTCGGCTCTATGCCACATGAAGGCGACATCTATGTTTTCGACGAGCTTGTCCACACCTCTATCCGCGACGGTATACGACTCTCACGCGCCAGCTCCGATGCTTATCAGTTCTCACACAACTCTATGCCATCGTTGGAGCGTACGCTGAAGAAGGTGCTTGCTCGGTATCCCGCAGTGGCAGAAGGGAGGTCGACTGTGTTTGTCGTCGTGGAGAGCATGTATAGTATGGACGGAGACTTTTGCCCACTCTTCGACGTCGTCACACTTGTGCGCAGCCACATTCCACCATCTGCACGACACTTGATCATCGATGAGGCACATTCTACGGGAGTTTTCGGGGAATGTGGCCGTGGATTTGTATCTGCTCTCGGTTTGGAGGACGAAGTACAAACGAGAATCATGTGTTTTAGTAAAGGCTTGGCCTTTGTTGGAGGTTGGTCACATTCTCTGGATGTTACCCATTCACATATTGATTGCGCACTTCTATTGTGACAGCTGTCGCTCTTACGTCTAAATCCTGTAGACGGTATCTCACGAACTTTGCCAGACCTCTCTGGTTCTCGACGTCTTTACCACCTTGCAATATCGCCACGTTGGAATGTATTCATGAATGGATGTCCAGTGATCACGGAGCCGAGGTACGCTCTCCGGACCTTCCAGGTGCTCACATTTGGATTTACACTGACCGTTTCTTCAGCACATCCACCGCTTGCAGAGAAACATCGAGTACTTTGTTGGCAGTATAGAGCGATCACTCGCTCAAATACCTCCTCACATTTTGTCACCTCTTCTTCGCGATCACTCCTTCATTGCATCCTCCGGTACAGTTATGTCTTCGCCAGTTGTTGCTATACTGAGTGGGGAAGCGAAGGGGTTGGCAGCTCATTTGTTGGATAGAGGATACTTCTCTCGTCAGCTTGGGTACCCAGTTGTGGATCGAGGGCTGGATAGAATTCGCGTGTGCATCCGTGCAGACCATACGCCAGGGGCCATAGATAAATTCATCGCGACTGTTTTGGAGTGGGCGCAATCTCAGTTAGTCGGCACTCGTACGAAATTATGATGGTTAAAAGGTATGTATTATCTTATGATCTTGCCCTTATGGATCGATCTAGTATTGATCGCACATTTAATCTACAGGTAGATGTTATAGCGTAAAATGTACAGATTTTGGGCGATTTGTCGTTTGTAATCGAACCAAAGTTGTATATTCATGAACTCTTAAAACCAATGAGATATGCATGTTGGTCGTACATCTATACCTCCACAGCACAGCGACAAAACATGGTGACGTCTTTGGTGAGATATATCCATCATACGGCTCGAGCTCCAGCGAATGTAGCTGCGGAAAGCAGAAATTTTCACAGGCGCCTGTCCAGGGTACTAGCTGCGTTCTATGACAGAGCTTGAGTTTGTACAAAATATTGCGCCATATCATCAGCCGCGTTTAAACGCTTCGGCATCGTGCTGTTCAGTCACATTTCTGAGTCCATATTTGGAACCGAAACATCATCGGTCAGCGACCACGACGCGATGATTCTCTGGCGATAATAACAACCCCTCGGAGTTCAGAAAACCTAAATTTATCCTACGTCTGTTCCACCGGCGCCCAATTCCTTCATCAAACTTCTGAGTCCTGTGGTCCCCACACCGGGCTTCGTTGCCGTGGAGATATTTTTGCCCCAAGCCGCAAGACCATGATCTTATCAATAAATTAAGGTCAGCATTCCGTATCCACGCAGAAATATTTTCTTGAGCAGTTTGTGTCTTTTACTGCGCTCAAACTTTGCTCCCCACATCGCAACATCAACTTCCCTGTTACTGCAATGCCTCACTCCAAGGACGGAACGTTCATCTATGCCGACGCAGCAGGGGATCCTTCGAAACCTTGTCTAGTCTTCGTTCATGGCGCACACCTGAGCGCGATTGTCTGGGATGACTTGTTCGTACACCATAAATTGCTGGATCTGTTCTATCTTGTACGCAATTCACCCTGGCGTTATCTCAGCTGTGTACTGAAAGACGTTTCTTTTGGATAGGTTCGATATGACGTTCGTGGGCACGGCCGAAGTGGCAAGCCTGAAGCGTCAGAGGGATACACGACGGACCTGTATGCCGAAGATTTTCTTGCAGTTATGAAACAATTTAATGTCGTGAAACCTCTCTTCATTGGATGGTCAGCTTTCTTTCCTCATCATCACGCGGAAGCTACAATATTAAATTGTATATAGGAGCCTCGGATGTTCGTTATATTCTTCTTCTGCTGTGCGTGCGCATGAGAGTGGATGCTCATATTATGCGTCACCTAGTCACGATTGCAGCAGACATTATGGCCAATCTTCCAAGCAACACACTCTTCGGACTCGTCTCCATGGCTGGCCTGCCTTACATGGAAATGCTTCCCGACGTCGCCAGCAAGACCACTCTTCAGTATGCTGGAGCGATGACGAACAAGGAAAATTTCCGAGGCGCTGTGGAGGCATGCATGTCCGTCGCCGACCTTCCATTCGCCAAACCTGAAGAGGTTCCATTCGACATCAGGTGCGCATGGCTCGGCACAATACTTCTTCCCTCTGTTGCAGTTAGGGGAAACTATTTTTCTCGGAAGCAAGACCCTACGAAACTGGTCGAAGCCGCAGGACAGGGTCTTCCCCTTTGCGTTATCAGTGGCACGGCGGATCAGGTTGTGTATCCCAAGGTCGCTCTGGAAGAGCTGCAAAGTCGCTTCACAGACATCACCCTCTACGAGATTGAAGGCGCAGGGCATGCCGTTTTCTATGATGCCGCCGAAGAGGTCGTCGACCACGTTGTCTCGTTTGCACGCAGAATCGGATTCACTGTGCGTGACATTTTGACCTTCTTGATTATCTTGGGTATTAATACTCATTGTGTTTCTTAGACGTGACCGATGTGTGGGCTTTCTCGCTCATGGCGGGCCTCCAGGTAGTGTTATTTTCCGTCGATATATAATAATTAGCATCTATTCAATACCCTTTTTTGATTCGACTCTCGATAATATAGGTTGCATTTGACACGATCTCGGAGCGGTGATAGTTGGTGTAGGTCTGTGCCGTGAGACTTGCTCAATTCCGAGTCCCATGAGTGTCACGAGGTTTGATCTTGTACAAGTTGGTATACCGAAAGGCGTAACGATCAAGGTAGGCAGCGGGGAAATTCAGGGGATGTCGGCATGTGTATGGGAATTCTGGGACAGAGAAAGTGGTCGCACAGAAGAGGCCTACTCAGTGTTACATTTCCATGAAGGAGCGTCATACTGTGACCTGTACCCGGCGCGTCCGGCGAGTCCGGCGACGCCTGGAGGCATCCGGCACTGCCTGGAGGCAGACGAGTTATGCCTTCAGGCAAATTCGAATACAGACGAGTTGTGCCTCCAGGCAGGATCCAACACATACGAGTTGTGCCTCCAGGCATGTTCGTACGACACGCTAATTGCCTGGAGACACAACTCGCATGTGCTCGGAATCACCTGGAGGCACAACTTGTGTGCTTGAATATGCCTGGAGGCGCAACTCGTATGCGTTCGGATTCTCTCCAGGCAAAAACATCCCAGGTTGGTTCCCGCGGGGTAGGGGGTGAATAGGGGGTGAGCAGGTAGGTGGTCTGCAGGCTGTAAATGGGCAAAAATAGGGCTATGGGGTCTGTGAGCAGGGTGGACTGAACGGTGAACCAGGAGAGAATGATAGGCAATAAAATTGCGGGAAAATGGTAGAATAATAATACATATATGCCTGTGCACCCTTGGGGTACTAGCCTGGGTACCAATAGGGGAAACAGGGTGATATGGGAGTATTTTTGTAACTTTGCGAGTTTTGAGATTTCGAAAAAATGAATCACATTGCTCGGTGTCGTTTCGATGGAATCAGTGTATAAAACGTGAATTGATGATGTGATTTGGCGAGATGAAGGAGGCCAATTTTGGGAGTTCTGTCTATTTGACAAATATTTAGAAATATACAGGATGATAGGAATCAATTCTCAAAGGAATCGGTTTATTTGTTCTAAAGTTATAGTGTAAGCGGTCAGGACAATATTGCCATACCGAGGCTGGAGGGGTTCGGTAGGCCAGAACCAGTGATATAAAGGTTCAATTGACTTGGTTTCTGCTGTCGTAGGTAGACATACATCACTACTTAATTATGAAAGCCACACCTGACACAAAACCGTGACCATGGCCTTGATAGTGGTGCCGCGTCAAGGGGGGAGGAGGAGAACGTCTTACCCGAGGGGTACTGCAG